ATAAAAACCTCTAAACTTTTATAACAAATAAATAATTTACTTAACGGTATATATACTAATTTCAATTCCTATTTTATTTTAATTTTTTAATAAAATATACTCCGGGCTTTAAGAATCTACACCCTAATACCCTAAACTGTAAAACCAATAACCGCCCCGACAGTAAAGAGGACGGCCGTTTTATTATCCGTAAGAAACCCCTACTCGACCCTTCGTAATTTAAAGACGATTATTTTAAAGACTCCGCTAATAATTTTTTATTATACCTATTCGGCCCTAAAAACCTTAATACCAAATCTATTAACGATTTTATTTATACGAATTATAAAACTTTAATCTTCCTCTAAAAATTAATATCCTATTTAATAAATGTATTATACCGGTAATAACTATCGACTATTAGGAAAATATTCTATAAAGGCTTTTTAAAGTACTATATTATTAATAGTATTGTAAAATAGAAGGATAAAATCATTATTAACCCCTATAATAAAGGCTTTTAATTCCAATTAATTAACTGTTAATATAATATTCCTAACGCGGGCTACCCCGGCCGTAATACTATATATAAATTCTTATAATATAATTTCTATTAAGAAAGAATATATAATAATATAAAACTTTTTTATAAAAAATACCTCCCCTATATTAAAATTAAATCATTCAAGCGCGGCTCTACCAGCTACTTTAAACCCGTAATTATCTCCCTAGTACTATAAATAGCAATTTCGGTCGATTATATTACTCTATTACTAAAGAATACCTATTTTAGCCAAACTTTCAATTATATTGCTATTATTGTTAACTATTTTATAAAAATATAATATTATATCCTAATAAAAACCTTAGAGGTTAAGGAATTAACTAATCGTTTTATTGACTATATTTACTCTATTTATAACTTATTAAATAGTATCCTATCTAATAAAAGCACCTAATCTGTATTATAATTTTAATTTATTCTTTATAAAAGACTATCTATTATTAAAAAACTAACCTCTATTTTCTACCCTCAAATTAATACTCAAATTGAATATATTAATATAAAAATAGAATAATTTTTAAGGATATATATTAATTAAATTTAAATAAATTAAATTAAATAATTACTACTTGTAAAATTTACTAATAATAATACTATTTCCTTATTAATAAGAATCTTATTATTCTTTACTAACTATGATTACTACCTTCGGATAAATACGGAACCCCGAACCCTGTTACCCCTAAATCTTTCACTGATTTAATTTAAAAAATACTATAAAATTAACGAATTAGTAGATTATTTTTAGAAAATATAGGATTTCGCTATTTAATAGACCCGCCGTACTTAGGAATAATATAAAGATAATACTAATAAAAAACGTATCGACTCTCTTAAATACTGTATTAATAATATAATTCTCTTAAATACTACGAACCTCGCTAATAGTTGATTATATACGAAGTTTTCCCCCCGCTAAGAAGGTCCCTTTAAAATCGTTTGTACCGATTTGCATATAATATACGTCTCCCTACCTACTAATATAAAGTATTTACCTATATTCTATATTTCTATAATATAACTTTGGTCGGGTACGGGACTACCCGGTTAAAATATTATAATAGATATAAAGGCGAATAAAAAACGAATAATAATTTAAATAGATAATTAAAAGGAATATGAAAAATAGGTTTTTAAAAAATTTATTAATTACGCCCAATTAAATAGTAATGTATACTAATACTATTATATTAAATAAAAAACTAAAAATCCTACTTAGGAACCTATTACTAATATTATTAATTACGAATACTACCTTTAATATTTCTATTATAAAAATTTAAATAAATTAGTACTATTAGGAGTCTAAAGAATCCTTTAGCGCTTCGCTTCTTCGGCCGCCCCCGCTCCTATATTAGAACCCCCGCACCGCCGCTCTATATACTTCTAGTAGGAAATAATTTCTACAACTAATGCAAGGCCTCTCCTGAATATAATAATAATAGAACTAATTAATATAACGATTAATAAAGATGTAGAAAATAAATTATATTTAATATTTAGTAAAGTTATATGAAAATTAATAAATATTTAGTCCGGGAAACTACCCCTAATATAATTAATAAATTACGACTATTTTCAAAATAGGATTTATTATAATATATATATATAATTTTAATTCTACGAGCTTCTTTTGAGGGGGGATAGTATCATAGGGTTAGCCTATAATGTAGTTATACTATACGCCTCCAATTTAGAGCTATTAACGGCTCTAGTCACGTACAGCCCTACGCGTATATACGCGCACGGACTGGCTTAGACTGGGCTCTCGCCTATATAGCTAGTCCTTTATGCACACCTCCCTTCTCCTTCCTCGTATAATAACGTATATCCTACCCTATCCCCAACGGTGCCCTCTCGCCCCGTGATAAATATTTTAGTACAGAAATGTAGCTTTGATTGTGCGGCGTATATTAAAATCGTTAAGTTTTATTAATACACGATTGGATGTTATATAATATTTTAAAAGTGGGTTTTACGATACAAAACGTGGAATCTTATATGTTAGCTGCTATCGGTTAGCAGGTGGAGAGAAAAGGGTATGCGAAGCCAAAATAGAGTGTATAAGGATATTAGGAACGGTGCGGCAAATTAAGCTCTAAAAAATATATTAGATTTTTTCTAAATTTTTTCTCTACCTAATCCACCCACTTTCATTACCAATCGTCCTCAGTACCTAGCCTTAGAAAACCTTAGGGAAAGAAAAGAAATATAAGTAAATAATTAAGGAAATTCAATATTCAAACGTCAGGAAAAGTAGGTTTTAGACAACGGCTAAGGCTATAAACTTGGTTTTTACTTTCAAAAATCCGTCAAATATTAACGAGTAGTTTGATACTACATTCGACTTTTTATCCTAAAGTTTGACCAAGTTATACTTAGAAAGGCAAAAGTACATCCACGTGCGAATGGGTAGAGTTTTCTCAACGTGCGAGTAGAGTTCCTCATTTGGATACCTAAGTTGCGCAGAAGCGAATGACTGGAGCAAGTGGAGGCAAACATCGGATGAGATTTGGGAGGTGACTTTTGTAGTTCAGTGCATGTTCCTTGCACGAAAAAGGACTGGAAGTACCCGGATGTGGGGGACATGAACCATCCTGTCTATCACTAAGGTACCTACCATAACTCCTGAGAGGCTGAGAGCTACGGTTATGAGACATACGCTGACACATGTATGCACCGGAGGAAGAGCTGTATTTCATCGAAAAATGCACACGCATGGCATGGCCGGATCATCAGAAAGCCGAACTCGGACATGGACTCGAACACCAGACTCGGACACCAGACTCGAAACAGGTATTCCTACCTCTACTTGAGCATCTGCATTATGGTGCACCCCGGCGGCGAGAAAGACGAGGAAGCGTCAGAGGCATGGCTTGAAGCTTTCTCTCTATTCAAGGCCTGTCCTTCTTCCTCCTTCATCAATTTTTCTCCTCCTCTATTCTCCCTAGCATCAACAGTTAGCAAAAGCCATCATCAACACTGAGCGAAAGTTGTTGTAGGTTCTACTGAGCATTGCTTCCCATTTACCAACAATCCTCCGCTAACCTCGAACTTCTGTCTAGCCAAAGCCATCATGTCGTCCATGCATACCACACTCCCCGCTAGGTATTCATGGCACCGTTTCCCCAGACGAACACGGCTCCATTCAACAGCCTGTGAGCCAACATGGCGACAAAGTCGCCCTTGACGCCGCCAAATACTCCGTGGGCTACCCCTCCCGAGTAGAAACGCTGCCCACGACACCGTCTACGAGAACTGGAACAAGATGAAGGATACCTACATGTAGCAACCCTGGAAATGCCTGTGGTACTTCGAGTACTACCTCCAGCACACCTATGTAGAAGCACCTCCAGTACCTCTTCTCAAAATGGTACCGCCCCCTCCAACGACAATGAACACTTGGCACTGTTAGAAGACGCTTTTGTTATGAGGGTGGGCTTTGGGGTTGGATGTTTATTGGGCTCCATGTTGAGAAAAGTCTGGCATATGAAACAGCTCTTCTCCTGCGCTTCACGATGGCTTCAATCGCAAAAGCTGAAAAGGCGTCTCTCAACAAACAACATCCAGATGGACAGGCAGAGGTACCCCAACAAACACGCAAAATTGACAGGACTTGGGTTTCCAGTAAACCTACTCCTAGCTAAACATTTAGACAATCACATTCGTGTGGCCGGCACATTCGCTTTTCTTTTTTTGTTTCTTGGAAATACCTAGGACTAGAAATGTTTTTTGATTGCTGGAATTGGCGTGGACCTAGATACGTAGCAAGCACAAACAACCTTCACCTACGAAACTCTTCATTGAGGCCAAACTTCTACTACATACTCTACTTGGAGGTCTTCGCGGTAATAGCTTGTTAAGTGAAGTCACGTAAGCAGTGTAGTAGGACAGCCACGTCATTGATAACCTAGGTAGAGGTAGTCGTAGTGGTACTTTCATCCAAGTTGTTATGTCGCCATTTCGGGTCCCAATTTAATACATGTTGAAGCTGTCATGATCCACATCAAAAGTTACCTAGGTACTGCGTTTCTCTTTACCTGTGTTAACCCTCACAAGCAGTACATACGGAATCCTTCCTCCCACTGGGTTTCATTGGGTTCTGACCGTTCTGATAGTGTTGTGGGAGAGAGAGAGCACTTCACTTTGAAACTTACCGAGTACCTCTAGACCAGATGACTTGAGATTGGTTTTGCAAAAGAAATTGTGCTATCATTGCTGATCCTCCTATACTGGAATAACCTCAATCCGAAATGAAGCTGCTCATTGATTGACCCTGTTGATGATGCCTCTCTTTGCTATGGAAGTTTCGAGTGCCATTGGTTGGTGTGCTTGACTTGCACCCATCTCGCTCACTTCCATGTTCATGTCGTGCCAAAGACAAGACGGATGTGCTTAGAACTCTAGCTGCCTGGTAATACCAGATGTCACACGGTCGTTGCAGAAAACATGTTAATCGGATGTAGAATTGCCTAGAGGTAGACAAATTGAGCTATGGATGTATTGTGAAGTTACGCTAAAGTTGTTACAGTAGAGGTATTGTTGCTGATTCTCCTCTAATCACTACTGCCAAAGCCTTGATCTCAAACGAAGCCGCGCGCTGATGAGCCTTTGAAGGTCGGGGATGTCTCGCCTGCATGTATTTGGCATACACTTCCGGCCGCTGTTGAATCCATACATGTGTCCATTTCACTCGGTAGAAGTATTGGGCCAATCGTCGGTCCAATTCCACTCAAGATCGTCAGGATCCGTCATCGCCTTTGGAGGTGTGTACTGACCCGTCATCAAAGCCGGCCACAGCCGATCAATGCGATGGCAGCGGTCCTCGAGTTCCTGGGGGATAGGTACTCCGATAGGGACAGCATCGATTTTAGTTTCGCCTGGTCTGCATCGTCTGTGGTAGGGGTCGTAGTAGACGGTAGGGACCATCTCCGTTTCGTCTTCTGCGTTGCCGGTTTCCGTCCTGGTTGTGGTTGTTATGCCGCCGCCACCGCCATACCGATAGATGTAAAACTCGGACGCCAACTTCTTTCTCCGCTCAAGTTGGTAGAATGTGCCGGTCGCCGGACCGTCACCACTACGAATGCAGTTGTGCGGGTCCCAGGACTGGGCACGGAGAGCCAGCATAGTGTCAGTGTTGTAGTGGGTACTTGCACCTGCACCTGAGCATGAGCCTGTACCATGGGCAGCGGTCACGGTACCGGAGCAGCCCGTTGATAACAGGGTTTTGACGTCCATGTTGAACATGGCTTCGGGCGTAGAGGCAAAAATGTAGGCGACTACAAGCCAGCGACCCGTCAGCTGCTTTCCATGCCCCTTGACGCTCCGCTGCGAGAACATCTTCCGCTGGGCGCATCGGAGGTTGGTGAACCGTTCTAGGTCACTTTTTCCGACTTGGAAGCATATGGCTGGTCCCAATTCAAAGTTGGGGATTTCGTAAGAGGTCCAGTTTGCTAGGGCGGCGGTGTCAGTAAGGTTCGCGTTATCGTCAATGTTGTCCTTGTTAGCAGAAGAGGATGACGAGGAGAGAAAGTGCTCGAGCTCTTGAAGCTGCTGGTCTAGGTCAACAAAGAAGTGACGGAGTTGAATGTGCCACTCCATGTTCCTCGGCACATCAACTCGAAACATTGTGGGTTCCCGGGAGACGTGGACGGGGTAATGGAAAGATTCGATGTAGTACTTGAATCGAGTTATGTTTGTCGTAGGTGGCTGCCTGAGTGTGCCCGGGGTGAGATTGGCAATGGTCGGGACATCAAAATCTTCTTGATGTACGTGTAGCGCAACATCAGGACCAAAACGCACATCGTTGTTCAGTATGGGGTAGTGATTAGATGTGGTCGATGCAACACCGTCAACGACAATCTGGGGGCACTTGGGCTGCTGAACGGTCTTGTGGGCGATGATTCCACCGTGGGATGTGGGGCGGTTGTCATCGATAGCTTGTCGGGAGCGAGACATCTTCTGGAGTACAGAGCGACCGGTCCCGATGAAGGATGATAACATGACGGGCGGTGGTCAGATTCTTGGTAGATGGATGTTGATGGTTGACCAAGATACTCGATGCTGAGAGGATAGATCAAAGGAAGGAAATGAAGCGGGGAAAGACGAGCAGAAGAGGATGTTTATTGGTAATGACAGAGGCGAAACCTTCTGCAGCTCCCTCTCTTGGGGTTTGAAAAATACATGTACACAGCTGCCCAAACATTCCTGGGTGCATGCTGATGAGCACCTGTCTTTCCTATGCAGATTTTATGGGAGCAACGATGCGGGTGAATCAAGGCGGTAGTTGACTTAGTACTAGTAGTTCAAAGGCCTGCAGAAAGCCCTCATGTTCATTCGAGGCATGCTCGCTTCCAACTTTCTGTTGATCGGGCACTCAAGACATGGACTGGCAATTTGCGTAATGTTCGGAGGACAGAGCGTCGGACATGGACGGAATGAGGACCTGGACCTGGTCATGGTAGCCATTTGAAAGAAGGAAATAGGAGAAAGTTGCAGATGTCAGGTATCACGCAACATAGGTGTCTGCACTCCTGCACCGGAACTGGAATGAATAAATGGGCAACTTGGAGTCCTTCGGTTCACGCGGGCGTCCAGCGCGTTGGTCTCACTGTGTCCCGCGTACTTATGCGTCAGCCATACGTCAGCCCCATAAACAGCCACATCCACCATCATCCTCGAGGGACCAATCAAGAGGCCCGGTAAAGCTGTCGGTCACGTGCACAGGCGTTCATTTCGCACACCACAAAAGTGTGCTTTTCAGGATTCAACAACCTGAAGTGGAAGAGCCGTGTCACTGGAGCAATCTTTCCGAATCTCTTCATCAGCCCAATCTTCAAGTGACGACGAAGGGAATAAAAGTTCAGAGGTCGTCTCGTCTTCCACCACCCGCAACCCGATACAACGGAAAGCAGAGCAAAAAGCGACCAGCTGAGTTGCCTCGTCGTATAGACTCGAAATACCAGACCTGGACTGTTGTTCGTCTGGCTGATCTTGGTGAGAACTGAAATGCAGGTCGGCAAATGCCAAATGGTGACATGGACGGGAGAGAGAGGATCTTCCAGTAGAAATCCGCAGATCCGACGCAACATCCGACCAATCTTCAGAGCCCGAGTCCCGCTTTTTCAGGCAGCTATGCCAGCAAGGGCCGCGAAGGCCACTTTTTCACCCCTGTAAGCGACCGCCGTTGGCCGGCCACGTATTACTACCCTGGCAGTGTGCCCAGACTCCGTTAATAGGGTGTGCAGAAGCATAACAGATTTGGCGGGACTTTCGTACGTATCTCTGTTAGTGACTTGCACATCCTACCGCAAAGCCATCTGGTTGGCCAAGAGAATCCCTGCAGCGGGAAAAAGAGGGGGCAGAGGAAGCGTACATGAACCCGGGCCTCCCCAACCCCAAGCCAGTGTCTTCTTCAGTTCTCCCGCTCCCCATCTTTCCATATTCCTTTCCATTTCGTGTGACAGGCGGGGCTCCCTTTCTATGAGCACGGTCCAGTCAGAGCCCTTCTTCCCGTCCTCCACTTTTGACGTCGTCTTGTTTCTTTCCATTCCTGAAATCCCGTCACCACCTCCAACCTCCACCACCATCCACCATGGCCACCTCGGCGCCCCATACACCACAACCGTCGCATCAATTGGGCAACGACAACAACAACTCCGATACTCAAGTATTACCCACACAATCATTGTCCCCAAGGTCAGCAACTTGATGGCCGCAGAGTTCGCCCCCCCCGTGGTTGACTCGCGGTGCAGATTCAAGGTTTCCTTCATATCAACCCTTCCCCCTTGGCCCTCTTGCCCTCCCCGATTCGCTCGGTCCTGGGTGCTGTGCATTTCCCCGAATGCATGGCCGATCCAGTCTCTTTCCTGACGCCTGTGGCTTGAAACACGCGTTCTATGGGTCGAAAGCCATAAAAACTTGCCAACTCCTACTCATCAAGCACATGCCTGCTGAAAGGACTGGGGCTTTTCGGCAGGGCCGCGGGCAGAGACCGGTTGGTGTCTGCTGTCTCGCCTCCCGTTCATAGAATTCCTGCCGATAGCTACGGTCGATACGCGAGAGCGGTGGGGCCGTCCCCTTTCTGCCCGTCTCCCCGATTCGCCGTGGTTCTGATGCCATTTCACCCTGCCCTCTCACTACGGCCTGACGCCATATGCCCATTTGGTCTATGGTCGGTCCAGTCTCTTTCCTGCCGTTTGTGGTTCGAAACACGCGTTCTATGGGCCGGGAAGCCGTAACAATTATGCCAGCTCCTACTCACCAGGCACGCCTGTTGAAAGGACTGGGGCTTCTTTGGCAGGGCCGCGGGTAGAGAGGCTGCTTCCAGGGGCAGTGGCCTTTCTACTGTCTTGCCTCCCGTTCATAGAATCCCTGCCGAGAGTTACAGATTGACACGCGAGAGCGGCAGGTCGCTCGTTTCAACGTGCAGTGTTCAAGCTTGCCTGATACTTTTGACTGACGATTTGCTTGTCAGTGCCTGTCCACGGCCGCCGCCTCAAACAGGCGCCGACGATAACAACCTCGATGCCCGAGTATCGCCCACGCAGCCGGTGTCCTTCTCACGGTCAGTAACCTGACGGCCGCGGAGCGATGCCACCACCGCCGCTGCCACAGCCTCTTGCTGGTGCATCCCTCTGTCCGTTGGGATGTCGCTTCTCGCCCTGACTCGCAGTGCGTAGAAGACGATCATGGCCGATCCTAGGTTTCGTTTATATCAACCCCATTTTCCCTCCCTCCCCTTTGCCTCTTGCCCTCTTGCCCGTCTCCCCGATTCGCTGCGGTTCTGATGCTGTGCATCTCTCCAGGGAGATGCATAGCAGTCCAGTCTCTTTCCGGTTGCTGCAACTCGAGGTGACGTGTACCTATGGTCGAGATGTCGTAAAAACTTGCCAACTCCTACTCATCAGGTGGTGCACAACCTGCTGAAAGGACTGGGGCTTCTCGATAGGGCCGCGGGCAGTGGCCGGTGCTTATCACACTGGTCTCTGCTGTCTTGCCTCCCGGTCATAGTGAACCTTACCGACAGTTGCATCTTCCCGAGAGAGCGGCAGGCCGTCCCCTTCTGCCCCCCCTCCCCGATTCGCCGCGGTCTCGGTGCTGTGTATCCCTCAGGATGCATAGCCAGTACCGGTTCTTTCCGGTTGCTGCAATTCAAGGTGACGTGTACCTATGGTCGAGAAGCCGTAAAAACTTGCCAACTCCCACTTCTCAGGCTCGCCTGTGGAAAGGAATGGGGCTTCTCGATAGGGCCGCGGGCGGAGATGCTACGGTTAGTAGCCTCTCTGCTGTCTTGCCTCCCGGTCATAGTGAACCTAACCGACAATTACATCTTCACGAGAGAGCGGCGAGACCGTTCCCCTATTGCCTGTTCCCCAAGTCACTACGGCCTGGTGCCATATGCCCATTCGGGTGTGTGGCCGGTCCGACTCAATCCCGTTGCTGCAACTCGAGGTGACGTGTACCTATGGTCGAGAAGCCGTAAAAACTTGCCAACTCCCACTTCTCAGGCTCGCCTGTGGAAAGGAATGGGGCTTCTCGATAGGGCCGCGGGCGGAGACGCTGCACTCCGTGGTTTCTCTGCTGCCTTGCCTCCCGGTCATAGTGAACCTAACCGACAGTTGCATCTTCACGAGAGAGCGGCAGGTCGTTCGTTTACACTCTACTGCCACACCTGCTTGGAGATCTGCATTAGTAACGATCTTTCCTACAGTGTCGATGGATACAACGGCGACGACGTGTCAACAGCGTCTGACACGGACGACCACCTAGGAAGTTGCCAGATCAACCTGGTTTCCCTGGCAGCCCAAGCGGTTTGGGCGGACAGAGGACTTGATCGGCACATATCAAACCTAAAAGCGGACTTGCACTTCGACACCGAGAAACGAACAGCTCTAATTACACTCCGCGGCCAATGCCTACTCAAAACTGTCTCTTCCGGCACTGTTCCTCTTTATCTGTTCATCTACCCCGAAAGCATACAGTCTGTTGAATTTGGATACACCCCTTCGCCTACGGCTCCCACCACGGAGCAGGGTGGAGCAGCGTCTGGTCTGAAAAGGTTTATTCGTCTGCGCTTCATCTTGACACAGCCTCCTACTTTGGTAGCGCCCAAAAACCAGCCTTTGGAGCCTAAGGGGTCATCTACGATCCTCGTGGATGCTCTTCACTCTCTTGCCACAGTCAAAGACCTCTCCATCTACCTGGATTCGTCCCCCCTCCTGACCGATGTTCGACGACAATTGGCCTTGCTTCCATCAATCTTCTCGCATGCCAATATCAGCAACAGACTAACAACACACGTGAAACACACATCACTATGTAAGCTTTACCAGGGTACTGGCGGGCAGGTCATCAACCCGAGGACTACGGCATGCGAACCAGCACTCCACGAGGCACAAGAGACGCAACCAGCCAGTTCTACGCAAGCCGCATTTGATGTGCTTCAAGATCCTGCGCAAACATCAACTCAGACGCGCAAACGATCAGCAAGCGCAAGCGGATTCTTGCCTCCATACCTCGATCGCCAAGATGAACGCGTCATCGCAGGTCCAAGCAACCACCAATTGTTCGAATCGGCCGAGCGGAACGCCTCCCAGAGTCAAGAATCAACGCAATTCTCCCCCTCATCAGGTACGTCCCACCAACCCGAGGCACTACCTTCACGACACCAAATCACCCGCTAACAAACTTCCTCCACAGATCGAAACGGAAAGCGCCCACGACTCGCAACCCCCTCCAACCTCGACTTGCCCTCTCTCCCGCCCACACCAACTGCTGCCGACTTTTTGGAAGCGTCAACCGACCCTTCAAAGTTCTACACCATCAGGCAACAGTTCCTTACCCGCATCGCGGCCCTTGAAAGGCGCAACGAACAGCTCTTCACCCGCAACGTGGCTCTTGAAGCGCGCGTCGAACATTCTTCAAAGCTGGAAGACTGGTTCAAGCTGGAAGTCCGAGAGCGAGTTGGCGGTGAGGTGACGCGTCAGCTGGACAAGCTGCACCAGAAGACGGGTAGGAAGTGGGAGGAAGAAATCAGACAGGAAGTGCGGGATCAGATCACCGAGGATGTGAAGGAGGAACTCTATGAAGACGCAACGAAGCAGGTGCTGAGGAGGATGGCGACGGTGTTGGTGGAAGCGGTGGACGGCAGTGGGTGGCTTGTCCCTGGAAGCACTGCTTGTGAAAATCTTTTGTCGCGTTCCGTCGTGCCTGGTGAAAACGCTCTTTACGCCGCCGTCGCCGATGTGCAAAAGACCCATGCTGAGGAAATGAGCGAGGAGGAGATGGCTAGGGTGATGGATTACTTGGAGCAAAACCCACTGAGCGCTGTTAAGTACAACGCTTGTGGGGAGACGATGAGGAAGTATTTTGTTGGGCAGTGGAAAGCTGATACGAGGCGAAGGAGGTCGTGGGGGATGGCGAGGTGGTAGCCTGGGAATCGGGGTGCCGATTACCAGGCCGACAACAACTGGACGACTCTTTGCGACATCTAATGATTAACGACGTTTCCCTCTTTTCCTCAAAATTGATGACATGTCTGACCTTGTCGTGTGTTGTGTGCTGCAGTGTTGTGGTCCCATCACTCTGTTTACGTAATTCACGGAGTTCCATGTTCCTACGTGCCTTACCCCTTCACGCAAATAAATAAGAATTCCATTCTCTTTGGGGTGTGTCTGTATGTCTTGGCTCTGAAAAGACAGTAAAGGCCGTGGCTCGTCGAGCATTCTCTTGCCCGCCGTGTTTCACACTGTTGATTTCTCAATGTCTTTCAAAGCCATCGCTACCTCTTTAGTTCCCACATTCCACATCCTATTCCCTCACGCATCCCCACCCAACTTTCCAACCTCTTCTATCCCTAGGCCAAGGGAAACCCTACCTACCTAAGTACACAGATATCCCCCTCCTACTCTCTACCTGACCTACCTAGTCAGCTAGTCATCCAACTCCCACCCCAAAACCCCGCCCTCCCAATCAAACACCTGTCTCATCAAATGCTGCGGTCCCCATCTCATATTCCGATCCTCGTAATCCGCTCCCTTTTTCCAATCGATCGTTCCGTGACTGATTAACCATCCCTGCGCCCAGGACGACGGTCGAAAGTGAAACCCGTTTGGGTCGTGGGAGCCTAGGTTTCTGCATAAGCGGGGATGGCGGAAGGGTTTAACTTTTAGGTTTTGGTTTTGGTCGAGGGGGATTTTGAACAATGAGTTTTCGTGGAGGAAGTAGTGCCGGTGGGCGGTGTCGAAGAGGGATTTGATGGGCGGGAGATGCGGTGTCTGAGAAGAGGAGGGGGAGGAGGGTAAATAGGACGATGCAAAAGCTGCTTTGACGAATAAATCTGGGAGGTTGTCGCATGTGGCAGCATTCAGGCGGAATGTGTGAGCGAGAAAGGCACGCAGGAGGTCCTGTCGGAGGGAGTGGGCGAAGCGGCAGGGTGGGAAGGTGTCGAGGTGGTAGTCTCTGAACTCGGAGTTGATGGAAGGGGAGTTGGAGGGAGTCCCGGTGAGGAGAAGAAAGCCGGGGTGAAGGGAGTCTGGAGGGTGTGGAGGGTCGGCGGCAGCGGTAACGGGATTAGAATCGGGATTGGAAGGGTCATCGGGACTTGTACCAACCAAGGAAATACCATCGCTGGTAGTATCTCCCGCAAGGTCCTCATCGGCCCCATTTCCTGAGCCCAAGAGTCTTATGTGATCCGCGGACCAATCCCAAACAAAGTCAGCAAGCCGAGGAACGTCCACCACGTTGTTCCGCTTGTGCACTTGATCTTCTTGCCAGCTTGTGTCCGCCTGGCAGTCGTAGCCGGGACAAAGCGGACGATATGGGGCAGAAGAAGTAAGAAGCTCCTCTTCATTCAAGGGTTGTGCCCATGCTTGGAGAAGAGCAGGCTCAATCCGCTGTTGAGCAGCGCGCAGAATGACGTTGATCCATTCGTATCCGGTGTGTGCATCGGGGTGTTTACTGTTGAGGACGGAGAAAATGGGGCAGGTGCAGAGGGCGGTGTTGGCTAGCTGGGGCTCAGATGAAGAGGACGGATCAGAGAGAGGTGATGAAGAGAGGTAGACGTCCGCGCCATCGGATAGGAGTTGGCCGAGGTTCCAAAGCCAATGGGACATCAAGTCCACGGACGGCTTGTGCTTGACTAGTTCCTGGGTGGTGAACTGGGGACAAGCCATCCAAAGAATCTTCTTACCCAGCTTGTACTGATCATAGGGATCGTCCGCACGATCTGGTCTGCCCATGTGTCTGTAGGCAGTCATTGCAGCGAAGGCCTCGACTACTAGAACCCAATTTGCATTGAGCGTCAAACGGCGGACGGCAGGTTGGAAGATGTCATCGATTTCTTGTTCGGACAAATCTAAGCCATACCTGTTGGCTGCGGTAATACCCAAGTTGGCTAGCTGGGCGTCGATAAGAGTATACGCTGGACGAGGCCGTTCGTCAGGCGATAGCCGGTTCCACCCAAGATCCGGGGCGGATGCGGTCTTGATGAAGTTGTCGAGACAGCGGACTTTACAGTTGGTGCAAATGTCGGCGCAAGGACGGATGTAATCTTTGAGGAAGAGGAGGTAGGCTTGCGGGTCGTCGGACAGGTAGAGAAAGACTGGAGAGGCCATGACTGGATATTGTGTGTTTGATCGATAGTGGGACTAGGGTACCTACGGTTCGTTGAATGGTAGTTGATGGGGGTGTGCAAAACAAATCGAACGGCAGGGCTGTTACGGGCGACTATTTATGCTGAGAAAGCGGCTCGAGATTGGCGGTAAGGCTCGTCATTGAGTGGTAGGTTGATTGGGGATATTCACCGATGTGAATTGTCCGGTATTGCGAGGTGTGCTTGATCACCGCCATGGCTCGTCATCACAACTCGAGTGAATAAGTGAATTGACCCACAATGCCTCACGTCCTTTCCCAGCTCAAGCGTCCTCGACATCCTTTCCTTCCAATGCCCTCCTCCTCCTAATCTCAAACCCCTCCAAGATCGTCTCCCTCTGCTCTTTGTGGGTGAAGTTCAACTTGAGCTCTTCCGTCTCCCCCCCTTCACCCTCAACCATCATTCTTTCCGCTTTACACTCTTCCTCCGTCGCCCACACAAACCTCACATGCTCATTCGGATCCATCACCACCTTTGGTAAGCCCTTCCACTTGCCATCCACGTTCCCATCCATCTTCTCTTCCGCATCAAACCCCTCATCAGTTTCCACCTCGACACTAATCTTCATCACCACCTTCCCACTCCTCGTCAAAAACACCTGCGGCTTTTCCTGTCCACCAACCTGACAAACCATCCTCTTGGGCAGCAGCCCGGCTTCCTCCCACATTTCGCGGGCAACGCCATGCAAAAAGGACTCGTCTTCGGGGTCGCAGGCGCCGCCGGGGATTTCCCAGCGCAGAGGCATCGAGTCGTGCGGGGCGCGTTGGAGGAGGAGGATGCGGTCTAGGGCGTCGGGCGCGGATTGGGAGAAGACGAGGGCACCGCCGGCGATGGCTTGGGGACGGATATGTGTAGAGGTACTTGCGCTGCCTTGGAATTGGAGAGGGGTGGAGAGGAAGTGGGAGATGGGGTGGTTGAGGTGGGTGGCGGAGGGGGAGATGGAGAAGGTGAAGCCGCCTTGGGGAAGGGGGCGGGGGAGGGGGGCCATTGTGATCTGGATGAAAGAGTCCGAGTGTGGTAGTGACAAAGGGATATGGAATTGGTTTTGTGCCTGTAGCAGTTGATGTTGATGTGAAACTTGGTGTTGAATGTTTGTCGGTCGGCGTCGTCAATTCGCCGCGAAAACGGGTCGTCCCGGCAGGCAGCAGTGACAGCCAGCCTCAAAATTGTTAGTGTAACCCACCCCCGCGACCCGCTATCAATCACCTCCAACCAAACTTCCACTTTTGATTCTACTGTATTTCATCCTCAACCTCATGTCATCATCTACATACTTCTAGACAGCAACCGCTAACAATTCCACCCAGGCAAGCCAGGCCCAGCCGAAGGAGTCCGTCCATTGAAACAAGGGGGCCATCATCGTCACAAGCAGCCTCTGATCCGCTCGCACTGACGCACCCCGTTCATCTCAGGGGACTCCTTGGCTGTCACGGTAGCGTACCACTGGCGGCCCAAACCCTTGGAATTGGAGGCTCATAAGCTCCCTTGTCCATATCAACCCCTGGATTATGGGTTTGATCTCCGCTCGACTGCGCTCTTGTGGCGTCGCACCTTTCGGGCGAATGTGACCGTGTCGGGGATTTTTACGGAATCTGAAGACGGCCCAAGATGGCAGTCCGTTAGGTCAGGATGAGTTCGGAGGTTCTTCACTAGGTCGAATTGGGTTGGTTGTTGGTGATGTTGCTGCTGCTGCTGCTGCTGCTGGGATGGATTCGGGATGGGATGCCTACTAGTCTGGTGGTATTGACGGAAGAGGAGATATCCGATGAGATTCCGGATATGAACCAGCTACGTCCGCTATTGCAGTCCATTCATCTATTGTCAATTTCATTCGGGTAGCATGCCATGGGTCGCCATGTGGTATTCTCGATTCTGGGCTGTCACAGTCAATACTTCTCGGCATCCGGTAGACGAGAGGCAGTCCTCCACCCACCTCACACAATCCCTTTCCTGGTACCACACATATTCTGCCTTGAAGATTCATGATCTCGTATCGTGAAGTTCTTTGATTGTTTTCTTTTTCTTCGTTTTCTATCTTGTTATTTTTTCCTTCTTCCATTCTCATTCCCTTCTCTCTTTACTGGCCACAATACCTCTTCCCGTCTGTTACTCTTGGAGCGGGCCGAAGTGGTGGAGCGAAGTGACTCGGATATCTCAACCTCATCCCGTCCGGACCGCACGCAGTCAACGATCAACATCCTAGGTTGACTTTTTCATTCACTTGATCATCATAGTACGCAGGTCGTTACTCACTGTCTTTTCTGGAATTTCCTTGTTTCATGCCCAACCAAGATCGGCCTGTCTTTTCCTTCTTTCGTTCTTAATCCAATTTTCTCCATCTTGGATATTCCATGCCAACCGATCTGCGATAACCCTTTGAGCAACCAGCTGCCGACATGGCGGCTTTTCCCTTCCTCTCAGCCTCTTTTGTGCTTCTTCAGCTGGCATTAACATGTTCGGCCCAACATCCGAATCTTACTACTGGGCCATTGCACCTCGCCAGCCACACCCCCGGTGATGGCTGCGTCCACCTCCCCATCATCCACTCTACCAACACCAACCACTTTGCCCGCCGCGGCATCCAACTCGCTCTCAATAATCGGTCAGACGTAGCTTACTACGCCCAACGTACGTTCTTTTTTTTTTTCTTTTTTTTTTTTTTCCTTTTTTATTTTTCGTTCCCTTCTCCTCCCCAATACTAACCCCGGTGACAGTCGAAATCGGCACCCCTCCACAAACAGTCTACACCCAACTCGACACGGGCTCCTTCGAACTCTGGGTAAACCCGGACTGTACCACCGTCTCGCCCTCGGACTCCTCCTTCTGCGACCACATTGGCTTCTACAACGCCTCCCTCTCTTCCACGTCCAAATCCCTCGGCACCAGCAAAACCCTCCGTTACGGCATCGGCGCCGCCAACATTTCCTACGTAACCGACACCATCTCCCTTTCCGGCTCTTCCACCTCTTTGAAAGATATCCAATTCGGCGTCGCCACCTCCTCCAAAGATGCCTTTTCGGGAATCCTAGGGATCGGCTACGGCCAAGGCTTAGCAACCAAATACCCCAATTTCATCGACCAGCTGTACGCCCAAAAGATCACCAAAGTCAAAGCATACACCTTAGCGCTAGGATCCAAGACTGCTCAACAGGGGAGTATTGTTTTCGGCGGAGTGGACACATCCAAGTTCGCTGGGCCGCTGGCGAGACTACCGATTATTTCAGCGGAAGACTCGCCGGATGGCGTCCCGCGGTTTTGGGTGCAGATGAATGGGATCAGACTTAGGCCGCCTTCAGGACAGAGCATGGGCGTTTATGAAGGAAGCAAAATCCCGGCGTTTTTGGATAGTGGGAGTACCATGACGATCTTGCCGCCTGCGTTGGCGAACAAGATTGCCGAGGACTTTGGGAGCCCGGAGATGGATGCGAATGGGTTTTATCGAGTCGGGTGTGAGTATGTGGATATGAATGGGACGATGGATTTCGAGTTTGTGGGTGTAGGACAAAAGGTGACGGTTAGGGTGCCGTATAAGGAGATGATCAGGGAGGTGGGACAGGGGGAGAGCAAGATGTGCTTTTTGGGGATCATGGGCAGTGAGAGTTTTACGTTGTTGGGGGATACGTTTTTGCGGAGTGCTTATGGTGAGTTCAGTCCTCTCTTTTTGTTTTTGTTTTTCAGTAGAGGTATTGCTTGGGTGAATGCTAACGGAATGAAACAGCTGTCTTTGACTTTCAAACCAATTCCATTTGGTTGACGCAAGCCACTTCATGCGGTAACACGCCCGCCGCGCTTAGGGATGTTATGGATTTGTCTCGCGTGGTAGGGAATTGTCAGATACAGCCGGGCCAGAAGGAGGCGGTAGTGGATGTGGTTTCGGAGACGTCGATTGCGCCGCCTACTGGTTCGACAGGCGACGCTGATGGTGTGACTGGGACGGGAGGAAATGGAAATGGAAATGGGGGGACGCGCACGGCGTGGGGGTTTGTCACCACGACCTTGGCGGTACCTATGGCGACAGGTTTAGCCGGTGGTGGTGGAAGTATGAGCGCGACTGCGTTGGATTCCTCTGGGAGAAGTATGGCTGGTGATGTGGTGTTGAGCGTCGCGGTGGCTGTTGGTGCTGCGGTGTTGGGAAGTCTGTTGTGATGTGATGCATTCTGAGTTTGCATAGCATGGCGTGTTCAATTGATTTCCTCCTTGATTGTGGTCCACCAATGTGCAGTGACGTATGTACCGATGAGATGAATGAAGTGAAGCGATTCACGGTTTGAGAGTGGCAGACATAACCCTAACCCGTGTTCTTGGCACATGGTTTGGGTTTGGGCCTGCGACGCACAGAGCCTCGACTGGAGGAGTCAAGCTGAAAATATCGGACGGATGACGTTTTGTCAGCGGCCACCGAGAGCATCGGTGCGACCCTCCCTCCCGTTTAAAAGAAACATGGAGTGAGAAGTGGTGTGTATGTGTGCGTGGTTCTGGCGGCAAATTTCGGTCTTTTTTTTGGGGTTTTTTTTTCTTGGGGTGAACCGGGCAAACGGGAAGACGGGAGTCATCAAAAGAGGAAAAAAAAAAAAAAAAAACAAGCCTCATCATCTGCCCAGCAAGGTGGTTTAGCAACAGCGATGAACCCATTACAATTGCTGCCCATCGAATCCACTGTTGTCCACTGTTTTCCACTCCAACATGCACTGACCCGCATGTACCTCTACACTACGTTGATGTGCTCGCCCTTTTCCCCTGCCCGCCATCGCCTTCTGCCGCGCACTACATTGATTACCTCTGATGTTGAGGGGATTGACCAATTAGAGAGCTCTCCCAAGGCCTAGAACAGCGAAGCTAGGCAGGTATTGGTGCATTTGTGTCGCATTGCAGATTTTGTGCATGAACCGGCTCGCCCTCCACTGGTCAAGAGGCTTTTCCAGGGCATTGATCAGGGTACAGAAAGATACCAGGAGTCAGGATTTGATATCAACCTACTTCCATCCCATCTCTCTTGCCCTTCATTTTACTGACGATAACCACTTCTTTCTTTTTTTTTTTTTTTTTTTTTTTCGGTCAAATAAAAGGGAAACGAAGCGCCAAGATGACGCGAAGCCAGAGGAGCTCGACCTTGGACTCTGCAAGACCCTTGCTCAGCCATCATGACACCGAGGACGATTTGTTATGGCAGCAGCGGTCGCGATATCACGGCACAGATGCTGCGGTAGCCCGTGCACCGCACGTCAACGACGGCAACAATGTTGGTGATGATAATGATGATGATGGGTTGGAGGATTATATCAGCCACTTTGACGACGACCCGGATAACCCGCAGAACTGGCCGGCGTCATTCAAATGGAGTGTGGTGGCTTTATTGGCCATGACGGCTTTTAGTGTGTACGTGCGCACCGTGATTCTCACACCTGTTCACATATTCATCTCATCTCCCTTGTCTTTACAATAATCCAAAGCTGACAAACCCCAAATAGCACATTCAACTGCATCTCCCTCGTCCCCCTCGCCCCCTCCATCGTCCGCTCCCTCACCCCTCCACCTCCTCCCCCCTCCGACGGGACGGACTCTTCCCTCCCACCACCCGCCAACCTCAAATCCGCCTCCGTCCTCCTCGTCACCATCTGGGAACTAGGCGAGGCCGCGGGTCCTTTACTCATCGCCCCGCTCTCGGAGCTTTTCGGGCGCTACCCAACCCTCAACATCACCAACCTCCTCCTCATTTTGTTTACTATCCTCACCGCCACCGCCACTTCGGTACCTACGCTCATCTTGTCCCGCTGCCTGACGGGCATGGCAGTCGCTTCGAACGTGCTCAACCCCGCCATCGTGGGGGACATGTTCCCTTCTGACCAGCGCGGGAGCGCCATGTCGCTCATCTTCATTGCGCCGCTTATCGGGGGCGCGGTCGGACCAGCGATCTCGAGTGCCGTCGCGGAGAGCGTAGGGTGGAGAAAGGTGGTGTGGGGGGTAGTGGGTTTGAGCACCATTTGCGAGATTCTGTTCTTGTGTTTGTTCAAGGAGACGTATAAAGTGGCGATTGTGAGGAGGAGGGTGATGAGGGAGAAGCACAGCAGGCACAGGTTGGCGAATGCGCATGTGGATATGAGCACGGGCAACTTAAAAAGAGGCAAGAAGAGCAAGCGCGAGGAGTGGAGGAAACTGAGGGATTCGGTGTTGAGGCCGTTCTTGGTGGTGTTTGGGTCCGGACTGCTGATGGCCTTGTCGCTGTTGGGGTCCGTCACGTTTTCGTATTTTTACGTGGTTAGTGTGACGTTGCCGGAGATTCTGGAGGACAAATATGGGCTGTCGGGGGCGGTGAAGGGGTTGTGTTTTATGGGGTTTAGTACGTTATCCTTTTCCTTTTTCCCTTCTTCCATGACATACCTACTAACGCACTTCAACAGCCGTCGGCTCCTTCCTAGCCGTCCTAACCTGCAACGCCTTCCTCGACCGTATTTACATCGCCCTCCGTGACCGCGACGCCGCCCTCACCCAGCCTTGCTCCCCGGACGATTGCCGACCCAAGGAAAAACCAGAATACCGCCTGCCCCTCACCATCCTCGGCGCCTTCAGCATGCCCTTCGCCATCACCTTTTACGGCTGGGTCGCCCAGCTTTCGCTCCCTCTCCCTTTCTTGCTCATTGCTTGTGGGCTGATTGGCGCCAACACCATGATGACCCTGATCCCGCTGATGGCTTACGTGGTGGATGCGTTTGGCTTGTTCTCGGCAAGTGCCATGACGGGTGTGATTGTGAGTAGATGTCTGATGGGCACGTTCTTGCCCTTGGCAGCGGCGCCACTGGTGGATTCGTTTGGGTATGGATGGGGGTTCATGGTCTTTGGAGTCATGAGTGGCGCGTTGGCGCCGATTAGTGTGGTGGTGTTTAGGTACGGAGAGAGGTGGAGGCAGTTTTGCAAGTATAGCAGGGTGGAGCAGTAGGGGTTGTTAGGTATTGTGTGTGTGTGTGTGTGTGTGTGGAAGAGAGGGATCTGTGGACGAGATTGATTGGGATACGATATGGATTGGATATGATGGGATATGATGGAATATGGACGAGCAAAAAACAAAGGATGGGAAAAGTTATGGATTGGGTTTACACGATTAACGACTGGACGACAAAAGTTGGGTTGGATAAAAGACAAAAGTTCTGGCTTGGTTGTTGAAAGGGATGCGCATTCATTTCCCTGTAATGGAGTTTGGGGGAAGAAAAAAAAAGAGAATAATTAAAGGTGTTTTTCACTATGAAGTCGTTTTTACAACTTCTTCTGCAAATGAACTCGGTCACTGTTGAAGACAATGCTGATGTCGTCGTCTTGTTGGTCTTGGCGGGCATTTTTATATGAGAACCGCATACAGCCAAGATCTGCAAACCCATACAAGTTTGCCAACAAACTGAAATATTTAACCGACCATCGAACAGTATTTGTAAGTGCGCCCTTGGTGATGATTGCCTTTGACAAATACACAACCCACGGATCGTAACCCGGCACCACCGGCCCATGGGGCTTAGATCGGATATGTAACACGGCCCCTGGCGGCCCATCAGGGAACATCCGTGGAGTCCGGGGTCCGTAGCTCCGGAGAGTCGGAGAAGACGGGTGTGTCCAAGTTTCAGATGGTCCGTCTCAAACCCAACGACTTCCGTTCCGGTCCCTCTTGCTCCGGCCTTTGTAATGTGCCCATCTCTCGTGTAGGCCAAGGACGTTGAAATTGCTCGGCTGGGTCTAGGTACCTTGAGGCTTCGTAAGAATACCCAACCACCCTGGGACAGAGTTTTGCTAGCTTCAGGAGGCGCTGATCAGTTGGCGCGCTACGTGTACTACGTACCTAATGGCCGTCGCTGAGGCATCGCTGTGTGAATACGGTGATGAGTGGGCTGGTTCCCTTGGTAGTATGCGCAACCGTTCTGGGAAACAGGGCTATACAAGTAATGTAAGTCTGCGATTCCTACAGTTGAAGGGAAATGGAATTGGAAGGTCATGTGTTCCTTGGAAGAAGGTAACCTGGCGATCAGTGATCCGGAGCTCTGGGCAGTGGGCAGCCATTCAGCGGTGGATGCCGCCATAGAGGTTAGTAGGTCGGGTAGAACAATACAGGGATACCCCACTACAGAATACCTCGACAAAGTGCCAAGCACGCCGCCCTGGAAATGGTTCCTGCCCCATGACGCACTTTTTCCCTTGCACCGCTTCCTCCCGCCGTACGGTATACCGCTCGGTAGTACCTCTACGGCACTACGTACTTTGGAGTGGACAAGACCAACAAAAATGAAAAGGATCAACATGGCGACGCTTTCTTGATTCCATCTCAACAAGGCCAATTGGGACCATGCCATTGCCCCAGAAAAGAATCCCGTCATGCCCGCCCTGTTATCCCCGAGTCACGACTCCACGCCCAAGTCACTGTCCCTGCAAAAAGTTGCGACTAAAGAAGAATCCACAGAAGCCGCCGTTTGATCTTCCCTTCTTTTTTTTTTTTTTTTTTTTTTCCGTCTTTTTTTTTTTCTTTTCCTTTTTCTCTTTTTTTTTTTTTTTTTCATCTCCCCACCACAACCAAGTCACCGCCACATCCCAAGTCGACAGTTGTCCGCCCGCTCGCTCGCCATGGCAGAACAACAGGATGCCGGCGACCCGAGGCGGCGACAGACTCGCGACTATCCCGATTCCCCGATCTCGGTAGAAGAAGGCTTTGCGACAGCCACCACCCTCGCTTCCCGACACCAGCAACAACAACAGCAGCACGAATATGAACATGAACCACCACCAACCCCACGATTACCCGACGGCGATGGCGATGATGGCCTTACCACCGATACCGACAGCGACACCGACGATGACATGCGCGTCCGCACCAATGTTACCAATGTCGCCCCAAATCCAGTCCCGCAGAAACCAAGCAAGAAGGCCGGCTGGCTGGCCGCCATGGCTGCTAAGCTGGGTCTCGACATGCCCACAGTCATCACCATGTTCAAGTACGTTGTCTGGCTTCAGTATCAGGTAGGTAGGTATACAAGATACTAACAACACACAGAGGCTCCCTCCCCCCTACCATCGGCATCGCCATGTGCCAGTCCCACACCATCGCCATCTACTTCGGCACCGTCGGCTACCTCGTTCCCATCGTCTCCGTCCTGGCCATTGCCATCCTCCCCCGCGGCAAATTTCTCATGAACTTGGTCCTCAACCTTCTCGCCATCTGCTTCGGCTCCGCCGTCTCCATGCTCGCCCTCTATAGCGCCGTCAAGGCCCGCGAACACACCACGCCCAAAGACGCCCCGGTTTCCGCGCTGCCGACTTACAACTCGAGCCAGAGCGCTGTCTGTGCCGTCTGGCTGTTTTTCAACATCTGGCTGGGAAACGTGGTCAGGGCCAAGATGCCGGCCTTCAACATCTCCATCATTATCTACAGTATCCTGGTCAACATCGCTGCTACTTTCGGCCCCATCATGACCACCATGGCCGCCGCCCAGCACTTTGTCCAGCAACTTTTGACAGGCATGTTGCTGGCTATGGCCATTGCCTCGGCTGTCAACCTTTTCATCTTCCCCGTCAGCAGCCGTCTGGTGGTCTTCAAGGAGTTTGCGGGCGCCATTGGCCTGCTGCGAAAGACGGCTTCCCTTCAAAAGGCTTACCTGGCCAGTCTCGAGTCGGAGGATATGTTCGCGCCTGCTACGAGAACTGATACCTGGGCGAGGAAGGAGGCAAAAAAGGCCGAGAAGGGGAATCGAAAGCCAAGAATTACCAAGGAGGCCAAGGCCGCGAAAGCGCTGGGCGAGACCGCTGCTGCCCTACGAGAACTCTCTGGAAAGTTGCATGCCGACATGGGCTTTGCCAAGAGAGACATTGCCTGGGGAAGGCTGGACGCCTCCGATCTCAGCCACATATTTACCCTGTTGAGGAACGTTTACATTCCTGTTTTGGGCATGACCACCATCATCGACATTTTCAAGCGCGTCTCCGAAACCCAGGGGTGGTACACAGAAGAAGACACGCCACCCGAGGTGGTAGCCGAGAAGGAGATCGAAAAGCGGGTATGGAACGAAGTCATGAAGCAGATGCACGAGCCCTTTGAGATCCTCTCCGAAGCCATCGACAAAGGTCTCCAACACGCCGCCTTCCAGCTGGACCTTACCCCGCGCCCCAAGAAATCTAAAACTGCCGACATTGAGGAAAAGGCCGGCCAGCCTCTGCAGCCTGGCGATTTGGGGTATGCTCAGGTGATCCATGAGAAGGTGGCAGCCTTTTACGCCAAAAAGGGTGAGCTTTTGAAGATTTGGGTCAAGGAAAAGGGTCTGATCTACGACGAAGAAGGCTTTACCGCCCACGACACCGTCCCTCTCGAGCGCCAAAAGCGCGACCAAGCCCAGCTCAACATTTTGCTCTACATGGAAAACCTCATGCACGCCTCGGGCAACGCCGTCTACGAGTTTGCTGCCTACGCCGATTCCAAGGTCGAAGACGGCACCATGTCGCGCAAGCGGTTAATCATGCCCGGATTCAGGCGCTTGGAGAAGTGGTTCCTTGCTGTTCTGCGGAATGAGGACTCGACAGCCGAGGGATCGCCTGACCTCTCGGAAAGCAGCAACACCATTGTCAGCTTTGGCGATGGTTTCAACAACAACAAGAAGGACCCCGAACACCTTCCGCCCGCTACTGCGTGGGAACGCTTCGGCAACCGCCTCCGCAAGATCTCAAAGTTCTTTGGCTCAGAAGAATCCGCTTTTGGCTTCCGTGTCGCTTGCGCCACCATGTCCATTGGCATCGTCGCCTACCTCAAGGAAACCCAAGCCTTCTTCCGCGAGCAGCGCCTCGTCTGGGCCATGATCATGGTAGCCATTGGCATGACCATGACATCTGGCCAGTCGTTGTTTGGCTTCATCTGCCGTACAAGTGGCACGGTGGCGGGCATGGTCCTGTCACTGATCGTGTGGTATATCGTTGATGGACATCCGCCAGGTGTCATTGTCTTTTTGATGTTGAGCATCTTTCTGTGTTACTACTTCTTCCTCAAGTATCCCCGGTTTGTGCCCGCGGTCATGATCACCGTTGTCACGCAGGTCATGATCATCGGCTATGAGTTGCAGGTGGGCATGATTGGAAGGGCGGCAGCGGAGAGAACGGGGCAACCTGTATATGAGTGAGTTGTCCATTTTTTCTCTTGCCAAAGTAATCGCTAACAGTGTCCGCAGAATCTACCTCTTGGGCCCCTACCGCCTCGCTTGCGTTGCTGGTGGCTGTCTCGTCGCCTTTATCTGGACCATCTTCCCCTCGCCACTAACCGATCGGACCTGGCTCCGCCGCGACCTCTCAGCGACCCTCTACCTCGTTGCCAACTACTCGTCCATCATCAACTCCACCCTACAAACCAAGCTTACCGAACAGGCAGGAGACGTCAACATCAAGGGAACCCCCGCCCACCAACTCTTCAAATTCCGATCCAAGATTTTCGGCAAGCTGATGATGCTCATCCCCTCCATGTCTCAGCACTCGGAGTGGCAGAAGTGGGAACCCACTATCGGCGGCAGGTTTCCCCGGGAAGTTTATGATGAGATTATTCTTAGGACCAACCGCATGGTGGCCTATCTGACGCTTATGAGCTACACGATTACGAACCCGATTCATGCCCCAACCAAGATGAAACCGTATGCTTCGCAAAACCAGATTGCCAGCCCGCGCGCGTCGTCGGTGGCCGTGTACCCAAAGTGGGATAATCAGGTTGCGGAACTGGTCATGACTTTGGAGCCAACGCACCACACAATCCTGTCGACCTTGACTCTGCTCTCCAACTCGTTACTCTCCGGCCAGAGTCTCCCACCATTCATGCCCCTCCCGCGTCCCTACGACATAACCCGCCGCCTCATTCGCCTCGGAACAACCAGTCCACTCCGCAGCCACCCCGCAAGCCCTTATGCATCCGGCGCCGAATCCGACTCCGACTCCGAAGACGATGATGCCGATGACGCCTACAACGAGCCCGAGCCATTCAAGTTGATGGACTCGCGCTCCGGCGAAGACGACTACGAGCACGTTAAGCGCGAAATCAGCTACTTTTCTTCTCACAGCCACGACGCCCGCCACCAATCTCTCTCCCAAGCCGCCAACCCTAACGCCACCACCCCCTCTCCTGCCCAATCCCCCGGTGCCTCTCCTTCAGGCTCTGCCCATCTGGCCTTTTCCTTCCCTCCAGGGATCCAAACCCATTCGCCCACACACAGCCGCAACCCATCGTTCTCTCGACCAAGGGCGTTTTCGCCTTCGCACTCTCGCGCTCACTCGCGCGCTCCAACGTCGCGGGCGCACTCGAGGGCTCATAGCCGTGCGCGCTCAGTGCAGCAGACGAACCAAAACCTTCTTGAAGGTCTGCTTCAGGATGAACCGGGGTACGCAGAGTTTGCTGTCCTCCAGGTGTGTACGGGCCTGGTATGCGATGATCTCGAGGGACTGGTCAAGGCGGTGATTAGTCTGGTGGGCGTAGTGGATTTTAGCTTTCGCGTGGATCGGAGTGAGGAGGAGGTGCATTTGGGGAGGAGGGCGAGTTTGGCGAGGAAGATGAGGGAGGTGAAGAGGATGGGGACGATTGGAAGGGGGAAAGGGAAGGGAAAGGAGAAGGCGAAGGCGAAGGCGCAGTGAGGGAGGTAGGGAGTGACGAAGGGGAGATATGGAGAGAATTGAAGTGGGGATGAAAGAAGAGAAGAGATGAATATTAATACCCAAACTACCTAGAGGTAGTCAGTCAGTCAGTCAGTCAGTCAGTTAGTCACACATCATGACTTACGTTGGGACTGGATGGGAGTGGAGTGGACTGGAATGGAACGGGCGCAAAGAAAGGCGTTCGTCCCTGGTGCATTTTCCAGCTCGGCATACTTATTTTCTACGAAGGGATTGATTCATGGCTCATGTCCAGCATGTCTAGCAACGTCATTATGCCCCCCATATCATATTTTACATGTCGTCACTTGGGATCGGATCTATGCTAATGTTTCTATGGATGATGGATGGAAATTTCAAATTCATTTGTTATATATCTTACTTACCTACGTACCTACATACCTAATTACCTACTTTATATATAGTCTTCGCAGATAAGAGAAAAAGATGAGAAAAGAAGAGATAAAGAGAGGAATCTAATGATATTTGATGTTCGTATATCAAGAAAAGTAAGAAGAAGAAGTCAGAAGGTGTTTGGTTCCTTTTGTGTAATGGACTAGACTAGAGGTGTCGGTTGTCAACTTGGTGTGTTACTTTTACCTACTGGAACCAGTGAGCGCGGCGCGGCCCGGGCCGTTCCGGTGCTGCCCGTTCGTTGGTAGGTCTTTATATTGAAATTGAGTGTAACGTACAGTCCAGTATTAGGTTGTTTGTTAATTCGAGACGTCGTGTCAACTTTCCTATGCGTTTTCATGGCTAACTAATGTATACAATCTTATCTTGGATACGCTATCTCTAGTATTTAAAATGCTAAATTAAATCCAACTAATACCTATTAATTTATTCATATAACCTTTAGGACCGTTCGAAATAGATTTTGTCTAGTATATTATATTTTCTATATAGTAGGAGTGCCTAGTGTACTAAGTTAATAATTAAACTAGTATTGGACTGTACTTGCTTTATATATAGTCCACGTAGATGAGAGACAAAAAAAAGGAGGAGAGAAGAAAAGATAAAAAAAAGAATAAAAGAGAAGAATTTAATAATATTTAATATTCGTATATTAAGGAGAGTATGAAGTTAGAAGGTGTTCGGTTCCTTTTGTGTTACAGAGTACGCTAGAGGTGCCGGTTGTCAACTTGGTGTGTTACTGTTACTTCAGTGTAGAGATACCTAGGACAGGTAGCGCGGCCCGGCCCGGGCCGTTCCGGTTCCGCCCGTTCGTTCGTTGCAGGCCTTCATATTTAAATCGATTGCGACTTTACTTGGGACTTTGCCCATAATCCAGGCTATTTGCTCGCATCTAGAGGTACATGTAAGTTCCTTCCCAGTCATCTGCTGTCTTTTCACTCAGCTCCGGCCTGTTGCTTAAGAGGACCGCTACCTCGCAAGTAGGTGCCTCTAACCCCCCAAGTTCTTTTTTTCGCCTTTCCGATTTGCCTATGCCCACCAGAGTTGGTATCTACCTACCTAGGCACTACCCTCAGCTTGTCCCCCAACTCCCCCCTTGTAGCCTTTCCTAGATACCCTTCCTTCAACCCCATGACGTACATAGTAGCATTCAGTCCGTCTACATGTACATGTACTCCAACTCCAACCCCGTCCTCACACACCTTTCCGGTCCCCAATAAAGACCCATATCCTCCCAATCCGCCCCTTCCCACTCCCCATATCTAACCTCCCCCTCCGCGCTGTCTATGTCTTCTTCACCACTGTCCCTCGACCAATCAATCAGCAACTCGTCCCCCCATTCCCATGACCCCCGTCTGCTCGGCATCCCCTCGCGAAACGGCTTCACCCCCTCCCTCTTATTCGCATCCAGCGACACCTGCCACACGTCCCTCACTCTCTTCCGTAACTCTCTAACAGCCGCTTCAAAGACTTGTTTCATCGGATGTGGTTCACCACCAGGAAAGGGAACGAACTGAAAAGCCGAAGCAGTAACCCAATCCACCCCGCTTTCAGCACGATTCCCTTCCATCGACCTGTTCAACTTGAAGTTCTTGTTCAACGCAATGAACGTCGTCAACATACTTCCCCTTAGATGATGCGCCAGTCTTGTTCTCGAAAAGGTCTCGAGGGTTTGGTGATGCGGGTGGAACCACCATGGAGATCTGTACCAGTCTTGGAAGATCGCTAGGAGGAACTTGTCTCTGTTTTGTATGTTTGCCGTTTCGGAGTGACAAGACATGGCATCAAGGGGGTGACACCCGGTAGACACATCAAACCCAAATAAAAAAGAAACTTCAACGTCCCGCGCATCAGTGTTAACGATGTCTCCCTGGAAATCGGTGTTCAAGGAGTGGATGTACCGTCTGATGCGGCTGTAGCCGAAGGGAGGCTGGTACCAGCTTTGGTCCTGGGCGCAGTCGTAGCCTGGGGATAAGGGGTGGTGACTTGAATTGTAGGGGGCTCTGAGGTCCTCGGTGAACTGGAAGGGACTTGCACGTGACGAGCAAGCGGAACGGAGGTCTGGAGCAATGCGGGACTGGGCGACGGAGAGGACGAGGTTGATCCATTCGAACCCGGTAAACGTGTCGGGGTGTCGCCCGGAGAGAGGTGTGAAGATTGGGCAGGTACAGCTGTCTTTCTCTTCTGTCTCGTCGGTTGTAGAGGTGGAAGTGTCGGAGCAGAGAAATATCCCCGCCCCTTCAGATAACAGCTGGCCGAGGTTGAACAGCCAAAACTCAATCTGCCCGCCTCTCGGTCGGACGAGGTCGTAACCCGTGAACCGGCTGCAGCACATATGCCTCATCTTCTTCCCCAGCGCATAGCGATCGGTGCCATGTTGGGAGTTGGCAGCGTCGTACTGATCTGGCCTTGCGCGGCCGCGGTAAGCAGTCATGGCCATGACAGCGGAGACGAGGTCGTCCCACCCGCGATCAATCGTCAGCCGTCTCGCAGCGGGCTGGAAGACCATGTCCACCTCGTCTTCGGAAAGATGCAGTCCGAAGGCGTTGGAGGCGGTGATGCCTAGTGCGGAAAGTCGGGCGTCGAGACGCGTGTGTGCAGGGCGGAGACGGCCATCGGGACAGAGTCGGTTCCACGCTAGACCGGGGGCTGAGGCTGTTTTGATAAAGGAGTCGAGGCAGCGGGCTTTGCAGAGGGTGCAGATGTCCGGGTTGGGGCGGATGTAGTCTTTGAGCAGGAGGAGGTAGGCTTGCGGGTCGTCGGAGAGGTAGTTGAAGATGGGACTTGCAACCGTCATTTTGGCACTTTCTGGTCAGGTGGTTGAGTTTGTGATTTGGGAGAAACCGAGAGTATACCTACTGCTAATCACCACACTAGGCCTTTTTATAGGTATCGAGGAACTGACTCAAGAGGACCAATGTCCCATTATTACGCACTCTTGCAGTCGTCTCTCAACATCTTCACCCAGGTGTATCACTCCCGGTCAAGCTTTGGGGTTCGTCATCGACTATTATCACCCCATAGGACCAATAGTAATCCCATCAGAGGAACAAACAGCTTCTTACCGCCGGCCGGCTAGTGTGAAGAGTTGGTCCACCCGCTGTGTCAAGTTGATCATGATGAACTCTCGCATGAATAGGTAATAACACTAAAACACCAAAACACCAAACGCCACGCTAACCTAGAGGTATTTCCCACAAGCCCCCATTGGCTTCATCTGTTCCTCTAAAACTCATCCACATCACTCCATTCCATGGTCCCACTTGCGCTTCCGCTTCCCGTAACGCTAGCACCGCTTCCACTAGCGTCCGACGACATGGAATGCTCCCTATCTCGGCCCGTCGAAAGCAAATTCGTCTCCCACTTGGTCAACTGCCCCTCTCCATTGTTATTCCGACTGTTGTTCTGTGCTGATGTGGACGACTTTGAAGATACCTGGTTGCTATCCGCGATGCACCCATTGCGTTCACAGAATGCAATGATTTGGGCCCATTCCGTTCCTTTTTCTCCTCCGGTTTTCGAAGTTGGAGGTCCCTTGTTTTTCTCCACATCCTTACTATCGTCATCATCCTCCTCCTCCTCACCTTCCTGCTTCTCATGCTCCATCATAACCTCCCTACTTCCCAAAATGATCAGTCCAAACTTGGCCCTCGTCAACGCCACATTCAGTTGATTCCTAATCCCACCCCCCGCCTGACTCTCCTGCCTAACACCCCCCGGCAAAATCCCCCACCCCAACCCGCGATCCCTCTCCACAAACCTCTTTCGACTCCTCGTCACACACAAAATCACCACTCCATGCTCCAACCCTTGAAAGGCCTCGGTCGGCCCCACATTCACCTCCCACATCATACCGTACTGCTCACTCCTGATCAAGCTGCGTATCAGCCGCACCTGCGCTTTGAACGGGGACATGATGCAGATTTCCGATTGCTTCACCAACCCTGATCGAAAAAGGGACAAGGCGTATTGACATGCCAAGTGGGCTTCACCGACGTTGAACCAGCCTCCGGTGGTGGCTGTCGAGGAAGGAGACTCGGGCGAGGGGGCTTCCAGGTCGTCGGGGGAGGGGTTGTCATGATACAAGATAGGCCAGCGACGACCGCGCCACCCGGACCAGGATTTCAGTCGGTTGCGCTCGTGACGATCGGCTTCGGCGACGAGAGTGTCGAAGTAGAAGAGTTTGGAAGGCATCGCCAAAATGGCGGGGTGGGAGCGGTAGTTCCTTATTAGATTTGTGAAGGGCGGGCGTAAGATGGGGAGTAAGTCCGGGTGGAGTTGGTATTGTTGTTGGGGCGGCTGAGCGTCTTTGGCGAGGCGCCGGGCTAAGGGGTGGTTGGCGTAAACGGGTCGCTTGAACAGGCGAGCGAAGAGGGATTCTTGGAGAGGGGTGGAGGGACAGGAGGTGCGCGGGTTGAGTTGTTGTTCGTCGCCGGCCATGATCACGAGGGGGGTAAAGAGCGGTTCGGGACCTTTGAGAGGAGGGGAGACGACGTGGAGAGGGATGAGGGCTTCGGGCTCCATGGCTTGGGCGGCTTCGTCGATTAGGAGGGCGCCCCAGTGTAGACGGGATTTGGAAGTGGGTGGCAAGGTAGGGTGGATCTGTTGATGCAAGGTGGAGGTGACGGTGTGCAGGTCCGAGTTGGTCAGACGCGCGTACATGAGCATGGAGGCGTCTCGGCAAGAGGTGACAATGATGCGGTAAGACATGAGTTGGGCGAAGGGAGGCAGGGCAAAGACGTCGTTTTGCATGTAGCAGTAGGGGAGGAGGTTGCTCAACACCTCTCGTGAGTCACGGGTTGGCCGGTTGAGACGAAGAAGCTCGTTGCGGCTCATGGACTTGGAGAGCCGATCAGCCAAGGTGTCGGCTGCTGGTTCGGATGGGGCACAGACGAGAATATGGGCACAATTGGGGACATTGCGGACGAGTTGGAGGGCAATTTCGATCATGGTCTTGGTCTTGCCTGTTCCGGGAGGACCCGAGATGAGATAGGGCATAGTGCCGTAGTTCTGGCACAGGACTGAGTCGACAGCTATACGCTGTTCGTAGTTCAAAGACTCGTCGAATCGTGTACTGTCGTAGTGCTCCAGCCAGTTGACAACGTGGGTCTGGGAAATGCAGTCTGCTTCCGTGGGGAACAGCATGGACTGGTTCCAGTAAACATTGGTGGTGGCCAACTCGTTCGCCTTGGGTCCCGCCGAGCCGTTATGGGTGACCTCGTCGATGAAGGAATCTAGCGCATCAAAGTCATTTTTAAGGACCTGTTCTGCCAGATCCAGCGACTGCGTGATGTGGGGGAGCACGTCCATCATGGGCGTATACCGGACCATGGGTACGAAGAACTGAATGTTGAACTTGACCACAAACTCTGTCGGCCAAGGCGGGATCATGGTTGGAGTAACGACTTCAGCCGTGTGATAGGTGATTCCGGCTACCCGCAAGACGAGAGTCTCGGTTGCTCTCACCACTGCGGAAACGCGGGCGTTGTAGATGTATCCGGTCCATGGGAAAAAGCTGGATTCAAAGTGGCCGCCATAGTCGAAGCGTAACTGGCGCAGCTGCACCTCGTCGTCCACTTGGACGTTTGGGGTGTTCTCGCGAAGTCCTGGGACGGTGATGGTTACCGTCGGTTCGTTTGGGTCATTGAACTTGAGGATTCCCGTGTGGCCGTATAGCGAATAAGAAGCGTTCTCCTTTCGTTGGTAAGCAAGCTCGACCTCGATCAAGGACCGAAAGTATTTCTCGTAGCATTGTGGAGAGAGATGGGGTGCTTCGGAGGAGAGATTGTCGGCGAACTGGGGCCGAGGAAGGGCGGGCAAAAGACTGGTGGGCAAGATGCCCGAGATGTACTGGAGGTAGTCGATATGTGTCTTTGGGAAGGTGTCGATAACAGTGCCGGCGTACTCGTTGATCTGCTTCAGGGCGGCTGGCACGAAGGTGGGTGCGTATACGTCGAAGCCCCGAGCGTACTGTTCATGGGCGTCAAAAGCTGGAGGGGTTTCGACGGGTGGTGGAGGAAACCAGAGGTCTTGTGCGAGTGTTGCTTGTGTCTTGGCTGACTTTTTGGTTTGGGGATTCGGGGCGCCATGCTTGAAGTGCGTTGTTGGCAGCGGGATCGTGTCTTGACCAGTTTCGGGGTTGACGATGGGCAGTGCCTTGGACTGTTTCGGCGGCAGGGTAAAGAAGGCCATGATGAGGTCCTGTTCGTATTCACCATGTCTTGACGACGCCGAGCACACATGGGGATGATTGGGCTTGTAGAAGAGTCGTCGTCGACCATGACTCAGCCGACGACGATGATGATGATGATTGATAACAAGAGGTTGGGCGAAGAGAGTTACAAACAAACACCCGCCCGACCCAATGAAACAGGGCCGCCCGCCCACGCAGCCCATTGCAGCCTAACAATTTTGTGCTGCCACTCCCGTCAGTCATGATTGGCTGTTTCAGCGACGAAAGTCCGTGCCACAGCCGCTGCAATGGCAGAATACTGCACTGTACCTCTAGGCGCCAATGGGTAGGTACCTAATGGAGGGGCGTATTAACAGAAACACGCTGAATTATAATGATATCTCCATGGAGGTAACTCGAAGAAGGCTCAACAAACACGCCTTCATAACCGTTTACAAATCGTCTCCAAGAACGTCACCTCCTCCGGCCTCAAACTCAGACCCTCGGGAATCTCCACCCCTCGCCTTGAAATCACTACCCTCAGCCCTCTCTCACCATCATCATCCTCCCCCGCCGACTCGGACACTGCCCCGCAACTCTGCGCTTCAATATCCACATCTCGCAACGTCTCATCACTCCTCGTTCCTCTTCCCAGCCGCGACTCCGAACTTGACCCCGTCCTCGTCTCTTCACTTTCTTTACCACCACCACTTGGCCCCTTCTCCAAGCCAGCCACCCCTTCTTCTTTCCCCTCCCCCTTCCCATTCCAAACCTCACCCGTCGGTTCCGGACTCCACCAATAAATCGGAAACCTTCTCCGCAAATTATTCACCACAAGCGCACAGCACATCATGATCACACACCCCAGCATCACAGGCGCAATCAAGAACCAGCCCAGCGCCTGCACCTGGTCGTCCAAACCCGCCATGAGGGCCGTCGCGCCCGCGGGCGGGTGCACCGTGCCTGTGAGCGCCATGACGGCTGTGGCACTAGCGCAGGCGAGCGAGGCGCCCACCCAGCGGATGGATTCAAAGTGCGGGGAGAGGGCAAAGAGTTTGGCGATGGAGATGCCGACTATGCTCGAGAGCAGTTGGCCGCCGATGGCGTTGCGGGGCTGGGAGAGGGGGGATTCGATGGCGTAAAAATCGAGGACTGCTGCTGCGCCCTGTTTGTTTTTTGTAAATGTAGGTTAGTGAATTGTAGTAAGTATTCTAGAGCGAACAGTAGCCGGTAGGGGTGGGTGGGTAGGTAGGTGGAGGTGGATGCATGACATGGAAAATTCGGGGTTAGTCATTCAGCATGCTTGGTGGTGTTGGCGTACATCAATAGTTGATGTAAATCCGGGGGCGGGATGTGACGCCACCACATCGTCCAGCTCAACTACCGTCCATCAAACCCACAATGCACACATCCTTCACAATCATCATCACCATCATCATCACCTATGGAAAAAGAAAAAAAAAGAAAAAAAGAAACTTACAAAACTCCCCACAACAACCGGCACCCCCCTCCCCCGAAACCCCTCATAATGCTCCCCCACCGCCCCAATTATCGTAATCGTCACAAACACGCCCACAAACGCAAACAAAATGATTGCCAAATTCCCTAGCGCCGGCTTCTTCGCCCGTTGGGATGCTGGGCTTCGATATCCCAAAAAGTGCGAAATGGGCGTCGGGAAATGCGGTAGAAAGGAGGCCGGGATAAAAGGGTTGATGAAGTGGTCTATTTCGAGATGCCATGTTGTTGGACGGGTGCGGTACCATGGTTTAGGCATGGTTCAGTTGAATGCGTTTTTGTGGGAGTGAAATTGGGTTGGTCGTGGAATTGGAAGTTCCGTCGTGGGGAAGTAGGTTGTTGGGTCGGTCGGTCGGTCGGTAGGTGAGGTATGGAACTTTCTTTCCGTCTTGGTAGAGGTAGGTATCCACTAAATAAAATGTAGAAAAACAGAAAGAAGAAAACACGAGAAAAACACATGCAAACAAAAGCAGAAGAGTAGGCAACAACAAGCTCAAGATCAATCGGGTGCCACGCCACGAGTGTTATATTCATTCCTCTTTCATTCAATTCCCCTTGTTGACCGCTGACCTAGAACCTTGGTTTCAGTTTCCGACACGTAATAGCTCGAAAACTGTTTTTGTTACGTTTAGCTTCGTTCCGTCCCTCTCTCGATGGATGGATCGATCCCGAATGACGGTCTAGTCTACCCGGTCTGTCCGGTGAAAGGAAGAAAAAAAAAACACCGAACAGCCGAGGAGCCAAGGTCGTGTGTGGTCAAAATAAGGTGGTGTCTCGGTGTGTTCCCATGATCTCATCCGATGGGTCCTGGTTCCAGGGCGGGTCAGGTCCAGTTTGGATGAATACCTAGGTGGATCCACCGAATGGACCTAACTTCACGGTAGCCTCAGTTACCGAAAAAAACCACCTAGGCACTATGTAAATGGCGCTAACAGGTTCACTGTCGGGTTTTAGGGATGGGCTTGCGGGGCGCACGAGCTAGAAGTGGAAGTTCGGGCGGCAGGATTCAGGTCCAGGAGGAGATATGCTAGGGGGCAGATCAGGCAGGTGACGGGAAATGAGCGGGAATGGAAGAAAGGGATCGTAGGTAGGGAGGCCAAATGCAGATCTTTTGACTCCAGTACACTAAACGATGGTAACGGAGTGATGGGCTTCGGGATCTCGGGGATCGGAAATTGAGATGAAGTATAAGAACGGAAACTCGAAAAAAAGTGGTGCCTTGCTGTCTTATAATTCTCCGTCTTGCCTGCCTTGGACAAACTAGAGGTAAGAAGCTGAAGTGGAAAGCAGCAAATCGTGCAAAGACATGGCGTCTTCATCAACCCCTTCTCGCCCGCATATAAAGCCAAACAGTGAATCACATTAAACAGCAACCTCAACTGATGAGCCAAAGATGGCCCACAGTATCCGGCCCTTCCCCGTTTACTCGGCGCCGAGAAAAACAACAGGCAACATATGAAACCGATACTGTGACTCAAACATCCAAAACCCATGGTTTTCAAGCGCTAACCGCGAGACAGCGCCGCGGCATGAATTTGCCCGTCGTCGCTTCTTTCACCTGAGCAAACAGGTGAGTGTCGCTTCGATCCAGTCCCTCTCGCGGGCATCAGATTTGCTAACAGAAACTCCGAAACAGGCTTAGCGGCCGCCTTCGTTGTCCGAGTGGTCCGTGTTACCGGCCACCACCCGGTTCGGTCCTGCGCAGCTATCTCCGCGGAGCTTCTCATGTCCCGTCCGGCTGGCACGCCGTTCAAGTCTGGTGGCTTTTTTTCATTTATTCGAGAGTTTGTAGTGTGAAATATGTGGCGTAGATTTCGGACCCGATCCTCTTAGTCCTGTCGTTCGTAAGCCCACAGGAACACGCTGTTAGCACCCATCTTGATGAAGTTGGGCACTGATAGAGACCATGGATCTGGCATAGCCCCCCAGCTCCCAAACCGCACTTCTGTAAATATGCCCTTTCTGGAGCCTTAGCGCGAGTGCGATACCTGGAGAACTCCTTAGTAATGGTACGTAGCGAAGGTTGGGATAGGGTAAGTTGTGCAGCGCTGGCGGAGAAGGGGAGAGCGCGCGCAGGCGAGTATGGGGTAATTGTTGATGTCAACGTCGAGACATGCTACGGGCAAGAGAAACGACATGGACTACTTGCTGAGGATAAAAATGGGGTTCGGGTAGCGGGAAGTGACGAGAGGGCCAGGGCTATGAAAGCGTCAAATCTGAGCTGTTGATGTTGTGGAATCACATGTGGCGGATGCTACATGGGAAGTGGTCGTCAAACAAATCGAATACCTAGTATGGATAGTCCACGGCAGTTCTACCAGCCGTCTCGGCCAAGAACGACCCTACGAAGTCATTTTTCCAGGTCTAGCCTCGTTTGGCCGGTCTTGGATCTGGATGATGAACTTGGTGAGAGCGGAGTAGGGTCGAGCTGCGTTGGGTGGCAGCGGAGATGGAAGAGGGAAGTTGAAGACAATGGAGTTTGTGAGAGGGAAGAAAACAGAGTGCCCGCCGAGGAGCAACTACAGACATTGGTTGTATCCTTGTTAGTGTTCTGGGGTAACTCTGGAAGAAACGTTAACATTAGTCGCTGTAGGGGGTGGAACTTGAGAAGCTATCAGTTTACTGTGGCATTTACTAGCAAAAGTGCTAACAACGGGTTCCGACAAGATCGGATTGCGAGCCAATAAGTTAATGTCCGTAACAGAGGAGCTGATGTTTCACTAAGTACCTACAGGCTTCTGGTCACTTAACTCTTATAATAGTTGATTATACAAACCTCCATTTCCGTATTCTCAGATATAAGGATGGTTTCAGGCACGAGAACATTGCTGGCATTTCAAGATGCCTAGCTCGTCCGGGACAAAATAATTGAGACCTGTAATATTATACTTGTGGTATACTCCTACTACGCATCCAAGCATCTTTGTAATACCTCTAGTCTTGAGTTCTAGGCAATTCCTGGATAAAAATTTCTAAATAGGACCTATGCCTATATCTTTTCGAATTTGTATAAACCCTAACTGGACAGTCTTGCAACGGCCTTCTCTTTAATTTTGACGATCGGTAGTAGACTGGTTTACCTACCTAACCTGCTGGTTGGTCTCATTTATCTTGTCCTCGATGAGCCTAGCAGGACTGTAACACAGGATTACCCCGCTAAAAAGCAGTGGTGCTCAACTACCCCACACTCAGCCCACAGCACTTCCCTGCCCAAGCCAAACAGCTTTTTCCACTTCGTCATCTTTCCAAATCGACTGATCTTGACCAATACCACCACCAGCACCACCACCACGACTGCGAATCGCAACATTGTGAGAAACTACAATACCAAAACGACGAGCACATATTGGCACACTCGAGTCAACTACGCGAGGATACACACCCATTATTGGCGGTCTCCGATCCAACGCGCAATCTACCTCGTCGTCGACCTACCTCGCGACCTTCCCATACCTTACTCAACACTATACACATTGCCGATTAACTACTTTTCACCGTCCAAGATGCGCTTCACTAACCCCAAACACTCCCTCTCGACGCTCGACCCCTCAGGCGAATCGCCCGTCTCCCTCCTCCCCACGACGCCCGAAGACATGTGGCACGCGCACAACCTGATCGCGCCCTCGGACCTCTTGCGCGCGCACGCCATCCGCAAAGTCGTCACCACGGGCTCGACGGGCTCTACGACGTCGGACCGCGTACACACCGACCTCACGATCCGCGTACAATCCGTCTTCTTCGACCCGGCCGCCTCGTCTCTCCACGTCTCGGGCACCGTCTGCCAAGAGAACCAATACGTCAGCTTAGGCCAGCACCACACTTTGGATCTGGAACTCAACCGGCCCTTTCAGCTATGGAAGCGCAGCGGGTGGGACTCGGTTTCCCTAAAAATGCTGGAGGAGGCGGTGGCGGAAGACACGGGCGAGGCCATGTGCGCGGTGGTGATGCAGGAAGGGCTGGCCAACATCTGTCTGATCACCGAGTTCCAGACGGTCGTCAAGCAGCGGGTGGAAGCCAACATCCCCAAGAAGCGGGCGGGCGGGTCGGCGAGCCAGGGCGGCATGACGAGCTTTTACGAAAAGACGCTGGCGACGCTGCTTCGCACCGTGGACTTTTCCCAGCCGCGGCCGTTGTTGTTGGCGAGTCCCGGGTTTGTGGCGCAGGATTTTAGGGGGTACATGCAGAGCGAAGGACAGAAGAGGACAGACAAAAAATTGCAGAGGATGGCGAAGGATGCGGTGGTTGTGCACAGCAGTACGGGGTATGTGCATAGCTTGAATGAGGTGCTGAAGAGCCCGGAGGTGCAGGCGACCATGAGAGACAAGCGATTTACGGGCGAGACGGCATTGATGGATCAGTTGTACGATCGGTTGAGGAAGGATGATGGGAGGGCGTGGTATGGTGCGAAACCGGTGGAGAGGGCGGTGAAGGAGGGTGCGGTGGGGAGGGGAGGGGGCGTGTTGTTGATCAATAACAAGTTTTTCAGGAGTCTGGATATCAAGACGAGGAAGAGGTTTGTGGCGTTGGTGGACAAGGTCAAGGAGGATGGAGGCGAGGCGAGGGTGTTGAGCAGTGATCACGAGAGTGGGCAGCGGCTGGATGCGCTGGGTGGAATTGCTGCGATTCTTACGTATCCGATTTATGACTTGGATGAGGACGAGGTGGTGGAGGAGGGTGGTGAAGGGGAAGAGTCAGGGGCGGCGGCGGAGGAAGGAGCCATAATTATATGATGGATGTTTTCCTTGTTTACAGCGGAAAATTACAGCCCGGTCTTTTCCGAGTTTACTCCAGACTTATTTTCCGATTGTTTTGCCGTATACCTTTGACATGGTGATGCACAGCTTTGGTGTTTTACTCCCACTCTCCGCTTCTCGGCCTTGGACCTCCGATTTCTGCGAAAACGACCGACGTCATTTCCAAACAGGAATTAGCAGGAAACAAGGTGGGGCAAATGAGCGATCCGATCCCACGAGGTCTGATTGGAGCGCATTGCTCAACACATAGAGGTACATAGCTTCATGGGCAGATGTATCAGCGATGGAGGGTGTGTGTAATCTCGCGTCAATGTTTATGTCGATTAAGCTCTATTATATATGTTTCATGATGGTGGATGGTCTTGATCGGTGTGTGGATGTGAAGACTTGTTAGTAACAAAGTACGCCAATTCCAGACATGAACTTGCACTTTGGTCAAACCTTTGTTGTCCATTTCCAAAAGGAAGGAAGCATCTCGGAAAAGGCACAAAGTCCATCCTCCATCTTGCTTCTTGGTACCTTTTGTGCCTCGCTGCCGCTGTACAGCTTTCGCATCTTTCCACTTCCCATCCCCCTCCCTTTTCCCTTGGTTCAGGCACAGTGGCATTGACTCACTACAGTACATTATTTTTTGTTTGTGTCTGTGTTCACTAGTAATTACTGTCGCACAGTTTGATCGTACGTGTTTATTTTACACCTTGGACATTCTTCTCCATGTCGAATAATCAGTCCATCGAGAATCGCAAATCGGATCTCCAAATCCAACCAGTGGAGCCAAGTCGGGGCCACGGCATCTCGACAAATCCGACTGTCCGATATGTAGTCAGGTCTTGGCACGACATCATCTTGATCTTGGAACCCTGACGGACACAGCTGCCCGCCCCCTGCCCGCTCGCCCTGGTCCCGCTCTCGAATACAAATCCCCACAGCGCCCTGAATCCAACCCCCCCGGAGGCTCCATCTTACAGTGGACTCTTTCAGGGCACTTTCAGCAGGACTCCAGTCTGTGCCTGCCTCGCCGCCGACCGACCGACTCCTGAACATTGAATTGGATTCTTTGTCCGTCAGGGGCTTGCGACAAGGACGGGATCGAAGCGAGAGAAGGGCATTTGGAAGACGAGAATAATCATCACGACACAACCGGGAGGAACAGAACAGGGAGCACGCCAATAACGTCACAAACTACCTAAACAAGCGAAAACGTGGCATCCGCCGGGTTGTAGCGCTAGAAGCAAAGTACCTAAAGAATGTCGACCACGACGGCCACGAAACGAGCATCATGGACGCCCGGCGACGACACAAGAGCGATGATATCAACGACGACAAACAAATACCTCTCCCCCGAATATGCGACTGCCCCTGCACATCACCACCACCACCCCGTCGTCGTTAATCACCATCTGAAGAATCATCTACATGGACATTACGGCGGACATGATGGACGTGCTCGCCATGTCAGCTACGCCGCGGTTCCTGTGTCAGGGGAGAACAAAAGTGGAAGTGGTAATGGAAATGGAGAACATGGAGGTATGTACACTACAAGGTCAAAAACATGGCGATCGACCAATCCCATCACCACCACCCTTCTACTAGTCAATGTAGCATCATGCATGCATAAGTGCAGTGTGGTGTTGTGGGTATTGATTGCCAAGCCTCTTGAGTTCCATGGATCGATTTTATCTTGCATTCGTTCGTTATTGTCCCTTTTTCTCTTCCGTCCCCTTCACATTTCCTTCCATGTTCCTTTCCTGGATGCCCGCTCGATGAGAGTTGAAGCTCCAGCTTGTACGCGTACAAGACGCAGCCAAGACAAGGAAGCACAAAGCGGGATCACAGACCAACGAAGGACCAAGGAAGTGGAAGGTGCTGTAATATGCAAGTGAGCTGAGCTAGCTGTAGCCTGGCGTTACCTTACCTTACCTTTCCTTTCCTTTCCTTTCTCCAACAATTGGTTGCAATCAATCATTCGGTTGGCCATCGATCCTTGACGTAGTGTTTTCCCTTTTTGCCTTGGTCCGTCTTTTGTCCATCCCCTTTCCTCACTTGTACCTTGTATCATGTCAATTGATACTTACCTTGCGTGTATCCCTCCTTTTTGTGTCTTTCCCCTTTCGTCGTCTTTCCCTCCACTCTGCGTTACGCGTATCCCGCACCTAGAGTAGCACCTCACCTCCCTACTACCTCTTAGGTATGGCCATGCGCCAGAGTATTGACGAAGCCAACAACGGCGCAATCGCACTAGGTACCCACAGCCTAATCCGACCAGCCACCACCACTCCCGTCCCCATCCCCGGCGCCATCCGACGATCTCTCTCCATCTCCGCACGAGGTTCCTCCTACAACACCCAGGCCACCGCGACGCCTGGTTCGTTCGCGACCGTTACCGAACAGCAATCCAACAAAGACCAATACGCCGAAGACAACACCAGCAAGCAGCTCGGATTCGGATCCCACAATGACAATGCTGGCTCCACGGGCAATGGCGCCGCTGTCAGCACAACCCGCCCGTCCATGGCCCAATCGTTAGGATCCAACTCGGCCATCGATCCCCTTTCCCAGGTCAGTCAGTCATTGATAACTGCCAGATACGCGTATGGAACCTGACCATTCTCTCTTTCTGTTTTTCAGCAAATCTTTATGCGACGACACACTGGCGACCAATTGTCCTCCTCAAAACCACCCAAACATTTGCGCACTCAGTCGAGACCCGAGTCCCCGGGCCTGATGTCGACTGGAGAGGGGTCTGGGATAGCAGGCCGGCAGAATGCAGACTTGTCATCCTCTTCGAAGCCTAATACACCGGGTGGTGGTGATGTTCCCAAGGATAAAAGGTGGGTACTTTATCCCCCCCATCCTGTCCCATCCAATCCATACTAACACTCTTTCCATCTCATCATCAGCAAAAGTAAAAACTTCTTCCTCCGCTCCCTTACCCTCCGCGGCCGCAGCTCCTCCAAGTACAACGACTTCGATTCCGACTCCGAGTTCGGCGGCGACCCCCGCATGAATGGCTTCAACGCCCGCGTCTTCAGCCAAGCCGTCGGCTACACGCCCCATCATAAAGAACCGCCCAGGTACATCAGAACAAAAGCTGCCAACAAAAAGGAACGAGACTTTGGCCGCGTGTTTCTGGCCCAAGAGTTGGTGGGCACTCGACCGCCGGGGTACAACAACGCTCATAATTCACAACAAGAGGCGGATAAACAGGAGGGAGGAGGAGGAGGCAACAAAGGGGATGCGCCAGGCCAAGGGGGCGCCAGTCTAACTGTCTCCGTCGCCAGTGCCAGCGGTCGCAAAGTCGCCAAAACCGGCGGCGCAATCTGGGCCACCGAGTTCAGCCGCGACGGCAAGTACTTTGCCGCCGCCGGCAAGGACAACATCGTTAGGGTATGGGCGGTCATCTCCACCCCCGAAGAACGGCGAGCCCACGAGGAGGAGGAAGCCGCTGCTGCGAATGGAGGGAACGGCACAACCGGAGAAAGGCTTAGCGCACCCGTCTTCCGCGACCGACCGTTCCGTGAGTTTGTGGGGCACAGCGGCGAGGTGTTGGATCTTTCTTGGTCCAAAAACAACTTTTTGCTGAGCTCGTCCATGGACAAGACTGTGAGGCTGTGGCACATGTCCAGGCAAGAGTGTTTGTGCACCTTCAAACACAAGGATTTTGTGACGCGGTTGGCGTTTCATCCTACCGATGACCGGTTCTTCCTGGCAGGGAGTTTGGATACCATTTTGCGCCTGTGGTCGATCCCGGATAAGCAGATTGCTTTCTCGGCGCAGTGTCCTGACCTTATAACGGCTGTGGCGTTTTCCCCAGATGGCAAAACGGCGATTGCGGGCTTGTTGAATGGGTTGTGTTTGTTTTTCGAGACGGAGGGGCTGAAGCCGCTGGCGCAGGTGCACGTGCGAAGCTCGAGGGGGAAGAATGCGAAGGGCAGCAAGATTACGGGGATTCAGACCATCAGTGTGCCGCCGATGGATCCGTTGAAGGAGCTGTCTGGGACGGGGGATAAAGCGCAGGGAGAGGTCAAAGTGCTGATTACCTCCAATGATTCGAGAGTGAGGATATATAATCTAAGGGACAAGTCGTTAGAGATCAAGCTCAAGGGACACGACAACTCGGTTTCGCAGATTGCCGCCAGTTTCTCGGACGACGGGAAGTACGTCATTTGCGGCTCGGAAGACAAGAAGGCTTTCATCTGGGGACTGAACGGAGGACAGCAAAGAGCGGCATACATCGAGAAGGAAAAGTCACCCTACGAGTACTTTGAGGCTCATGGGGAGATGGTCACCACTGCTGTTTTCGCGCCTACAAAGACAAGGATGTTGCTGGGACGGAGCGAGGATCCTATCTACGATCTCTGTAACCCGCCACCGATTGTCTTGAGGAGCGCAGGGGAGGAGGCGGCGACGGCGAGTACGCATAGTGCTGCTGCAAGTGTGACTGAGCTGTCTTCTGAGGACCATCATCAGCCAGCACCACCAATCGTGCCAACGTCGGCACCGATTCAGAGACCGGAACCGAGCCCGGCGTATATCGCAAGGTCGACGCATTATGATGGGAATATCATTGTCACGACGGATGATACTGGTATTATCAAGGTGTTTCGACAGGACTGCGCTTACATCAAGCGCAAGCATGACAGCTGGGAGACCGGGTCGACTTTCTCTCGCAAGCTGGCCTCCCACGGTGGTAGCCTGTACAACGGAAGACTGGGACGGAGCATTAGCGTGTACTCTCGGACTTCGGCGGGCACAGGTGGTAGCGCCGCTCACTCAAGAAGGGGTTCGATGTCCGGGAACAATGCGCCATACATGGTTGCTTCGCCCGTATCTCACGCCTCGGCCCTCAACCAGGCCGTCAACGCAGGCAGCGATAGGATTCTCAGATGGAGGATGGGCATCGAAAACGGCGCCGACGGAACCGGTCCATCTGGATCTCGCCCGGGACAAGTCAGTACCGCACCCGGTAACAGGTCCTCTGCCATCGTGAATGGTAGCAAGAGGTGGTCCGGCGTCCAAACCCCACCCCGCAGCGACCGCTCTCAGAGTCCCGTCCGCGGCGGCCCTGCTACCTCTTCTGTCCCTGTGGGGGCAGGCAACAGAGCTTCCATGCCAGCAGCTGTTTCGGTTCCTAGTACTCCCAACCGTAGCGTCAACGCCAACATCAACGGAACGTCTACTCCCAATGGCGCGGCCACGAACGGGTATCCACATGGACACTCCCACCTTGCTACGCATACCGATGCCAGAAGCAACTTGTTGGAATCTCCCGCCAATCTGACTCCTTTACACAGGGTTAACACGATGGGCACGGGAACGGAGTTGGGGAGTCCGACGCGGTCAGTGCCGATGGATATCACGCCTGAGAGGAACAGGCAGGCTAGGGAGAGGGAGGAGAGGGAGGAGAGGGAGGGAAGGCCGAGGAGCCCGCCTGCGCCTGGGTTCAGTTTTAGGCCGGCTAAGAGTGGGAATGGGACCTCTGAGGAAAGGCGGGGAAGTCAGCCTTTGGAGGAGCAGGGCGATGGTGCTGGCAGTGGTGGAAGTGGACTTGGCAGTGGCAGTGGTTCCGGGAGTGGAGGTATTTCGTTCTGGAATCCGTTAAAGGGTTGGAAAGTCGGTATACCTGGTTTCGGCAAGACTTCTGCCGCTTCTGGGTCTGGTGGTGGTGGACAGAGGCCAGGTACTTCCGGTCCAGACAAGGAAGGAGGAGCAAATGGCAAGGCACATAGCAGAAGTCAAAGTCTTGGTGCCTCGAACCATACAGCCCACATACAGGTCCCGTCACCGCTGGCGGATGGCGAAACTTCGGACAGAGTCAGTCCCGGGATTACGCCATGGGATGTCCCGCTGAGTTCATCGGTGCAGACCCAGTCAAGCGCTGGTGGGCATGGACGACGAAAGAGTTTGGGTGTTTTTGGTACTATCACTGGTGGAAATAAGGGGGACAAGGAGAAGGAGAAGGCGGAACGCGAGGTAACAAGAAGGTCATTACCTGTCGGTCCATTGCTCGCCATCACTGATGACGACGACGACGACGATGACAACAACAACAACGCCCATAACGACCGTGTCAACGGACAAGGACACACGCGCTCTCAATCCTCCAGCACCATCACCGGCCTTCAACGTCCACCGCTCATAGTCCCCACAATTATCAACACGCGCCCCAGTGGCGACGAAGAGGATTATCGGCCGGCTATCGATGAGGTGCTGCAGCAGCAAGAGTGGGATAGGGAGAGGGAGAGGGAGAGGGACAGGGAACAGGACAGGGAACGAAGTAAAGACAGGTCTCAGAGGATTGTGAGTTATCCGCGGTTGAGTTGGAGTACGAGGCTGGGGATGGGAGGAGGGAGGGGGAGGGCGAATAGTGATATTGCTGAGAGGGAGGAGGAGGAGTAAAGTAATTGGGCTGTCCGCTGGAAGAGGAGGAGAGTTTGTTCATGATACCACTACTGCTTTATACAATACACGAGATACCTACCTACCTTACCTACCTGTTTTTACCTGCTGGACTGTACAAGCAACTTTTGTTGGATGAAGTTTGGTTGGCAACAGCTATAGAGCGAGAGAGAGAGAGAGAGAGAAATAGAAGAGTTAATGGAGCATTGTCAGCGATCAAGTACCTAGTTGTGTTTGTCTTTCATGCCATGCCACTACTTTGCAGGCTTCCAGGCTTTGCTCACTGTAGGTACTTCATCCTTCCTGCCCGCTTTATCCGTACTTAGACTCTACTAGCGTTTCCCAAGGTAGACCCGTGCCGGCCCGCTGCAATTGAGCCGAGCGAGACCTTGTAAAACAAAGTGAATAATGGGGGAAACTTCCATTGAAGAGGGCACCTGCCTGCTATTTAGGTAGGTAGGTAGGTAGGTAGACTTGACGTCAATAAGGCGTATGATGTTAGGTAGATAGGTAGGTATGTTATTTGTGGTAGGTACCTACCTATTAATGAATTAATGAGCATTGACGTGTTGGGTAATCGAACGATGGCGATAGAGTCTAGTGCTAGTACTTGGGTAGGTTGGGATCCAAGAATGGATACCTACCCACCTACCTACCTACCTACCTATAGCTAGGTAGGTACTGCAAAAGACGCGGACCGCGGACAGAAGTCACGGACCAGTAAGTACATCATGACATCAAGTTGAACTTGAAGCTAAGGTACCTTACCTACATGTATGTCAGCGTGGTGATCGATCGACTTGCTGGGGGTGATGTTTCCCGGTTTCTCGATCCGATCCCAGAGACAGTGTCGGCTTTGGCTTTGGGCGTGTGAGGTAAGGGAAGGGAAAAACATGAGGGAAGTTAGGTACTGTTGCCTTGAGTGTGTGTTCCTCTTTTCTGACACAAATAACTAGTTCCAGTCAACATCTGTGGACTTCCGTGGACGGGTGGTGAATTTGAACAAGTTCAGTTAAAGAAGGAGCGCATTGAGTCTCTTCATGTTGTCTGGCGTGCAGCCGTCTGGATCGGAGTTTGGCTGCTTCTTTTTTCCTGCTCTATGGTTTCCTGCTCTATGGTATGGCCAGGACCTAGGGAGTGACAAACCCAGGGCAGATGAAACACTCATTTCGAATTAAATCGTTGTACAAAGGTGAATTGTCCTCATAAGTCAGATGTTGGCGTGATGTACCAACAAACAAACAAACCAAAGCCTCAATGGTCTAGTGGTATGATTCGCGCTTCGGGTGGTGCAACTGCTCCCTTGCTTGCGAAACAAGCAATACCAATGTGCGAGGTCCTGGGTTCGAATCCCAGTTGAGGCCTTTTTCATTGTTTCTTCTTTTCTTCTCTTTTTTTTTTTTTTTTTTTTTTTTTTTTTTTTTTTTTTTTTTTTTTTTTTGTATGCGTGTTGTATGCGTGGTGGGTGTTGCTGCGTGAGGACCGAAGCGATACGGACTTGGGCACCTCAGGGATGAATCAGGCCGAATGACTCATGTCGGAAAAAGTGGTCAACCAAGTGCAAGCCAAAACCTCCGTCTTAGTTCTGTCAATTCAAGCAAGTCTATCTGTCCAGTCTAAATAAAATCCCATTATCTCTCGTATCAAATGTCGGAATCCAATTCCCCCGGTCTCAGAATTCAAAACGTTATCGTCCTCTTTCCACCCTAACACCAACCCCCGTGCCACTCAAACCCTTTCCCAACTACCTCTACCATGTCACACCCTCCCCATTCCCAGATCAAATCTCCTCAAGCCAACCCCCACTCAAGCCTTGATAGGCGCATAAAAACTAAACCTTCCCTTCGGATCATACTTCCTCTTCAACATCTTCAACCTCTCCTGCCTCCACCCTTCATACCCATACATGGCCTGCAAACTCTCACTCCCCTTTGCATAATTCACATACACACTCTTCTGCTTGACCTTGTCCCCATACGCCGCGTCTCTAATCTTTTCTCCCCAATTTTGCGCCTGCGCATCCAACGTTTTGTTTCTTTCCGTCTCCTCATACGTCACCAAGAATCCATACAGCAGCTTCCGATCGCGCAACGCAAACGCCGTGCTTTCGTAGGGAACGGCCTGTACGGCTTGAAGGGAGTATCCCTCGAGATAAGCCATGGAGAGAGAGAGGGCCGGTTCGGCGCGGATCATGTCCCTAAAGGCGTTGTACGACTTGCGCAGACCTTTGACGTCGTAGGAGTCGACGTCCATGCCGTAGACGGTGGCGCCGGCTTTGGGCTGGCATGCCCAGTCGGTGACGCGGAATTGGGCGGCGGCGGCAAGACCGGGGTAGTCGGTTGTTTGGACGGGGGTGGTTTGTAAGGGGGAGAGAGCGGCAAAGGGGGCGAAGTAGGAGGCGGCTTCGGAGGCGGGGCCGTTGTAGTAGACTGTTGAGACTAGGATGGGCTGTTTGTAGGTGGTGTTAGTGATGCCTCATAGAGGTGGGTACCTAGGTAGGTAAGGAGGGAGGGAAAAGGGGAAAAGAAAGACTCACATTAACAGGATCAACCTCGGGCACCAACCTCCACAGACTCCAATAAACCACATATTGACTCTGGTTCCTCATCACCGCATTATGCACCCTGTACACCTCCTCCAACCGATCCTGCGTGAACGTAAAACTCTGGTACGACCACTCTGGCCGGACCGCATCATACAACTTATACTCCACCTCCGTGACCACCCCAAAGTTATGGCCCGCGCCCCGCAACGCCCAGAATAAATCGCTGTTTTCTGTGTTGGACGTCTTCACCGCCGTGCCGTTCGCCAACACCACCCGCGCCGACAAGATCTGATCAGCGCCCAATCCATACTGGCCCTGCAACCAACCATGTCCACCGCCCAGCGCTGGGCCCAGCAGACTGACGCATCGACAGGATCCGGTGGTTGTCTGCTTTCCTCGAGCCCAAAGCGCGGGAATGACGTCGTTACCGCGTAGTCCGCCGCCGAGAGTGGCGGAGTGTCCGTCGGCAGCGAACTCCATCTTGGTCAGGTTGCGCGTCCAGATGGCCATGCCGCCCTGCAGTTGCGACAGACCTTGCCAGGTGCCGTGGGTGCCGGTTGTAGCGAGGAAAGGGATGGAGTGGGTGTTGGCATATTGGATGGTCAGAGAGACGTCGCGCTCGGAGGCCGGGATGACGATGACGCCGTAGGAGGGGGAGTTGGTGTGCGTGTTGAGGGACCAGCGGTGGGTGTACTGGGTGAAGGAGGGGGAGGAGGGGAGGAGGACGAGGGCGGAGGGAGAGAGGAGGGTGGTTAGGTCAGATTGGATGGTTGGCGGCAGGGAGACGACAGGGGAGAGGGAGGAAGTGTTGTAGTCGCGATGTTCGAGAGAAGAAGGGAAAGAGGGGGTGTGGCGGATGGCGATGGGAAGGGGGCCGGTTGCAACTGGGGAGGCGGCTGTGAGGCCGGCTAAGGCCAGGAGACCGCCCCAGATGAGGTAGCGGGTACAGGAGAGCATGGTTATGAGTTGATCTGTTGATATGATACCTGAGTGAGTTCAAGGTTCGGATGGGTTGCTTAAAGGTGTCGAAGAGGACTAAGTCGTCTGGAGGGACTGGAACTTGAGAAGTGCTGCTGACTTTTTAATGCTCTTAAGCTCTTGAGATGTCCTGTCTTTGATGCTTGGAACCTCAACAGATGCAGTTCCACAGGTCCATATTTATACCATCGCCGGTGATCAGTGTTCGGGCCTCAGGAAGCAAGGACGGAGGTTGCCTGGAGGCAGCAAACCCAATCTCAGCCTTGTAAGTGTTGACGCTGTGCCGAGAGACCGACATATTGGAACTTTTGTTGTCACGGAACGCACTGAAAGGCACGGAAAGGCGAAGTTGACAAGGCGCAGGAACCGTATTCCGTGGGACAAGAATTTCCATCTTGACATAGCTATGTTCAGGGATTCCCAACTCGCTCCCTCCGGATGTCTGTGTCATGATGACATTGTTGTAGAGAAAGACTGTGTCCTAGCGACGTGGAGTAACCGTATTCATGGATTAGACCTTTGGGTCACTGAGAGTCTCATACTGGGAGACGTACACCAAATGAACCGTTGACAGGGTGCAGGTACCCTGCTCTGTAGGACAACGATCCCATGCTACACAGTCACCTGGTTCTCCCACTGCGTTGATACGTTCCAGCGTGCCGGGTGAACCGCAGCTGGTCTGTGGTCGCTTATTCCAGGAGCCTAGCCGCGCCTTGACACAAGGCCATCGCAGGTGGCGATGGGCTTCCCTCAACCATAACTTGCTGTGCCGCATAGGGGCGACCATGAATCTTGAGCAACGAAAATCGCCGACGGAAGATATAGTGGTTCGATGGAAGAGTGCAATGGAACGAGACCTTTTCACCTTGCCCTATGTGGGCAAAAGTTCGGGGCGTTTCCAGTGGAACAGCTTGGCGGGCCCGAGGAATTGGGAGGTGTTTTGTGCAGGATGGCTGCATGAACGACTTGGAGGGATGTGAGAAGGATTCAACTGTGGATGCCTTGATATCAGACCAATTCTGTTCAAGTGCGGGCTTTGTGGTAGTTCGTGGTTCTCGAGATTGTCTTCTGCAGTGGCCTCTCCAAGACGGCCAGGACACTCGACCATAAGTCATCCAAGACAAAAGTTACAGCAAGCCGAACATTGTGAATAAAGGTAGCACCTAGTCCAAATTCCTGAATGCACTTTTCACCTTTAGAGCGCTGTCGATTTCCTTGGGGGCCAATGGCCCGGGTTGCAGGCTCAGGCACTCCGGATTGCCCGGGTGGCCTCGTCGGTTCGGCGGATTTCTTGGCAGCCAAACGACAACATGGCCGTCACTAGCTGTGCCACGCTTGAGGCTTTATCGATGGCGAGTTCTTGCTGTTCGAGGGAAAGCCATCGAGGCCATGTTGGGGGCTGACTGGACTCGCCTGATGGTGAGCTGAAGGGTGTTGAACTGCTGCTGACAATAGACCAAGCCCCAGCTGAAAGAAGCTAGCCTATCGAAAGAACGCACAGTACGGTCCTTTTTTTTTCGGTCAACCCCGGCCCCAGCCTCACCAATGGTATCACCAATGGTGTAGTGTTCACGCCGCGAAGGACTTTTGAGAGTCACCAATCCCCTGCCAAGACGACGCACACCTCGCTTGTGTCGGTTCCTCTTTGCCGCAACTGTGCCCCTGCTGCACATGTGCCACGTAATGGGAGATTTCGGAATCAAGACTCGCGATGATGCCATTGGGTGAATAGACGCGAGGGAAAGCGAATGGGAGACGAATTGCTTGGATGGTTTGGTTGGTTGCCTAGCAGCGCAGACGGTCATGTCCGGGAGTGGCGATGCAGAAGACAGCGACTGAAGTTCGTTGTTGGGGGTGGAAACTGGAATGGCTACAGCAGATTATGAGCCTGCTTAATTGATTGTGTAGTAGAACCAAATGACCAAACGTGGACAAAGATGATGGGGAAAAGAGGCATTTGGAAATACTGGGCGCCAATCCGTACGTAGACAACATTCACTCGTTGGGTTCTATGGTAGAGGAGACAAGGCGAACAAAAGCAACGACGACCATAAAAATAACTCACGTGAATTGGGAGAAGTGATTTATTAGTAGAAGATGAAGAAGAAATTTCCGCAGGGCAGGCAGATGGAAGTGGAAATGATGGTGGGCGACGACTGCCACAGTTGGTGCAACGACCGCTCTTGCTGTCTGAAAACCTTTATGTCCTCCCTCCGAGCCAGTTTCGCCGCATATAATGGAGAGATAGAAACAATGCGACACCACAACGCAGGCGACAAAGCAATCACGGTGCATCACCACCATAACCATGACCATGCTCTTCTCCGCAGCTCAGCATTACAGTTTTGCTGCTTATAGGTACAGAATTAAGTTCTTGAAAACATCCAATAACAAGGGCCGCTGGTCTAGTGGTATGATTCTCGCTTAGGGTTCAATCCTGAGCATTCTTGCGAGAGGTCCCGGGTTCAATCCCCGGGTGGCCCCATCCTTTTTCACCTTTTTTCTCTTCGTACAACAATTCCAAAATCTCGATTTTTCTTGTTCAACAAGCCCGCATCCGATTTCATTTTTTTCTCTGTGAGGAAAAACAGCAGTGAAAAAAACAAATTAAAATAATGCAAAGAACATCTTTTTGCTGCCGTACAACTCGGACTCACGACATCCACCATTGCATCAGTTGAGTCTTATCTCTACGAAAGTGAATGCGATGGATCCGAATAAGGGAGGGAGCCATGCAGAAAAAATGTCTCGAGACCTCTTATATGCGGATTCGTTGCACATGGGCTTCAGATGGATGCTCACATTGAATGTGCAGAAACAAAAATTCAATATGTCGACATCCAGTCGTGCAGTACTCGCCGCACTGCCGCCGGGCCGTACCGTTCGCAACATCGGTGACGTGATGTTAGACTGACTTGTTCAGTCTATACATTAGGTACACTTCGCGTAAAAGAAAGCCGAGGCTTGAAATAAGGTAGGTAGTCTCCTCTCCCACTTTTCCGGCGTCGATAGCAACAGGAACTGACCTCTACCGAATGATGGCAAGCAAGGTTATTCCTAGCTGTTCAGCTGGTGGATAAAAAGGCAGATCCGTTCCATTCCCGCTCGGAACCTGGACCTTGCAACGATTTACACTAAAAACGAGCCACGACAAACACGCTTGGCGGAATGCTTGATGCTTCCAGCTGTACATTACAGAAGGGGACTAGAACTCTCGCTCGGAGGAGAGGAACATGTACCTCTATGCACACTACACCGGACCGGACCGGCGCTTCGGAGCCCGTCTGCGTCCCGAAGCCCGCACTCCGGAGAGTCCGCAAGGCTCGTTACGGACAAATGTAGGTAGGTAGTTTTCGCGCTCTGCACAATGTGGTTGCTGCATGTTTGCGAACAAATTCTGTAGAGGTGTTTTGTGCCTAGAGGTACCTCGCAAGTTTGTCCATTATGGGATCCGAGATGGATAAGAGAGCATCCAGTGATCTTTTTGTTCCTGATTAACATGACACTACCTCTAGTATCAGGTTTCGGACGCCTTCAAACACCCGGTGCGGAATAATGACCGGGATCGGGCCCAAAAGCGACCCTTGCTCGACTCCGATCACATCCATAAACAATTGGTTGAACAAGCCCATTTGCCATACACACAAGAAACCCGTTGATCGACATCAAGGATTTCCAGCAAGTGATCAGAATCGAATCCGGGACCGAAAGGAAGGTGATGATAAGATGAGGAAAAAAAAAAAAGAAAGAGAAAAGATGGAGAACTCCCGCCATGAACGAAAGCGGAGCAGGTCCACAGCGGCTGCGGTGCAAAGAAACCACAGAGCAAGGACAAGGGCTCTTGGATATCGTTCTGAGTCGTCCACTCCAGAGTTCAGTCCAGTCTGCCAAGTCAAATGGTTCGCTTGATGGGGTATTCTTCAGCTTTCGGCCTCCAGAACAGATAGGAGCCCCCCTTTTCGCTGGCCGAGTCGCGATCTGAGAATCGTCAAGGCAAGGAGACGGTCAGTGCAAGTCACCGTGTTTGACGGACCTTTCATCAGCGGTTGATTCTTCCTTCGTCTCGTGAGCATCAACATGGCTCGCCTCATAAGCCTGTTGACGGCTGTTGCCGCCGCGGTTGTCGGTACTGCACAAGCAATCCTTCCCACGGATTGGACACCCATCTGCAAAGAGATCGAGTCCAAGATCTCGAATACCAGCGATGTCATCTATCCGCGTAAGTGGTCTCACTCCCCTCGAATCCAGTGTCTCACACCGTGAACGGAATACTTACATCCAATTCCATGTACAGTCCAGGCCGTCTCCTTCACTCTGGCTACTGCCCACTGGTTCTGGTCGTCCGACGAACAGCCATCGTGTGTCTTTGCACCTGGGTCTGCGGAGGATGTGTCGGTTGCGCTGCAAATTATTGGCGCGACCAAGACCCCCTTTGCCGTTCAGTCTGGTGGTCACTCTTCGAATCCAGGTTTCTCCAGCACCAAGGGTGTACATATCTCGCTCAAGAGACTGAACCAAGTGAAGCTGTCTGCGGACACGAGCGTCGCCGAGATTGGCTTTGGTAACGTGAGTGGATGCGGATGGTTATACTATTGATCCAAGACCGGTAACTAACAGTGTTCCAGATCTGGACCGACGTGTACAAGGCCCTGGACGGCACCGGCAGGAATGTCGTCGGAGGAAGAGTGCCCGGCCCGGGCGTTGGTGGCCTCACTCTCGGTGGTGGATACTCCTGGAAGACGAGCCAGTATGGTATGACCTGTGACACGGTCAAGAGCTATGAGCTTGTCCTTCCCGTGAGTTCAATACCATGGTTGATCCCTAGGTAGTGTGACGAATGTCAGTTAACACACCCTGCCCAAACAGAACGGAACCATCACCAGAGTGTCCAAGACCGAGAACCCCGACCTCTACTTTGCCCTCAAGGGCGGTCTCAACCGCTTTGGCATCGTCACCTCGGCAGAGTTTTACACCCATGAGCAGCCTGAGAAGGTGTACGGCGGTCTCGGCATCTATCCCACCACTGCTGTCGACCAGATTCTCAATGCCACTTCTCAGTTCTCGTACCTGAACAAGGATCCCCGGACCCAGATCATCACCACCCTTGACGGCGGTCCTCTGGGCACCACTGCCGAGGTCCTGTTCTTCCACGATGGGCCTGATAAGCCGGCCTCGTTTGAGCTGTTTGACAACATCACGCCGCTCGTCAAGACCGTCCAGTCTCAAAGCTTTGTTAGCTTTGTGCAGAGCATTCCTGCGCAGGTTCCCGAGTTGACCAATATCCGCGGCGCTTTCATCACCTTTGCGACTTCTGAGCTCTCGCAGACTTTCCTGGAAGCCGTCAGGCAAGAGACTGATGTGAGTAGCTGTGCTTCTGAAGCATAGTTATAGAAAGAGAGACGACTAACCTTGGTGATATATCATCAGGACATTGGCAAGATCATGAGTCTCCACGGCGGCATCACCGTCAGCTACGACCTTGAGCCCTTTACCAAGTACGGAGAGCACGCCACCGAGAGCGCTTTCCCGCACACCGAGTCTCCTCTTCCGGTAAGTCACCCATAACGTCACCCACATCTGTTGTGACACATCCAAGCTAACCTGTCCCAGCTCTTCATCTACTTTGCGTGGTCCCTTCCCGAGAACGACGACTTCTGGTACGCCCGCATGAAACAGACTGTGGAGACGCTCAAGAGGGTGGCTAGCAACGACGGTATCTACAACAGTGAAGCCTTCACCTATTACCCCAACTATTCGCTCTTTGACGCCACGCCGGAGCAGCTGTACGGCAACGAGAACGCGGCGCGGTTGGCGAGGATCAGGGACCAGATTGATCCGGATCGGATCATGGAGCTGGCTGGTGGATTCGAGATTTAATGAGGGATGGCAAGACGGGTTGTGGTACTGTCTGGGCTTATTTGTTCACCGTTGTTCAGTAGCAGCCATAGACAGAGGTGCCTCTACCTACCTCTAGATACAAGCGGATGGTGAGAAGTTGCTGGATCCTGTTGATGGGTGACATGACAAGGAAAGACCAAAAAAACAAACCCCAGTCAAAATTTTCCATGTTGCAATCCGGCCTTGACAAACAAAATAACTTGTCAAGGAAAGTAGGAAGGAAGAAAGGTCAGAATGGAAAGATTGAGCGGGGTACCTACTCTTCCCGCATAGGTACCTGCCTAGGCACCGTGCTGCCAAACGGGATGGCTGAGCGAGGGGTTGGTTCCGTCGATGGGCAGTATCGGCAAAAAGTGGATCGATGAATGAAAGATACCTACCATAGCGCGCACACGGTATCTGTAAAAATGATCCGCGGGATCAATTCGATGTAATTGGATTGTTTTCCCGTAGAGGGTTTATTTTCTTATTATAAAATAATACTCAATATCTTCTTAAAAACGAAATCATCATATTCATAGTAGCAGTCTTCTTTATAAAATAATATAATTGTAAAAATCATTCCTACTATGGTTTTTTTTACAATTAGTCTTATATACTATAGGTGAATTTAGTATAAATTCTATTTTCTAAGTATAAAAAATTTTTAACTTTCAAAGTTTAATTTTTATATTAAGTTAATCTTTTACTAAGAAGTTCATTTTGGAAAGAACAATTGTTTTAGCTAAAGTATAAGATATTTTATTATTGAGGATTATTTTTAATTTGGAATATTTTGAATAATTTCTTATTTTTAAATATTTAGTAAGTAATTTTACAGTTATAATCTAACTTTGCCCTACTTAATAAATTAATTTTAAATATTTTAATTATTTTTTATATTTTTATATTACTAGTAGATAATTTTATAGTTATTATTTTACTTCTACTTACTTATATAAGTAAAGAAATTTAAATGTTTTTTTAATTATTTAACCTAATGGCTTAATGGTTTTTATTCTTACTACCTTTTCCAAGATTGTTAGTTCAATTTTAGTTGAGGGCAAGTTTTTTCTATTTGAAAAGTTTTAAGTAGTTGAAGTCTTATATATAAAAAAAAAACTTAACTGTAAAAAATAAAGTAGAAAATACTAGGTATTATAAATCTCTACTATCAGGGTTTCATAGTATTTAAATATCTTTTTCTTTTTTTCTATTTATTATTTAGTATAAAATAGTTATATTCTTCGAAGATAATTATATATAAATTTAAATTTAATGGAAAAATAATCCTATTTGTTATAAATAAATATATCTTTATTCGATTTTTTATTTAAATTTAATAAGTAGTAAAAAGATAAATCCCCATTTCAAAATCATTTTGGAAGATAAGATAATTAAGATAAGAAGATCATCTTTTTACATTAAGTTAAATATAATTAGTAAATAATCATTTAGATAAAATTATCAATTTTAAAAATATTTGGGCTTAATAAATAATTTATTTAAAATTGACCTATATAGTATAAGTGGAATTATAGAATTCTTATATTTTACACCCAATATCATCGTAGGATCATTTTACAATTATCATATCTCACAAGTGTAAAATCATACAGGTGATCATTTTCCAAAACCCCCCTGGCGCGCTATGGTACCTGATGGTGCAGACGGCAGGCAGCCGAGGTGATGTGGCAGTGGCAGTAGGCATCAGATGTCCAGTGTTTGCTGTTTCCTCGCTGGAATGTCCGGGTTAAATGCCGGTTTTAGGGGGCATTGAACATGAGTTCTGTTACAGTGTCAACATAAGTGACCCAGTTCGATGCAAGTCAAGGCTTTCCAAGTGATTGCATGATTCACTTCCATGACTCCGAGTTCGACATTATGCCTTATCTCCAGGTAAAGCCAAGCACGAATCAAGACAGCAACTGAAGAAACGTACCTAGTAATGGTGTTATATGGGGATGTCGTTGAAAGAGGACAGACTTGACAACATTGGTGGTCTAGGAAGAAAAGACGACATCGAGTGGGCAGAGCCTCCAGGTTGCATCCCATCCCAGTGAAAGGGTGGCATCGATTGATAGGCGGCTCGGGTGCCCCCACATCACAGCATCCTTTCCCCTAAGTCTAACCCTTGGTCGCCCATCTCTTCCAGTGTGCAGGATCAAGACGGGATCATTGACAACATTGCGCAAACAAGACCGATCGAGTGGCTCTTTTCATACTTGCAATGGACTCTTATACTACCCTATAGCATTGAATCCTAGCTCTAGGCAATTGCTGCATTTACCCAGCCACTGTTATCACCAACTCATGCTTTCAATGTAATAGCTTTGTAGGTCGCTTTCTAGAGTGACCATTACTTTCCGTAACCCTCCGCGTTCTTAATCCCATCCTCCTCGTTACGTTCAACTCGCCCCTCCGGATATTCACTATCCTTGTCCGTCTCTTCGTCGTCGTCGTCGTCCTCCTCCTCGGTAGAACTCTCCTTGATATCCCCGGGATACTTGGTCCTATTCCCATCCGCCGCCCGATGTCTCCCCATCGTGCATCCCCTATTCACCCTGCTTCGGCTTCCCTTTGTACCGCAGCAAGGAAAGACAAAGCCCTGTGGGTTTTCCTTGCGGTAGAACGGAGTTTCCGCTATCTCCTCTGGAAAAATGGGCATCTCGAGCCAAGTCTCGTCGTCCTCGTCTAGTTCCATGTCGACTATTGTGCATAGAATTCGCGTTAGTCTCGCATCTCACTTGTCCTGGACGGCATACTGGGTGTGTAAGACTTACACAGATGATGCTTGCACGTTACGCTCTTGTCTCCTTCTTCGAAGGGCTCGTCACATTGGATGCAGATCTCCGTGTTGGGAGCCTTTCTTTTTCTTGATCCTGAAGTGCTAGTGGAGGCTTCAGCGGCCGTGGTGGTGGCTTCAGGTTTGAGTGGAAGCTTCTTGTTGAACATGAGAGTCATGATTCGTGCTTTGTAGTCCGCGTCTCCGCAGAGAGCTCGAAGAACGGTTCGGATGGTGGACTCGGGGGCTTCTTGGATGGCCATCATGAGATAAACATTCTTGAGCTCCTCTGGGATTGGACGGCGAGGGGGAGCCGGAGCCGAAGCCGGAGCTGGAGGCATCTTGGGTCTGATGATTGCCGCTTTCAGGGGTAGGTATTTGGGGGTCGATTGGTTCTGGATATTTGGGAATGATTGAATGGGAAGGTATTTACCCCCAAAAAAGTGCCGGGGTCTGGATTTAGAGGTGTCGAGATGTTGGAAGTAGTAACTTATAACAGGCGTTCGTGGGCTCGGGAGGTTTGACTTGTTCGCAAGACTTGCATGAGGTAGCGAGGCGAGCCCTAACAGCGTACATTAGGGCTCGTGTCCTCGCAGACAACCCCGCGTGCCGCTGTATTGGTAGTAAGAACCCCCCTCTTTGAAACCACGACAATGGTGAGTACCTATTCGGGCAACGCCGTTCCGAAGAGTCAACTTCTAGGTACCTCTAGATCGTGACGCAAAGACATGAACGCCATCTCTCTTGGGGACCCAGTTTTCGGCTATCTCCTTTCTCTCTTTGGCCTCTAATCTTCATCTTTGAGGGCAGGCATAATGAACAAGATGCCAATGCGCCGGACTGCGTCAAGCTTTGATTTATGCGGTGGTTTGTGGTCTGGAAACACAGGATCCAAAATTCCTCTTTTCTTTGGCGGTATGCACGGGCCAGGATCACATCACCAAGAGGGTGACATTGCCAAGACCCGGCGACAAGCATCCAGCGCACTTACACCAGTGGCACTTTCCATTTTTGGTAAACCAAATCACTCCGTTCTCGCTCGCACTTTCGCAACTGGTTTCTAGGCTGGCGCGCATGATGGACAGCACTGGAAATTGAGACGCCTCCACCACCGAATCTTCTCTCTCCGACACCACCAACGGATTCATGCCGTCGCTCAGACATGCTGTCTTGCCACCATTCTCTTTCATCGTCGACGGCTTCTATGAAGGTCTGTGTTGGTTGTTGAGGCCAATCATGTCTAGAAAGCCCTACTGACTCGTTGGATGCATTTCCCCAGATGTGAACCTCCCGTCCTGGCCCTCGGCGGCCCCCAAATCTCGACCGGCGACCAGTCAATATTCGTTCGACTAAGTACCATCTTCACACACGTCCACTCAGCTGGGACCGCAACTCTTTCCGCGACACTTATATCCCGTTGAGCAATGGACGGCGATGTAACAGCGGCTCGGTGAATCATCTTGTCAAACATTGCCTATGATTGGGACTCGTCGAATTGTTGCTGCTTAGTTCGCCGACCAGACACTGCATCGTGCCGTTGTTTGGTAGACTCGACGAAAAGCCCTTTGTTGGCGGTCTGGTCGCCTTTCCACACCCACAACTGCACTTTGCACCTTCGTCAGTCGACCTCGGCCATTTGGATCTATCGGAGCTGAGCCCAACCATGAGCTTCCCAGACCAGCTAAGTTTGTGCAATATCCTGATGGCCCCAACATGAAACTTTGAAGCAGGCAAGCAATGGGTAACCGAGCAGCACGATTGCAGCAAGACTCACAAGGGCTAGAAGCAGGCTCCATGACCCTCACACTTTCTCATCATGCCTGAGTCTGACCGATGATTCGGCGATTCACGCCCACTCCCCCGCCGCCTCGAGCCCTCTCTCTGTTCATCACTCGACGCCACTCGGTAAAAAAACGCAAATTAACCTGACTCGGGCCTCAATACATATGCACCATCAACAACAATACGGTCCCCTCGTTTCCAGCTAGCCACCTCCAGAAGAAAGCCAAAGTCCTGATTCGCTCATCTGGACGCTGGTCAGAAAGGCTGTATTCTGTTCCCCACGCCAAGTTGTGATGGTGTCTGGTCATTGTATCTCACTGGTAGCGGTTGTGGCTGGTCCCAATTTATCAACCCATCCATACATCGGTCATCAGCGACTCCGCCCACCCCAATCACCCCAAACCGACTGCTGGCTCAGGACCGAGTTTGGGGACAGATTCAATTCGTTACGGCCGAACAGTGATTTGCCATTGACGTGTTCACGACCTTAGCCCTTTGCCCTCCCAAACATAGGTACTAGGTCAGGCTACGACGTCCACCAGAGCAATGAGTCTGCTGTGTCGTATTAAAAGATGCGGTAGCCGGTGGATCAAAGTCATTGAGCCCTCGTGTTAGCTTCAACGCTCGCACAACTGAACACGCGAAAAAACCTGAATTTACGATCGCTTTCGCGCTGCTGCAAAGTACCAACAGCTCATCTTGCCGATTCTGTCATCATGTTTGCTCTTCACATCATTCCTTTTCTCTTCATTGTACGTACTGTACTTGGAGGCGATACGGAAACCCAGAACACTAGCACCCTCGACACCATCCGCAACCACCGAAACGACACGGGGTTTCTCTCGACAGCAACTGCTCCACCATGGGTGGCTTCACCCAACACTAGAGGAACTGGTGACATACTATTCACATGTCTGCTTACGATGCTAGCGTGCATTTATACAGCTATACATCCGCACGTACCAATAGTACGAAGCCGTTCTTTACTCGGTTTGGTCAGTGTTTCATGGCTCAGCTTGATCAAGATTACTTTGGCCATAGACGCACTCCTCACTCCGGAACTGCTCTTATACGCAGCGATCCAAGAGCACATGAACGCCAGATCTCTCTATAATGATCTCAGAGACATTATCTCCCGGCGCAGAAACGCAGGATTTTCTGATCCTGATGAGGTAGGTTGTTTTGCTCTTTTGTGCAAGTCCCTCCTTTAGTCGTTTATACAGCTCTAACACCATCATATTTTGAGAAGACATCAATCGATGACACGTTCTGTTATTTTGCTACTATGGGTGGTTTTCGTGTCTCCATCGAGGATATCCATCCATCACGTTCTGCCCATTTTTCGACCCGCCGTCTGCCACGCGATGTGTCACTCTCTCCAGATGGCATCCGCCTTCTTGCGGAACTGGGACATTTGAGCCTGTTGGTCAAAACTGCTGGTGATGTTGAAGGCAAAAGCAAGGCAAATACTTTTCAGAAGTGTTTAGCCGCTGGTCAACTATGCTGGATGGTCATCCAATGCACTGTCCGCAAATGCCATGGACTTCCAGTTCCCCTGCTCGAAGTCCATACCTTTGCACATGCTCTTTTCTCGGTATTAATGTACGCCGCTTGGTTCAAGGTAAGTCTATGAGATGTTGAAAAGCTTTACAACGCAATATGCCGGTTCATTGGTCAATTTCCAAATGTCACTTGAATGATCTTATCACTAACACTGAGCCCTAGAAACCATTGGATATTGCACCTTCATCCTGCGTTTTGCTTCCCACAGAGGATTTTGAGGATGCCCTTGCCTTGATGGTTCAAGAACAATTTTGCGAGTCCCACAATATTGTGGCTTGTCTCTACCCAGAGCGGAGACCTGAAAACGAATCTTCGACGATAGCCGTGTCGGGTGACACCAAGCAGATGCTTCCGTTTGACGAACCCGGAAGCCCAGCCTTGATGCCTGTCTACCATCCTGATGGAAATCCAATCAAAGTCACTTGGATTGATCCAAACAGTCCTAAGTCACTCCTGGACCCCGATCGAACTGGGATGGTGCTTCCCTGTGGGTTCGGATTCGCAAAAGTGTTTGCACCACCAGTTACATATCATGGATGGTATTCACTGCGCAGAGCAGAAGCGTTCAGAGCAATTACCTCCCCCCACAGACAAGGTTATCTTTCACGAAAAGACAAACTTCGCGCAGAAAGGGTCATGAGGCAGATTGTGCTTCTCGACGGAAAGCCATTGCAAAGCCCTCAACCCTATGTCAACTGCGAGGATGTCTGTCTGAAGGAACGGCGCTGTCGATATCCAATGCTCAAGTATCGGCGCGCCTTCTATAGTGTCAATGTACATCATCCACTTGATCCTGTCGACATGCCTGACGATTTTGAGGGGGATGACGATCCAATGCTTCAGGATTCAAGTTACATGTCGAAGATCAATGCTAACAATAATGAAACTATGATTGATGCGCCGCTAGCTATACCAACATTTGGTGTAGCAACCACTCCAATGGCCCTCTTGACCAACAACAATATTAGCAGCAAGAACTCCTTACTGATTGCGGCGTTGTTTGGGTTGAATGGCGGAATTCATATGGCTGCCTGGAATTATATTTTTCCCACCAAAGTTGAGTGCCAGGCATGGAGGGTTGTGAGTTTGGCAAGTACTGTCATAGGGCTTGGCATGGTACTCGTACGTGTGCTCACAATTTTCCTCAGGAAGTTTACCGGACCCCATCAGCTAGTATACCCACGGAATGGTGCGATTCTCGCTGGATGGATTTTGTTGTTGGAGCTAGGGATTATTCAATTGCCCCTTTATTTCCTACTGTTATTTGTCATGTTTGGCCGGCTCTATCTTAATGTTGAAGCTTTCATCAGCCTCCGACACATGCCATACGGCGTCTTTGTCATGCCCAGCTGGTTGGAGGTGCTGCCACATTTATGAGAAGGCTCAAGCGGATGTTTGGCAGGTTTGGACAGAGGGTTCGAAGGGATAACAGGTAACGGAAAGACATTTGAAATCATTAACAGCCTGTTTCCACGTCATTTGTCTCGTCGCGATTGGTCGGGTACAAAAGTCGAATGTAAAGTGGGAAATGAACATTATCTTTCTACCATATCTTACAACCATCTTCAGTGTACTTCTTCTGTCGATAATCCAAAACACACCAATCTAGAATGAGAAAAGAATAAAAACGCACACACATCTAAAACAACGTCCGTCTAATAGTCTAAGGTTTCAACACCAAAACGACACCCCTCCAACCGCACTCTGATGGAGGACACTCCTTTATACTTCAGGCCTAGGCTGTCTTCCACTCAACCCGCTCGTCCCGTCGACATCCTTTCCTGCTTTTCTAGCCTGCTTGATCTCCTCTCTCTTCCAAGACTGCTGCATCTTTTTTCTGTATCGACACCATTTCCGTTAGCACTGTCGTCATTCCGATTACATAGGTATCAGAGGGGACAAAAAAAAATTAAAGGACTTACCTCTCCAGATCCGCCTCCGAAGGCTCCAAACTGACCTCCCCCCTCACCCGTCCATGCCTCTCACCACTAGCCTCCCTCTGACTCGCGCTCCCCATCCTTTCTCTTCTTCCATGGTGATCACTCTCTCCCTCTCCCTCTCCCTCTCCCTGTCCTTCTCCCTCTCCTTCTCCCAATTGCGCCAAACTCAAGTTCGGCTTTTTCCCCTGCGCCATCGACTCCCGCCTCTTGGTATTCCTCTTCCTTGCCTGCCCCTCCACAGCACGCGCCACCTCCCCTTCTCCATACGGCGCCATCTGTTCTCCTTCCGTTTTGGCTTCGCTCTGCTGCAAGTTCTCCCTAGCCAGTGGATGACCCCTTGAGGAACCCACCATCCCGCTCAACGCCGTGCTACTATTATTCCTTGACCCAGCAGCAGACAAACTTGAAGCAGAAACGTACTGCGTCTCCCTTGCCTCTCGAGGATTCGCGGGCCCAGACCCACCAATGATTCCGCGCGAGGAGCCCCAGGCGCCGGCACCGCTTGCGCCCATTGCGGCGGTGGCGGCAGTGGCAGCGAGGTTACTGCGTAGTTCGGCGGTGGGGAGCTGGGATTGTGCGTTGGTGGGGCGGCGGTAGGAGAGGTAGTCTCCTCCGGAAGCGGCGGAGGGAGTGCCGTAGGGGTCCGAGGTAAGCGGGGTGTCGGAGACGGCGTGTTCGGAGAGCATGCGGATTGGGCCGCGGGGGGGACGGGGAGGGGGTAGCCTGTTGCTGTTGAGAGGGAGAGGCTGGAGAGGTTGGCGGTGGGCGTGCCGGGGGCCGAGTTTAGAGGGGTTCCGGCTTTGGAGGTGGGGAGGGTGTAGTGAGGGGACATGGACATGGACATGGTGATGGTGGGCTTCAAATTGGAGGATGGGGTTATGTTCCCTTGGGCGGTGCCGTGTCGGTAGCCTTCGGATTTGGGGGGTTGAGGGCGTTCGGTTGGTTGTTGGGCTGACATTCTTGGGGATTTGTTTCTGTCTGGCTAGTATGGAGCGTCGTGGCTCTGGTGGGTGTTGTGTGTGGTATGCGATAGATGGATGGAGATGTCTGAAATAGGAAATTTTTAGGGTGGTGTTGGTGTTGTTGTTCTTTCTGGATGTGGATTTCGAGCGAAAATGGACGGATAGATGCGTTGGGAAAGGTCAGACGATCGATGATGGTTCGGGATAGATGGTTCAAAAAGAAAAAAAAAAAACAAAAAAGAAAACTTTGCAGGATCTCGATTGCCAATATTTATCTTGCGGACTTGGCAACAAACGACAAGCGCAGAAGAACCAAACTTGTTGATGTAAAGGTTTTTGTTGATCATCAACCGGTAGGTAGGTAGGTGTCGGCAGGGTCCCGGGAGATGGATGGATGGATGGATGGATGCCTGCCTGGGCAGGGACTGGATGGACCCTACAGCTACCTATGATGTAGGTCAATGACGTAACCGGGCCCAGGTGATACGCTAGATGACGGAGTTGCTGCCGCTGCCGCTGCAGTGGTCGGGTTTGCATCAAGTAAAAGCACTAACATTTCATCTGCAGAAGACACAGTCAAACAGTTAGTAAAACCCATAGCACCTAACAGAACCTACCTACCCTGTAAGGTGCTTTTTGATCGTGCAGCCACCTCACCACCTCACCGGGCACCCAAGCGAGGGAGCGCATCCCGTCCATCCTTTTTTGAGTGTCAAGTTTCAGCACACCACACCACACCACACCTCACCCTGCTGTGCTCTGCCATCCATGCTTGCTTTTAACCTGATCACCTCCCCCCGGGACCCCAGCCCGGTTAAAATCGCAAACAACATCTGACCGTCCTCCCGTCGTACTACAAAAAGCTACTTGGCTCTCTCCACTGTTTGTTTCGTTATTGGATTTTGATCGAGGTGATCTTCCTAATCGCCAACATCATTTGTGTGAAGCGTTGGCTGGCGGACAGCCACTGACAACCTCAAGCCACGGGCGGGGGGCGAGCCACTGATGAAAGCAAGCAGCTGACGCTTTGTTGACTGATAGGCGCTGCGTTGTTGCGGGCGGAGCGGCGGCAGAGCGGCAACGCCGGGGGGTCCGTTGGCAATTGAACTGGACTTGGCGCCGGCAATGAATGGAGCTAGTGGTTCCAAGGTGAATCACGTTGTTTGTCGTTCAGTTCATTGATGGGGTGAAGTATCACGAACGCAAGGGCGGGATCTTTACTGCTGATTGATGACTGCATTGGTTCATTGTCTCTACAGATGTTTACGAGCTACGACAAGCTACAGCAGATGCAAGCGCATATCCAACATCACCAGACAAACAGATACACAAAACATGATAACCAACTTGGCAATCGCCTTTCTCTATTTCTTGTCTACCTAACTAACATGACCTAGCCCAGTTATATGCAATCCCAACTTTAGCTTTCCCTGACACATTCCATCTATATCATTTGTTGACATCAATCACCTCTTTCTTTAAAGCATAGCAAAGACACCAACGAGAAGGGTCATGCCAGCCACAGCAGCGGCCGACACGCCCTTGACCGAGGTAGCAGAGCCAGTAGCGACCGCACTCTCAGCAGGGGCGGTAACGGTAGCGGGCTCGGAAGAAGAGGCAGTGCCGGAGGAAGGGGAGCCCGACGACTCAGAACCCGAAGAGCCGGAGCTGGAAGAGCCAGACTCCATGCTAGAAGGAGACGAGACACCAGTGCCGGTAGCAGCCGAGGTGGCAGAAGCGCTGGAGCCGGAAGAAGCCTTGGGGGTGGTCTTGAAGGTCTTGGGGCAGGTGAGGTCGAAGTGGGGAGTGGTGGAGAGGTTGTCGGTGATAGCGAACTTCATCTCGTTGTCCGGGTTCGAGTCACGGAGGTTGTACCAGAAAGTGGGGACCTTGCCGAACAGCTTGCGGCAGCCAACCTCCTGCCAGTAGTACTGCTGGTTCTTGATGGTGGCCTCGGCCTGGTCCCACGTCTGGCCGACGTAGGGCCAGCCCGTCTCCGTGACCCAGATGGGCTTGCCGCCGACGGCGCCCTCAATGGCATCGTAGGCGCGGTCGAAGAGGTAGCCAGAGTTCTCAATGTTGTTGCCCTTGCCGTTCTCGTAGTAGGGGTACTCGTCCACACCGACCCAGTCGACCGCGTCGATGACGGGCTTGTTGGTGCCGTTGGTCCAGGCGTCCCACGTGTCGACGTGGCCGATGGGCACGTTGGCAATGGCGGTGCCCTGGAAGGCCTTCTTCCAGTCGGAGATGAACTTGACGAGCTCGGCGGGGCCCGCGCCGACACCCGACTTGTTCTGGATGCCCGTGACCGAGACACGGTACAGGTCCTCGGAACCGATGGAGGCGCCGATGATGAGGTCCGTCAGCTTCTTGCCGTACTTGGCAATGCCGTTCTGGAGGGCCTTGATCTCGGGCTCGATGGTGTTGGTGCCCGAGGCCCAGACACCCAGCAGGATCTTGGTGTTGGTCTCGATGGCGGCCTCAAAGGCCTCAATGGGCTCCGAGGTTTGCGAGTAGGCCTGGATGTTGGTGTAGAGACGGACGGCGTTGAAGACGCCGGGGGAGTTCTTGAGGTTCTGGGCCGTGGTGAACTCTTGCACCCAGTCCTTCTTGAACTTGGCTTCGCGGCTGGGGAGCGTGTTACCCGAGTTGAAGCCGAGGTAGGCCTCGGCGGACACGCCGGAAGCGAGGAGGGCGGCGGCGCCGGCGAGGAGTTCGGAAGCGCGCATTGTGTGTGGTTACGTATGTATAATCAATCGAAGGTGCTCGAGAGGGCGGTTGTTCTAATTCGGGGGAAAGAGTGGCGGTTCGTATTATTATAGATATCCAGGCAATATAACGAATGTCTGTCCTACAAGGACTGGTCTGATGCTGGATGGATAGTTGGGGATTGGAAGAGGAAGGAAGGAAGATGTGCGGGAAGGGGAATGAAGGGTAAAAATGCAAAATGAAGATGGAGTGGGAAAAAGAAAGAAAAAAAAGAAACGAACAAAGGAGAGCCCGGATGGGATCCCTTCACTTCAGCTGAAGATGCATCCACCCACACACATCACACTCAGTTGACGGGCAAAACGCAGGAACAGACGGAACAGGAGAAACAACAATTGGCACTGTGCTGCGGCCTTGGCTGGCAACTGAACCGGCAACTGGAATGGTCACGGAAGCAAAAAGGCACTTTGATTGGAGGAATGGAACAGTGGGTCAGCCAATGGGCCGAAATTACCAGTACATACGCATGTTCCCTTCGTCGAGTTCCCTTCTCAGTGAGTCCTTGACTTGGATTCATTCATTCAGGGGCGGCTATGGGCCATCTGATTGGGTCGTCTGGTCCGTGAATCTGACACAGCCACGCCGTCTTGGCACCCCATAGCACCCCATAGCACCCCATACCCGTAAGGTATGTAATGGCGCTCCTCCACTGGCCCGCCCGGCAGTGGCCTCCTGATGGCGCACCCCACCGATCGTCCTTTCGCTTTTTGGCGTCTAATCGAAAACACGAGCCTGATCCTGAATCTTGGGGTTCTGCTGCGAGTCCAGACTGTGCGCTAGTGTCAAGTGAGTTCACTGATGGTGATGACCCCTATGTTGGTTCATCCCGTGATGGTCACTAGCTTGAGTCGATGTCTTGGGCGGTTATACCCGTTCGTACATGTACGCAGTAGTGGTGTAGTGTACTAGGCTCGATGGAAGGAAAGAAGCGGTGCCAGGACACAAAGGGGAAAGAACCAAGACCCGAACAGCAGAACGAGATGAAGAGGTTTCTGGTTTGTTCGTATTCGACAATCCAATCCAGCTCCAGAGATCCACTGCAGTCACGGGCAGGGCCTGAGATGTCCCCCGGCCAGCCGGCGTCGGGAGAGCCTAGCGTCCGGTACCTGGAGACCATTTCCATTTCCCAGTGCTACAAAAATAGCGCTTGCTGTGGATATTCCTGGTCTGTGCTTCCACTTCTTCTCAGCTTCGATGATTTGAGCCTTTCTTCGGATGCGAAAAGCCGGTCGGGGGTTCCAGGTCCATGAAACAAATCTCCTCTGTCTCCTTAAAAAGTCCGTTGTCTTGGCCCCCCTTCTTTCGGTCAACGTTCTTTTGGTCAATTGTGTTGCTTGACGGCTTCCTTCGTCAACACTTTCTGTTGTTGATGTTGTGGTTGTTGTCGTCGTTGTTCTGCCTCTAAATGCTGCAATATTGATGGCTGACGCTGGAATACTTGTCCATATGCGCCGCGATGCAGCCAGTCACTGAAGCAGGTCCTGACTCCAGACGACCGTCGACAATGAGCAAAATGAGAAGAAGAAGAAAAAAAGAATACCTCTAGGTAAGGACTTGCAGTCGGTGTCTTTGTCTTTGACGGAAATCGAGGTCGATCTTGATGCCGTCTTGGTAAAGTTCACAAACACCGACAGAAACAACAACAACGAACAGTCGAAATCAGCCCTATCAGCATTGCCCTGACAGCGAGAGATCCCTATCTCCACCTGCTGTGCAGTTGGCAGCTTTGCAGACAGCTGTACCTCATCGCATTATTTTTGGTGTTGAACCTGTCGATGCGCTGCAGTGCAGTGCTGGCACTTCTCCCATTCTGCATTCTTCGTTGGCTACCAAAACCTGCACACTGCATGAATCTCGGTCGGTCGCGACAACCCATTGGCGATGCGCGACCCAAATAAAAACGAACGATACAAAATCGATTAAAAGACCAGACCACTGATGAATCCCAAAACAATGTACGACGAGTAAAAAAGCGGCCCTCCAAGCCCTATCATTCCTATGGCTTCCCCTCTGTCGAATGGCCTCACCCACATGGGACGAGAATGTGGTTCGTGGTGTGACCGTGACGGTGGCGTGTCGTCATCAGACCACCACCAACCCCGACGAAAGATACCACCACCCAATGGAACTTTGCCTTGTACGTATCTTCGCAACCCGGGAGATTCTAGAAGGTTACCTACCTTACTGTTGAACAAAATAAATAAAGATGGGATAGGACCGCGATGCTTTTGAAACGTGTATTGGGGGTAATCAAGCACGACTGACTGACTGACTGACTGTCATATCTGCTACCGACTTTGACAGCCACAATCAGAACAACAACGATTGAACATACATCACCATGGGCGAAGAAACTACCTCTAGAGGTAAAGATACCGAATCCGCTGAATTGACGCCGCCGTCCGAGTTCCTTGCGCCATGTCCCAAATTCCGCGTCTTGGTCTTGGGAAACCCCGAGTCAACCAAGCAGGAGCTATTTTCGCGGGTGTTTGGTGTTGATCTTGAAAAGGTTCGTCTGTCGCATTGATTCCCACCTCCATTATCATCACTAACTCTTTATCGTTTCCCACAGAAACTAGTCTCCGACGCCTTCTCCGCCACCCACGACATCAACCTCCCCCTCGACCTGCAAGGCCAAAACAAGCGCGTCGAAATCTTCTCCTCCCCCAACTTTTTCTTTCCCTCTCCTCCTCCCGAATCAGGCGAAGACGACCCGTCGTACATCCTCGCCTACGCCACCCTCCGCATCGTCACCGACTTCATCAAGGCCCATACCTCTTCTGATACCACGGCACCCCTCCACGCAATCTGGTACTGCGTCTCGTCCGCCGACCCCGACCGCCCCATATCGGCTGTCGAGCAATACTTCTTTGACCACCTCTCGGGCATCGTACCCACGCATATCCCTGTGTTGTTGCTGTTTACCAAATATGATGAGTTTGTAAGTCAGGTGCAGATGGACTGGATCAAGTCTGCGCAGGAAAAGGGTATGTCGAAAGTGGCTGTGGCGCATATCTTGCGGGACTTGGTACATAAGCGGTTTGAAGATACGATTGGGAAGAAGTGGGGACAGCTTTTGAAGAGCGTGGATAGCGGGTTGGTGTTGGAGCAGGCGAGGAGGGATAGTGGGTTTGGGTATAGTTTTGGGTTTGGGTATGGGGGCTCGGATCGGAAGGATGTGTTGCATTTAGATGATAGGGAGGTTGAAGAAGGTGGGAAAAAAAGAGAGGTGGTGAGAGTTTTGGTGGGTGGAGGGGGGAGTCAGAGCAAGATTGGGGAGGAGAGCCGGCCTGGGGAGAGGAGTTGGCGGGGGTGGAGGAAGGGGGGTATGGAGAATTGGTGAAGAAGACGTTGGAGGGGTTGAAGGAGTCCAAGGAGGTGAGGAGGGCGTTTGCGGCTGCGCAGAGGTGTTCGGCTGGTGTTTCGAGCGAGTGTGAGTATTCCCCAATCCAATCTGGAGAATCAAAAAGGAAAAGAAAAGCTAATGAAATCGAACGAAAAAGTCGCAGCAGAATTGGCATCCACCTACTTTGACGTTGACACCGGCCACGCCCGCAAGCTCCACGGCGTCGACGTGCGCGACATCATGCCCGACTTCTACGCCAAAGCCGTCCAGCTCTTCAACCTGCGCGACGTCTCGTCCGTGCTCGAGGACCCGAACCTCTTGGTGCGCATCCTCGAAGCCACCTTTGGCGTGCACCAGCGCATCCTCGTCGACGACTCCCTCTCCCACTCGTCTACCGAACCCAGCATCTTCCTCGGCCTGTCCCCGCACGAGCGCGCCGTTCTGCTGGCCCAAGGCATGGCGGCCGTCATCCTGTTCCTACACAAGCTCGCCGACGTGCAATGGCCCCATCGCGACAATAGCCGTGGCGTCTTGCCGCCTGCAACCATTACCGCCAAGGACGTGCAGCGCGTCATTGACGAGATTGAAAGGGGGACCGAGAAGCGGGAGTTGCTGGAGGAGATTGAGAGCAGTCCGATTTTCACGAGCTGTCGGATGCGGGAAGAGGTGGCGGATTTGATTTACGGGGCTGTGGAAAAGGCGGATAAGGGCGCGGCGTCGCATTTCACACGGGAGGCGAGGGGCAAGGGCACGGTCATGGTGGATGATTCGGATTTGCAGGAGATCAGCCTGTCGTTTGTGAATGATAAGGGACCGGATGATATGGTGCTTCCGAATGGGTTGAGAATATTGCCGTTGAACTGACGGATCGAAGTTGACTTGGGAATGGATTGACTGCTGCAATTGGAAAAGGATTGGTTGGATGTCATGATGTGGATATTTGGTTGGGAAAGGCGTTTGGGGGATCGATTGAGTGATATGTTCGCAATCATGGATTGACAATATTCAACTGGGACGAAGAGAAAAGAAGAAATGGTGATTCAATTCAATGAAAGAAAAAAGACAAGCGTGATATGAATAAAGCAGTAGTAGGTACAGGGAAAGAAAAAAAAGAAAAAGAAGGTCTCTCCCGCCGGGAATTGAACCCGGGTCTCGAGCGAATCGAACTGATGTTCAAGCTTGACAAGCTCACATACTGACCACTATACTACGGAAGACTCGCAGGTGTGGGCACCTGCCGTAGCTGATTGTTGCAAGGAAACCCAGCTGGTGCCCCTATAAGTGTGTGCCGAGCTATCCAATTTCCCGTTCTGGCACCTCCCATGTTGGCATTCTCAACGTCCTTCTGTCAAACAAGATCCGATTTCCAGAGATACTCTAACTATTCTAACTTGTTGTCATTGACGAAAATCTCTTTCCCATGTCTACTCACATCTGCGCGGCATTCAATTCCATTACCAGATTGAGAAGTCTTCTTATCTCTGGGTATTCATGCAACTCTATCAACCCCTCATTCCCGTCCCATCCCTCCTTTGCAGAATTGCAGTTCAGAGCTATCTTATCGACACCCGTATCTCATCACTTACACGCAAAAATCCCCCGGATCGGTTCCCCAATCATGGTCTAGACTGGTCGCACAAAAAGACCGATAGTGGTTAGGGATGAACCGGAACGGCATATGATAGGTCTGGGAGAACCCATGATGTACTTGCCGCAGCTGAACATCGATGCTTTGGATGTTGCTGGGTGGTTGATGGCGATACCCGACACTGATACAGCATGGCTTGGCGGCATTGCGGGGTGGACGACATATCTTCCAGGTCACCGAGATATATCTTACCTACAGGTACTGATGACCTCAACGTCTTGCTGCAACACCGAACAGTTCAACACTTCAGACGTCCGACACCTTTGAAACCATGTTGTTTACTCAGATTCTGGGTGTCTCGACCGCCCACATATCCGTGGCAGGCGTCATAGTCTGTCTGATCCTCTTCACGCTACAACGCTTCTTGACTGTCAGATGGAAAGGAAGGGAGCGAAAGGCTAGCATCTCAAACAGCAAAGATAAAAAAAACAAAGTCAAGCCAGATCTGCCGTACCTCCCACAATTCCCTCCTTCAAGACGACATGTCCTCGCTACGCTCCCGGGATTTGAAAAGGCAGATGTACAAGCCATCACACCTGAGATGCTCAAGTCCCAAGCATTGCCAACAGTCACAATCCCCGACTTTGCCAGGGATGGCTTCTACACGCCTACCGGTTTCTCGACCCAGGATATCAAGAAACTCGGACGTTTCCCCGACTATGCCGCCCTGAGCGGTGTCCGCGATCCGCACCCCGTTTCGGCAGACTGGGACATAACCAAAGCCAAGTTTCGGCCTTATCGACCTTTTCGCTGGGGATATCATCAGCACATGGGTTAGTTTTCCCCCGTTTCCCTTCCAACCCCCCTAGGCCACATCAGTACTGACAAGACACTTGAAGCCCTCATGAAATACGATCCAGACTGGTGGGTCGAGCTCACCTCCTCCTACCACACCACCATGGCCACCCGCCGCGCCTTACTCGCCCAACACGGCTCCAAGATCTTCTTCCAGAACCCATGCGCTTCACACGCCTGCCGCGAACTAATGGAGATGGTCCTTTCTTTTCTCTGCAACCGATACCCGCAGCATTTTTCCCTATCATCCGACCACACCCTCTTCCACAACCACCTCCTCTCCACCACCACCCACCTCTTACAAACCGACCCCCTGCAAGTCTTGTTTGATAACGTCCCCGAGGACTACGCCATCATGATGCGCAACGAGACCGACGGGCTGTATTACCTCCGCGCTGCTATTGTTTGTTCTAGCGTAGGCTGGTACGCCTCTCAACACCGCGACGCCCCGCTCAAGTCCATCCATACGCATGTACCGGACTATGAATCCAAGATGGCGTTCTCCATGGATCGCTGGTTCAGCAAGTTATCGACCGAATCGCCCGTCAGCCGCTGCTCGTGGGGTCTAGAGGACTGGGAAGCGTTTCATACCTCGCCTGATCCTGACTCTGTTTCAGGGGAATGGACGCGTTCAGCATTCAAGGGCAGGGAGGACCAAGTGACGTCAAATGATATCAAGCTGCGATGCGATGCGCAGACGTTGAGGCGGATGCCGGTTAGTGGAGCCGTGGTGTTTAATTTCAAGGCGATCTTTTGGGACTTGGAGGAAATGAGGGAGGAGAAGTACGTGCCGCGGTTGTTGGCGAAGGTGTTGAGAGAGGGGAAAAAGGAGTTGATGGAGTACAAGTGTGAGGAACATGTGAGGCAGGTGGCCATGAGGGCTTGTGAAGAATGGGCGGAGGAGCAGGTTGAAAAGGGGTGGGTGCCGAGGGAGTGGGAGGTCGGGACCCTGGAGGAGAGTCCGTTTTTCCCGGGGTGGGAGGGGAAGTGGAGGGGGGAGCAGGGCTTTTAGTGCTGTACATAGGTGGCCCCAGGCGGGTTAAGAGGTACCTACCCTAACAGATGTGCGCGGATGTGGTGGTTAAGAGTACATGTAGCTTTTGCAGGATAGTGTATGCATGAGTGACTTTTGAGCTTAGCACTTATTGCTGGGTATGCGTGGTGGGGAACAAGCAGCGGGTACCTAAGAACAGAGGACGGAACCTGGAGTTGAAGACCGACGAATGCTATTCGATTTCTTCCTCGTACATCATTCTGTTGCCTGCGCCAAAATTCTGATTCTCGTTAATTGCTTATACGTTTTTTCAATTGACATGCCCCCATTCGGTAGAAGCCATGGTTGCGAACATGGAGCCCATCACGACCCAGGATTAGGCACTTGGACCTAGGCGTCGCCAGCCTGCGACCTGCCTCCCATACCCTAAGTAAAAGGTCTCTTCATCCCGTCTCCACGGCCATAACTATGGGACAAATATGGACTAACAGAATGCCTACAGAATTCCACAAAGGGTTTGTCACAAGTCGAGATCGCAACAGCCGCAAATCCAGATCCCGTCCCCGAATACGACTACCGTTCGCGAGGAAGCCAGCGACACTGTTCGCTACAATCTGATCCCCTTCCATCTGACCAATGCTCCCGATTACGAAGCTGTTCCGCATATAAGCTCAACAGGGCAACAGACACTGGAAGATTAGCTACGACCAAAGTCAGACTGTCATCACGAATACTGGGAGCAAGCTGCTGCAAATTATCCAGATCCTTACCTATTCCCTACCTAGCCGAACCTCGATTAGACGCAATGAAGCGCTTTGGCGGACCTTGATTGGAAATGATGACCAAAACGCAGTCAGACTCGTCAAGTACCCGGCGCCCCATCAAATTGGTTACCGTAGCCCAACAATAGGATGGGCCCTCATCTCAAACTAGGAATGGGGGAAACGTCATTTAAGCCTCGGCAGTTCGGTCCTGAGTAGGAAGCGTAAAAGTTCGTTGACAGCTTTCCAGTTGTTCAGGTTCGCAATCAGTAGACCAATCGGGATGGGAGCTTTATCATCACACTTCACAGATCTTTCCGGTGTTGCAGTTTCCGGTCTCGTGCAGGAGATGCGAATATCGGTTTATTTGAACAAGTCTCTGCGAGGATGGTTCACACTAACTGACGCGGAAGTCGTGGAACAGGACGATAAACCTTGTGGATTAGGCTAGCTACAACTTCGACGGTTGGTTGTTGGTTACCTCTGCATACCCTCGAGTTCCACCACGTCGGAAGAATATTCTATTTGTACGTCTTCCTGTGCCTATCATATTCTGGACCCGGGTTGCGAGCTCGCTGTCTAACGGACTCGCGTGTCGTGGCCCGCACTTACTACCTCTGGGTAACCAAATGCAAGGCGTCTACCGGAGAAACTCGCGAAGCTGGCCAAGAGGTATCCCTTCCTGAACGCCGTAGTCCGGACAAGTGTATTCGCCTGCAAATGCGTGCCAATGAGACATGTACATATTTCTGTCAGATGTCTGCACCCTGCCTGGCGCTTAAAGAGCGATACCTACCTCTAGCTTTTTGCTCAACTACGCGAATCTCTTCTGCGTACTAACGCGAGAAATAGCTCGACCCTTCGCAGTACGGGATAGCAGGCATCATGACTAATGAGTTTGCAGTGGTGCGCGAGCACATTGAACTACCTGTGCCTTAACATGCCTACCTCGGCCTCTCTGAACCCGAATACTGCCATTCTCATCGGGCTGCCGCGGACCCGAAGTTCCGAACACCAGGTAAGCCTATCATGGACGAGAAATAACAGCTTCTAACGAGTAGAAGGAGGAAAACCTCGGATAGACGGGCTCGGTTCAATCAACACCTGCATCGCATTAGTAACTGGCGACCAGACTACTGAGGAGAGACCGAATGCCTGCTTTCGAGGTCCATATGTTCTTGTTAACGCCCAGGAACGAAGAGCTTGGCTGTTGCAACTCTGCAGATCAAATTGCATTTCCGAAAAATGCCTCTGCAACACGGAAAATCATCAACCACATTTATATCCCGATACCGTGGAAACTCGAGAGATTGGCCCTACCCAAGGGATCTCCTCTTTGACCGCTGGTCAGGGCAGAACGGGGCACTCCGTAAGGACTTTTGCACCAACAGATGTGTCTGTCCAGTCAGTGAAAAGTCGGGGGTATTGCCTACCACTCTATCTTGCGTAGAGGTACATTTCAACGTACAGGATCGGTTCTGCTATGCACATATCCCCCCCTGTGCGGCGCTCAAAGTGGGAAACCAATTTTGCATATTTCTTGAATTCCTTCACGGTGCATTTCCTTGATATAAGTGAGCACTCATTTTCCTGATTTCTAATCGTCCAGGTCAGGATCAACCCCTGGGCGACATTAATCACCAGTTACCTCTAACATGTCAACAAGTGACCGATACACAAAACCACGGGCGGCCACTATGGCTCAAAGAAAACATGAAACCATCGCCCCGTCGGCCGGGATCCCGCCACCACAGAGAAAGCGCACTGGACTGAGCCTTATCCACGAGGTCGTGCTCGTCTTTGTTCTATGCCTCGCTCAGTTCCTCTCCCTGGCTGCAATGAACCAGACTGTTGCTCCCATGCTCATCCTTGCCAAGTACTTTGACATCCATGACTATGGAAACCTCAGCTGGTTCTCGGCAGCGTATAGCATGACTGTCGGGACTTTTATGCTTCCTTCTGGTAAGCCCAACCAATAACCTCATAGCCTCTCATGAAGCTTGACATCAACGTCCGCCAGGAGGAGGTAGCGACTGATTAACTGACAACCCCCCAGGACGACTCGGTGATATACACGGCCACAAGCTCATCGTGATGATAGGCTGGGCCTGGTTCAGTCTCTGGTCTCTAGTCTGCGGCTCATGCGGCCCTACCAATCTAATATGGTTCAGCACTTGCCGAGCTTTTCAGGGTATGGGTCCAGCATTGATCATCCCCAATGCTTTAGCCATCATCGGACGGACGCTCTCCATCGGACTGAAACGGAACCTCGCTTTTGCGTGCTTTGGAGCAGCAGGGCCATCAGGAGCCGCGGCGGGCGCCATTCTCTCCTCGCTTGTAGCCCAGAAACTCTCGTGGCACTGGTGCTTCTGGTTCCTGTCCATGACCTGCGCCGTGTTGGTCATGATGTCGTGGTTCATCATTCCTCTGCCTTCTTCCGAGTCCCCTTCTGCCCGCAGCAGTGCAGAACTGACCACCTCCATGGTGGCGGGGCGAGACCTTGATCACAACACCAAGGCAGAAACCGAAGGCAGCCAACAACGACAAGAGCCCACCTTCGACACACTCGGTGCCATCACCGGTGTCACCGGCCTAGTCTTGGTCAACCTCGCCCTGAACCAAGCGCCTCTCGTCGGCTGGCACATTCCTTACATCCGCGCCCTCCTCGTCCTCGGCCTTCTCTCCCTCCTCGCTTTCGTCTGCGTCGAGCGGCGCTTCGCCACTCACCCCATCGTCCCTCTCCGCGGCGGCAGCGGTCTCCAGCCCCACGCCGCCTTCGTCCTCGCCATCGTCTTCACCGGCTGGTCCTCCCACGGCATCTGGGTATATTACCTCTACATCTTTCTCGAGCACCTACGCGGGCACTCAGCCCTCTTCACCTCGTTCGAGACCTCCCCCGTCGCGGCCACAGGGATCTTCTTTGCCTTGTTAACCGTCTACCTCTTACGGCGAGGCGTGTCCGTTTCGCTCATCATGTTCATCGCCATGTTCTTTTTCTTCCTGGGGACCTTACTCTTGGCGCTGACGCCACTGCATCAGACCTACTGGGCCAATACCTTTGTCGCCGTGTTGCTCATGCCGGGCGCTATGAACCTGAGTTTTCCAGCGGCGACTATCCTGTTGAGTGAGCAGCTGCCGAGGGAGAAGCAGGGGATGGCGGCGAGTTTGGTGGCTACCGTGGTCAATTATAGTATTAGCTGCGGGTTGGGGCTGGCGGGGAGTATCCATAAGCATGCGCTGGTGAAAGCCGGGGATCGCGCGGGGGTGGAGAGAAACGGGAGGAAACCCGGGCCGGCGTTGAGCGAGACGAGTGAGGTGTTGGTGGGCGTCAGGCTGGAGGGGATGAGGATGGCCGTTTGGTTGGGGGTGGCGTTGGCAGGGTTCGGGGTGGTGGTTGCCGGGGGGGTTTGGGGGGTGCAGCTGTTGGTGGCGAGGCACAGGAGGAGGAGGAGGAGAAGCAGTGGGGAAAGGATGAAGGGTCGTGGAGAAGGAGGGGACAAGGAACAAAAAAGGGGACAGCAGAAGGAATTGACAACGGCAAGTCAGGATCTGGAGGTGGGAGTGGTGCACACCACGCGGGCAACTGGAAGCACGAAAAGTGGAAGTAAGAAGAAGAAGCTGTCGCGGAAGGGGTCGGCTGCGACTACGGTGAGGACCAAGAATGAAGGCTCTGGGGCGGTGGTGGAGGGAGAGAAGGGGAGAAGTACAATGCGGGTTCATGAGGAGGTGAAGAGTGTTTTGAAGACGGTGGACTTGGGGTTTCAACCGCCGTCGGGGGAAGCTGTGAGGAAGAAGAGCGGGAGAGGACATGGAAACTCGACGCAATCGACAGGGAGGAATCAAAATGGATGAGGGGTTTGAACGAGGAGTGAAATAAACAGGAACGCTACGAACCGAAGTAGGTACCTACGTATAGGTAGGTACGAAGGATTGGACGGCTCTTCCTGCTGAGCCAGGAGCGACACTGTGAACTCCCAGGCAGATCGATGCACACGCACCTTTCAACATTCACGACGCATTTTCTGGCTTTCATTCATAGGGCTGAGGTTCTTGAAAAATGGTTGAAAATATAATATCACCCACAAGGGAAAACCCGTACCGTACCACGCCGGCCCCGAACACAACCTGAGGTGATATACCGTGAACCATCTCCGGTTGGTCTTATCAAAATATAGCCAGAAATTGATAGAAAAGTCCGGGAGGCTGTGGGAGATGGGATGCGACGGTACGTGTCGGAAAGTGTAGGAAATCGTAGGGTGCGGGCAGGTTTTCCGCTACAAGACTCCAGGTTGTCCCCGGATAAACTGCCGACATGAGCAAGAGGTACGTTAACCGTTAGGAGTCTTTGCCCTTATCTCACCCATCTTACCTACTTATTCTCTGCTCACCACATTCTCTTCGGTTCATGTTCGCCTTTGGCCACTCTGCTGCCAGCCGTCGGCGATTCTCATGCAAGCTGCAACGCCACGCCTGCCCCGGCTCACCCGGGTCACCCAGTTTCGGGTGCTGGCCTCTTGCTGACTGGTAGCCTGAGCCGGTGCAACCACACCTGTCATACCCATTCTCGCTGACGATTCGACGCTGCCGGTGTCAGCCCGCATGTTTGGTACAACCCATACAGCCCATACAGCCTCCGCCGTCGCATGGAGCCAGGCCTCTTGTCGCAACTTTAAAGGTCTGTATGATCCTATCGGCGCGGATCCATTACGGTTCTGCGAATGAACGAGAGGAGAATCTACCCTACATATACGGGACCAGTCAACCATCTTTTACTTGCCAGGGACGGAACCGCAGAAGCGTGGAGGCAAAAGACGGCCGAGGCAGCCACATAACCAACTGAACACAGTCAGAAAAAGGTGGTACGACAGGTTCGTTCATATTGCAAAGCTGACAGCAGCTCACTAGCACGCTGTTGGCTTACCTATGGTACCTACCTACCTACACGACTGGGACGAACTGCCCGCTGCCAGGGGGACGGCTTTCCGAGCTTGAATGTTTGTTCTCGCTTTACGAACTACGAACGTTGCACCACACCAGTGCAGTGGATTGGCTAGACTAGTGAAGCGAAGAGGCTCTGAGGGAGGGCTCCGGGCCAGAACCAGCCACATCGACGACCCATCTGCCTGGTCCAGTCTTTATTCCCCGGATGCTTTCGCGTGTCAATGACCTGGTTTCTCTTCCACTTTCCATCTTCACACTTAGTACCTTTCATCACAATCTTTGCCTTGCTGTTCCATCTTCAATGTGACGGCGGGAATCGAATGCCGGTCGGAACTCGGCATTGACCGCGATCAATAGCTGTCGCCTCGAACACCTTGCTTCACACATTACTCACAACTACTACGACGGGTTTAAGGGTAATGCGGGATGCCGATGAGCAAGATGGCCGGCTTCACTGAGGCATCAACATGCAGGACTCTGCTTCTCTTTTGCTTTCTCATCGGGGTGTCACTCGCCCAGTTCGACCCCATCAAGGACTTCTGTAGACGATTTGGACATCAGTCGGCGGTAGTGGACGACAAACTCTATGTGGATGGAGGTCTGGTCAACTGGAAGCCGTACTCGGAGACTTCGGCAAACGTCAGCAGTGCGTATCCTATGTACCGAGCATTGTTGGTTCATCTACTTATCACTAACACTTGCTAGACCAATTCCTCCTCTACAGCGACCTCAAACATGAGACGGGAGGAATGCCCAACGTCTACGCCAATCTGTCCAAAAACGCAACCATCCCTAGTGTCAGCTTCGGGATCCTGTGGGAGGACTCAATCAACAAGTGGCTCTATTCTTATGGTGGAGAATCTCAGTCAACACCAAGCAACTTTATCCTCTACGGCTATGACATCCTCAACAACTACTGGACCTCCTTCGGCCCGCCCTCCACCAGCAGCGGTACCATTACCCCTTTAAGTCACGGAGCAGGAGTCTCCATCTCGGAACGCGGCGAAGCTTTCTACTATGGAGGATGGTTCAGCGAGAACTCCGTCCCCGGCTGGTCAGGAACTAGACGGGCATCCGACAGACTAATCAAGTACGACATGGATAGCCATCATTTCAGCAATTTCAGCGGGCCGGACAACGTCAGAAGAGCCGAAGGGACCATGATCTATCTCCCCATTAGTGATGGAGGGATGTTGGCCTACTTTGGCGGTGTTCGAGACAACGGAAACGGCACTGTGTCGCCGCAGCCGCTGGATACCATCTTCATGTACGATCTGGCGAACACCCGATGGTATACTCAAAAGACATCAGGTAGAGCCCCAGAGAATAGGAGGCTGTTCTGTGGAGGAGCGGCTGTGGCTCGGGATCAATCTTCCTACAACATGTACGTCTTTCGTCCCCTTTCTCTGAGCACCAATTAACAACAACAGCTACATCTACGGCGGCGCCTCCTTCGGCTCCAACCCCATCGGCTACGACGACATCTACGTCCTCTCCATCCCTTCTTTCCAATGGATCCGCAGCCTCTTCCCCTCCAACTCCAACGTCACCGGCGAATTCCCCAAAGCCATGAGCTCCTGCAACATAATCAACAACGCGCAAATGCTCGTCATCGGCGGCCGCGCCCTCAACGACACCACCATCTGCGACGCCGACGACGTTCTCGGTCAACATAACATGGTTCTCGGCAAGGACAACCCCGAAAAAGCCATCTGGGCCCGCTTCCAGCCCAACCTGACCACTTACACCCTGCCCACCGACATCCTCACCGTCGTAGGCGGCAACCCCACCGGCGGCGCCACCATCACCGCCCCGCCCAGAACCGGCTTCGACGCCCCGGACATGTCCACCCTCATGACGCGGAAACCGCGCATCGCCGAGCGAACAGCCACCCGCGACGTCACGCCCACCAGCGATCCATCCCCTGGCACCTCAAAGGGACTCAGCACAGGCGCTATAGCAGGTATTGCCGTCGGCGCCTCAATAGGCGGCATCGCAGCCCTCGCATCTCTCTGCTTCTTTTGCATCCGTCGGCGACAAAAGCACTACAAACAGCCTCGCGTCGGTGGACCCGGTACCGTCACGGGAAGTAACCCCACTAGTCCGATGGTGCGCCAACACCCGCCTGGTTCTTCAGCAGGATGGGCAGATGGACCAGGTGGTGCCGCCGTTTCGAGCCCGACGTTCTCTGATGCGGCGCCAACGTATAATACTTTGCAGCACGCTACGGAACTACCTCCTTCTCCACATGAACATGGGTATAGAGGCGTGGCGTTGGCGCCGCCAGTGCCGGTGGAGTTACCCGGTGCGGAAGCGGGGGATAATAATAATGCGGAGGGGAAGAGCAAGTATCACGGAGTGCCCCTGGAGATGCCGGTGACGCCGGCGAAGAGTACCGCCAGCACGGGTTATCGAGGACATGGACATGCGAGGAGTCCGAGTGATTTGGGACCGTCGTACCCGACGGGCGAGGGAGACGATGCTATTTCCTCTAGAGGAGGGGTGTCGCCTTCGTTGCCTAGTCCGGGGAATGGGACGGGGGATAGTGGACGGTTTGGTGGGAATGGAGGATTACCGCCGTATTCTGCGTCGGGGGCGTATGGGAGTGCGCCGGCTGGAGGGAGGTTTGAGGAGGATTTTGGGCATGAGGGGGATTATAGGAGGTGAGTGTTGAGATGGGGAGTGGAAGATGAACGGGGCAAGGGGAAGATGCGGATGTTTGACAGGCACGCTGCACACAAGAGGGGTGTTGTGCACCACTAAGAGAAGAGACAGGTAGGCAGTACTTTGGGTAGGCGTTGGACTTGGAAATCTGAAATATGGCAATGGCAGGGAAGGAGTTTTGAGCAAACTTTTGCGTTTTCTTGGCTTGGCGCACCACTTGTACTTGTGCGAGTTCTCTTTGGAAGGAGCTGTCTTTCAATGCTGGTGATGAAAGGGCAACAGGGGGTTATGACGAAATCTCTGATGCTGTGAATGATAATGTTAGATTGCAGGACACACAATGAGAAGATCCTTTCTCGCTTCAGTTTTCGTCTTGTTCGCACAACGCTGCTTCAGGGGTGCTTTTGCCTTGGCAGGAAGTAAACAAACGCTCAGGGGTAAATCACGAACCCTAACCCTTTGCCACCATGGGCTTCCCTGCGTTGTGCACCTTCCATCACTTCCACTTCTTCAATCGTCCAAATCATCACGTCTGCTTCCTCATCAGTCCAAATAAAAAGTCGCTTGTCCCTTTTGTGTCGAGTCTCCACCCATAGCCCCTACCACCAACCCCCCCTCACTCCCCGTCAATCGCAAATACTGCCCCATCGCTCCCGCCGCCTCAAACGACACCCCGTTCTTCGCATCCGCCAACCCTTCTTTCCTCACCCAACTCGCCTCGCTCTTGAAACTCGCCGACGAACTACTACTCCCCGCATCAAACCTGACCTGCGTCCCGCTCCTTCTCAAATACAACCCCGGTCTACTAGCAGACTCCAAACTCACAGTATTCCCACCCGCCAAGCCGGGGCTAACAACCCTAAACAGTGTATCGGCCAGCGTAGCGGCCCCAGAAGGGGAAGTCCCCGTGTAATACCTGACATATGCCTCAGGCGAAGAAGCAAAAGAAGAGCGCAACCGCACGGGCGTAACCCCATCAGGAACAGGAATCCCCAAATCCGGCGTCCCATCCACTTTCCAGTAAACTTTTTGCACGCGCGTACGTCTATTGGGGTCATTCAGCGGATCCCCTGTGATATTAGGGTACCCGCGATCATGAAAGACCAGTACATCCGAAAGGCCATCTTCCGACACCGTAAACGAGTTATGCCCTGGTCCGTACTGTTGCGTGAGGCCGTTTGATTGGAAGACTGGGGCAGGCGACTTGCTCCAGCTTGCTGGGTCCAGGAGGTCCGCATCGGCAGAAGCAGTAAGCAAACCCATGCAGTAATTACTGTCCGTCGCGCTGGCCGAGTACGTTAGAAAGATCTTGCCGTTCTTTTGCAGAGTGGCGGGGCCTTCGTTGACTTTGTACCCGATCCGTTCCCAGGAGAGGAGCGGGCGGCTGATGACGGTTGCTGGTCGTTGGATCGTCCAGGGGTTGAGCAGTTTGGCGAGTAACAAGGAGCTGTTTTCGTCGGTGCGAGTGGGCTCTTGTTGGGCCCAGACGAGGTACCGCGTCCCGTTGACTTGGAAGTGATGCGCGTCGAGAGAAAAGGTGTCCCAGTCGGCGTTCACCAGTCCTTTCTCGGTCCATGTTGCGGTTTGCGGGTTGGCGCCTACGCCCTCGAGCACGAAGGCGCGGATGCGCCACTCGTTGGCTACGCCGAGGGCGACGTAAATGTACCATTTTCCGTCGATGTAGTGCAGTTCGGGCGCCCAGACTTGGTTGCTGCCGATGCCCGAGGACTTGCGTCGCCAGATGGTGGTTTCGGAGGCGGAGGCGAGTCCTTGGATGGTGGGAGAGCGGCGGATGATGATGCTGTCGTAGGCTGGGACGGTGGCAGTGAAGTAGTAGTAGCCGTCGGTGTGTTTAGAGATGTGAGGGTCGGCACGTTGGGGGATGAGGGTGTTTGTGTATGAGACTGGGGGGCTGTGAGTGACGGCAAGGGTGAATGGAGAGAGGAGGAGCAGGAGGAAGGAGAGGAAGGTCAGGAGAGGCCGAAGCTTGGGTGTTGAGGGCCAGAGCATGGCGAGCGTGGTCACCGTGGTGGTAGATACCGAACGAGAGACCACAGATTTTCGAGATGAGTTCGTGAGTGCCGTGGACGTGCTTTGAATGTCGAGATTGAGATCCTTCCTCGTATCATGTTGGCATTTGGGTGTTTATGTACTTCTACAAAGCATCTCGGTACGTGAATTTGACCCCATGGAACATTACCAGATCTGAGTTACATCGCGGTCCCCGCAATATGGTTGTATTTTTGATCGGCGCGATGGTACCCAAAGGGGGATCACGTAACATGATTGGCACGGATGTGCTAGCAGTCCATTGGCACATTGACTTATTGGAGGAATACAATTTTCCGCCCTCAAGCGCTCTTTGGAAATGTCAAGTTCGGCTAACCAAGGTACCTAGGTAGTATGATGAATGGAGATGGATTGGACAATGGCGTGATCGTCTCCTTTCGAAGAAGTAGGTGTAGGTGGGAATTGGTTGACTCGATTAGTGTGTTACAAACGAGATGGATCCGCTGTAACGGGAGCTGTATCAGGGACAGCAAAGAAGTATGCTTTGCATCCAATGGGAATGCCAAATCATCAACGGTGTGGTGTATATAGGACGGGAAATAATGCCGATTCGTTCCTTAGGTAAACAAGCCGCGGCGTACGTCACACACCCAATATGGTACCACCTGTCGCTGTACTTACACTATTTTGACTGGTCAGGCGGAAAGTGGGGTAGAGGTATGTTGGAATTTCCTGCAAGTAAGAAATGAGCAGTCACCCAAAGCACCGAATTATCCGAGTTCCTCGGATTTGGACCATTGCATATCGCTCCAAACACCGGGTGTGTAAACTGGTATTTAGTTGTAGGGATGAGCCCCACTTCCCTTCCTCTTTTCCTTCCCAAATCCATTCATTTTCCCAAGCACCGTGCCTACCCTGCACTCACATTTCAACAAGAACCTAGGTAGGTAGCCAAATCCAAGCAAGCACCACCTCCTCAGCATCTCAATAAACCACCACAAAATGACCAAGAAAACCATCACCATCTTCGGCGCAACCGGCCTACAAGGCGGCTCCGTCGCCGCCATCTTCCTCGATGACCCCAAGCTCAATGCCAACTGGACCGTCCGTGCCGTCACCCGCGACGTCACCAAGGAAAGCGCAAAGCAGCTGGCCGACCAGGGCGCCCAAGTCGTCGCCGCCGATTTGAACGACAAGTCGAGTCTCCGGAAAGCAGTCGACGGCGCGTATGCCGTCTTCGCCGTGACCAACTACTGGGAAAAGATGGACAAGGACGTCGAGGTCCAGCAGGGCAAGAATCTCGTGGATGCAGCTGCCGAGGCGGGCGTGCAGCATTTTATTTGGAGTTCTGTCCTTAACATTAACAAATGTTTGTTTCCTCTCATCTCTTCCTACCTACCTCTTGTCACAAGGCATACATACCTCTACCTACCACCTATTGTACCTTGGAGCTACATGTTAGGTAGGTAACGATCCTCTAACAACACAAAACCAAACAGTGAGCAAAGGCAAACTGCCCCACCTCTACCACTTCGACAGCAAAGCCGAGGTAGAAGAGTACGCCCGCTCCGTCGCCAGTCTCCCCTCCACCTTCTTCCTTCCAGGTTTCTACATGTCCAACTTCCCCGGCCCGGCTCTAGGTTTAACCCACCACGACGACAACACCGGCAAATGGACATTTGCCCTGCCAACCCCCGCGAGCTCCTCAATTTTCCCCCTCTTCGACACGGCAGACACAGGCAAGTTCGTCAAGGCGGCCGTTCTTCACCGCGAGGAAACCCTCGGCAAGAGACTTCTCGGTGCTACCGAGTACTTGACCGGCGACCAGGTTGTTGAAGGCTTCAAGAAGATGTTTCCCGAGGCCGGGGCGACGGCTTCGTACTACCAGGTTCCAGAAGACGTCTACCTCGACAATCTCAAGGGCGCCGGCATGCCGGACTATGTGGCGCAAGAGCTGCTGGAGAATTTTTTGCTTCTGGGTACCTTTGGATACTACGGCGGCGAGAGCCTGGACTGGACACATTCGCTGGTCGAGGACAAGTTGACTACCTGGGAGGAGTTCATCAAGAAGACTCCTGAGTGGAAGGACCTGAAGTAACTGGTGGGCTTTTGTCATGAAGTGAAGGATGAACCGGTTGATGATTCCTAGAGGAAAGTAAACGCAACACCGAGTCCCCTTTCGATAATTCTATGCAGAAATCAGGTTTTTAGAAATCGAGTTCAGAGGTGTCTGGTACAATCCAATACTGGTTTGTTTGTTAGTACGAGACCTCGTGTCAACTTTCCTATGCGATTCCATAGCTAATTAATGCGTGATCTTACCTTGAATACGCTATTTGTGATATTCGAAATGCCATATCCAATCCTACCAATTCCTTTTGTCATTTATACTAACCATTTTGATTTATTCTTACAAGGTTTAGGACTATTAGGGATAGATTTTGTCTAGTGTTTAGAGTATAGTAAAGTACCTAGTGTACCGAGCTAACAAATAAACCAGCACTGGACTGCAATAAAGCCGCTTACATTTGTAGTAGAGTGGATATACCCAAAGTACAATGTCAAAGGGTCTCAGCATCTTTGTCCAGGACAAGCCCCCTAAGAAACCAACGTCTAATCCTTCTCAATTTCCTTCCCAACCAAGTCCAGCGTGATCAAAAGATCGCCAGCGTCCGAGAATTTGGGATCCTTGTAGCTAAACGTCCCCGAGCCCGGAAACACGAGCTGCTTCTTCTCGTTGAGATCCGCAGCAATCGCGTCGCCTATGTGCTTTGTCCGGACAACGTCCTGTAGCTTGCCCTTGATGAAGTCACTAACCTCATGACTTTGCTTGCCAAGGATGAGCTTGATGATATCGGCGTCTCTGCTGTCACTCGCGCTGACGAGATCAATCTTTTCTTTCGGCTCCACGTGAAGCGTGCCGTCCTCGTCCGCAGAGATGATGAACTCAATCGTGAGATGCACTTCACCGTCCGTACCCTTGTGGTACGGGGGGGCGCCACGCATACCACTAGATATGGTCTCCGAGGCACCGAGCTTCATCTTTGACGTGAGAGTAATCTTGTTTGCCCGTGGTTCAGTGGACAGCTCTGTGTCGATCGAAGTGTCAGTAGAACGGAGGATATTCCACCCACTGTACGACTTGCTCCCCTTCCAGCTCAGCTTGGCCTTGGACCCGTCAATTGTCCACTTGGCAGCCGGAATGGCTTCGGCTCTTGACCCGTTGGTGAGCAGCCAGTCCGACTCCCAGCGTGTCCCATCCACCCACTTCATCAAATCGTTCGCCATGTCGAAGAAGGAGACGTTGACGCTGCTGAGAGCATTCTCTACCAGATACTTGTTGAAAAAGAGTTCTTTGCTGAAAACGAGTGCACCAGGCATGTCGCCAATGATGAGGTTGCCCTTTCTCTGCAGCTCGTCACGGGGAATGTCAGCACCTCCGGTCATCTCCATGAACACGAAGGCGTCACGGGAATTCGGAGGGATAGCCTTCCCGTTAATGGTTTGTTGCGTGTCGGAACAAGGCTGATATTTGTAGTTTTGAATTTTCACAGCGGTTGGAGAGAACGTGGGCGCCTTGTCCGTGGGGTCAGGTGCCGCCTCTTTGATCATGTATCCAAGGGTGAGAGCGTCTGGGTTCTTTTGTAGACTGGACAAGTATGCTTCAAGGAACATTCTGAAGAACATCTTCTTCATGCCATATGGGTCATTTTCTTGGCTGAGACCAGGACAATGGGCGTGGTCCCAGTCGAGGGAAGAAAGAGGTGCCGAGCCGAGAAACATGATGATGCGACTCAGGCTGTACTTGCCGGGTTCCAACTTGGCCCATTTCGACTTCAAGTCCGGATGGCTGCTGTCAGGGGGCTTGGCCAGCGTCTTCTCGTCATAAGTGACGAAGAACGGAACTTTCCAGCCGTCAATGGCAACCGTTTCAACGCCTCCTGCCTCAACGGTCGCCTTGTACTTGTAACTGCCGGTCTTGAAGTTTAGGAAGAACCTCGAACGTTTGGTCTCTGTATCGCTTTCGGTGCACACCTCGATGTTCGGGGGGTCGAGCGTTGCCTCCGAAACTCCCATTTGAGGAAGCTCATGTTTGAAAGAGACAAGTTCGGGTTGCAGCTCAGGATCGAACCGGACTCTGAGATTGTCATTGATTTTCTGATAAACTGGTCAGGACCTCTGTATGATGATGGATCTGCAAGCCTGGGTACCTACATCTTGGGAGATAGCAATGATTTGATGGAAACCTTGAAGATCGAAAATTTTCAGGCGTGAGTCAACTTCAGTTGTCGCCATCGTGCTTAAGTGTTCGAGGTGGATGTCTGCGCGAATGGAGTTTACAAATTGTAGCGACGAAGAGTTGACGGTAAAGTATCCCGTGCGGAGATGGAGCCTGCTGCAAAGCCGTATCTTCGAAGAGGCACCTGGTGATTGCGGGATTGTGATCAGTATTTGTGCTGAGCTGGAGCTGGTGTCCTCTGAAGTGATCCGGTATGCCTACCTGTCAGCCACTGCCCTCGGCATCATCAGAATGGTGAGGGTCAAGACTGAGTACGTGTCCCTCTCCACAATTGAGGTAGCTGAGCGGATGTTGGCGACATCACAGGCAGGATCGCCAAAACTTAGGCATCGATGCATGTTCTCATCTGAGCTGAAGTGTCGAAGATGGCTAGATCAATATTATCAGATGCAGCTGAAGCGCCAATTGGGACCGACCCACCCCATTGACATGTATTCCGAGATCGAGTAAACTGGATCTCCAGATCGTCGATCATTGCTCTGAGATGATTTAGTGTATGCACTGTGCCACGTCCTAGTGCCCTGTCCGTCTCTACTGGGCCGTCGAATCTCTTTCAGCCCCTCCCAACTTACCGAGTAATGGAATGCCTTTACCGACGTGGTAAAGTCTGGAGGCCGCTGGCTCGATATTGGGTCGTATTGTGATGGGTATCTTCAGCATGTCCGGCTTGGTTTAGCCCTCCCGGACCTCATGTGACTTGCAAGTGCGGGAATGGACTCCACCGCCCGATTTACGTATGCACGATCTCGGAGTTTGGATGAACGCGTTGAGCGAAATAGATGTTCCGTCAATTGGAGACAATCCATACTCTGTATAGAAACAGATGCAGTTCAGCCTAACATGACTCGAGAGATACTCACGTTGTTTGGTTCGAGCCTATGCCAACGTATCTCTGGATGACGCCAGAGCTGAACAGCCAGCTGAACGAAACCCCGCAGCTGACACTGCAGTCTTCAGCTTTGGTACGTCTGTCTTTGGTGCTCATCGTTTGACGATCGTCGGACCTTTTCGTCACAAGTCGAGGCACTTCGTCCATCTTGTTGAGCTTTGGTACCCGGATGCGTGACTGCGAGAGTCCAAGACAGCGGTTAGCTCATATAGTCACCCTCCTCCGTACAAAGTATTTGCCGAAGAGATGGTGGTGTTCAGTCAATTTGCCTCTCTTTGATACCTCCATTCCAGAACTTCTTTCTCCATTGTATTCTCCATCGTTCTTTCTTTCTCTTCTGGGGACTTTGGTGTCCTAACGCGCCGTCGGCAATGTCCATCTATCATGATTCAGAGCTCATTGAGCAAGTGGTGACATCCACGCCACTTCTGGACACGCAGGACTTCTACGTCGTCAAGGATGAAAAGCAGAACCCCATGGTGTTTTCCATTGGCACCAAGGGTGTGCTGTACCTCATCAAACAGGACGAATGGGGGCGAAACCAGCTGATCAACCTCAGCGAAAAGCTGAGTATCCCCATGGAGCATCAGACCACAGCGCTTGGAGTATATCAGGACACCGACCTGACTTTGAACCTCGTCTTTGCCCACGGAGAGTCAAAGGGCCTGTCTCAGTTGGTCGTTTTGCGCAGACTGAAGCCCGATGCTTTTCAAAAGGACATAGACAAGCTCCTGGACCACGCTGTCCAGGGGCAGGACAACACCATCCAAGGCCAGATATATGGTCTTCTGATTGTGAGTGCCTCCATGCCGTTGACCTTGATTTCTTCGTCCGGTACTAACAGTAACTTTCTTATAGGGCCGAGGCTCAGATGACGACCATCCCCTTGCGGTAGCAAGGTTCAGAAAGGTTGATTCTCCCGAAAACGATATATGCCGCCTTGACATCGACTACAAGGCTTCTTCCTGGTCTGTAAAGACTGATCTTCAGATGCCTTGCAACCCAAGAGAGATCATCAGCCTCTGCCCTGGTACATTGCCTGGGGGTGGCGGGACCTTTGGAGTCTTCGTCCTGTTTAGGATCAGCGAGGTTCTTCGACTCAGCTTTACCGGACTGGGCGGTCAGGGAGGTTACTACTCCCATATCAACTATCACCTGCCAGTTCCCCCAGGTGCCTCTGATCTTGCCACCGTCAGGACATCGACGGGCCGGACCGATCTTCTCGTTTCCGCGGAAAATGGAATCCACCGTATTTCAGCCAGAGACTCTGTAAAAGGTTCAACGAAGTTGCCTGACACCAGTCTAGTTGCCTCAGCAGATTGCCTCCGTGAACTGAAACAAATTCATGCTGCACAGTCTGGCTCGTTCGTCTCCGTCTTCACTCGCAACAATGACGGCGTCATTGCGTACACTCAGTTCATGATTAGACCTTCCTCAGAAAGCCCCGCGGTTGACGTCTTTGAGAGACACAGCGATGCCAATCAGGTCCTTGACGGAGGTGTACGCTTTGCTGCCTCGGTCAACGAAACCACTCAGTCCCAGCAAATGTTCATTCTCGGCGACGAAAACCATCCAAAAATGCGGGTTCTGTACCAGTCGGGTGACTCCAGTCTTTGGAAAACGGGTGACTTTTGCGTCCCAGCGATCAAGACACATCGAGAAGTGTTCACCTACACGACTCACATCAAGATCTATCCTGGTGCTGGGGTCCGACCTCCAGCTGATGGGCTGGGAGTTGACCTCAGTGCATCCAGTACATGTCTCGCAACTGTGAACGGCCGGACAATGGAGCTTAGCCGACTGCCAGTCAAAGTCAAGGCCGATGTGATGGGAACCCTCACGGTGATCCAAGAGATTGATGACCTGAATGTGCCGAGCTTGCGAGTTTCGGGCGTTCCAGGATGCGAGACGACCTACATCGATCCCTCTCGAAAGGTTCTGGACTTCTTTAGCAAGATCAAGTCCGGCGATGATTTGCAGAATGCCCACCTTCCAAATGGCGAAAAGCTCTTGAACGGAGGATCGAAGAACGTCAACATTGAGGGAGCTGCCGCGGCCATCAAGTCATTATCTTCAAAGGGTGCCAGCATGAAACTGGAAGCGCAGTTTACAGGTACCGAGAAAGCCCAACCTGCCTCTTTAGAACAGCCTTCAGAGCAACCCAAAGTTGGAGAGGAGTCCTATATCAGCGGAGAGAATCCCACTACGGGCAGTTGGGCAGTGTTTGACTGGCTCACCCGATCTCTCGAGTCTGTGGGGGACATCTTCGTAGACGGGTGGCATCTTGTTGTCAAGGTTGGAAAGAAGGTTTGGAAATTCCTTGTCGAAACATACGAACATGTGATGAAAGGCCTAAGGAAGGCCCTTGAGTGGCTTGGCGAGGGTCTGAAGAAGATATGGAACGGATTGAAGTTTCTCTTCGCCTGGGACGACATCAAGGAAACCCATAATATCTTCCGCGACTATTTTGAAGGGTTCATCGATACTGCTGCCAAGGCGATCATTCTCTTTGGTGACAAGGCGGTGTCGTATCTTGATGAACTAGAGGAGAGTCTCAGCAAGAATTGCAACACGACCCAGCTGCCTTCCAAAGTCGACGGTCCTGTCGATCCAGACGGCAATGGCCAACAAGGGAAGGAACCAAGCCAGATGGATAAAGCTTTCCACTCACCAGGGGGGAACTATGCGAACCATCATGCCCAGCACAACCCTGAGGTCCGTCAAGCAATGGAATCTGCAGAAAAGAAGATGGAGGATGACGACCTGACCAAGATCCTGGCAGCCCTCAAGGATATCGTCAAGGAGTTTGCGGAGGGCGCGGGGGATATCGGGTCTGCTCTAGTCTCACTCCTCGACCCGTCTCGCAAAGCAACTGCATCCGAGATCTTTTCGAAGCTTGGCAGTAAGCTCCTCACGAGGCTGATTGCGATTGCGCGCGATTTGATCACGCTTTTCACTCGGGTGGGAGCCAAGCTCATCCTCATGGTGAAGAGTGCCGCCACGGCAACCATCGAGATCCCTGTCATTTCCTGGTTGTGGTCGAAGATATCCGACCGACCTCTGTCCTTCCTTGATGCCATCACCATGTTGTTAGCTATCCCTGGTACGATTGCATTCAAGCTATACCACGGTGTGAGCCCCAAGCAGCATCCAAGCTACAAGGAGATCCAGGCTGCCAAAACCGAGCTGGATGCCGAGCTCGTTGGGCATGAGCTCATGGCCGCTCCCCAGCTATTCACGGTCATGCCCACCGCTTCCGACACGAGCTATAATGGTGTCGCCTCAAGGGGGGCAACAGAAAACCCTGAAAAGGACCAAGGCGGCTTCGTCAAGAACATGATGAAGAATAGTCTGCTCCAGAAGATTGCGAAATGGTTGAAGGCGCATTCTTACATTGTCGGTATCATCTGGTTTGGGTACAACTGCTACTCCATGTACAGCGAGGCGCGGGAGTGGGTGATGCCCATGAAAAGTGCCTACCCGGATTTTGGTGCCCTGAAAGAATGGGACAAGGGCGGCGCAACAATGTTTCTAGTGGGAATTGCGTTGTCTTTCCCAATCCCAGATCCCGATGATCCGGCGCCCAGTTGGGGCCTCAAACTGACTGGCTGGGTGGTGTCCGTCTTTGCTGGCATCAAGCATTGCAGCCTTCGCATCTTCAAGGGAATGGTGACCATGTTCTTCTCCGCCCTACAATGCGTCATCTATGTCGGATGTGTGACTTGGGATCATGTGGCCGGCTATAGCAAGGCTGATCCCTTTTTGAAGATTGGCAATACGTGTCTGACCAAGGGGCATGACTTTTTGTCGGGCTTGGCAACGGTCCAAGTCGGGAAGAATCCTTATGTTATGGGCGGAGCATTGATCTGTGGAGCGACCTCGACCGTGGCCGGGTCAATCATCTATTCGCAACTCGCTGAAACCACGATAGGCGACTTTGTCTTTCAATCTTAGAGGACGGGCTGGTTACGGAATCGGGCATAACACAGACAGGGAGAAGTATGAGGTCGCCGTGGACTCGGTAAGGGCGAGCTGAGCAGGGTGGTCAGCGAAAGGGGGGAAAACTGGATCATGAAGAGCGAGGTTAGCTGGACTGTGTGTATCGTATCCCCGCTGACAGAATATTGAGACGGAATAAGGTGGCTTGTCTCTCGCACTTTGTAGTATTGGCATGGTGTACTGCGTCTTTGGCGCCGCTTAGCAATTGACAAGTTTCGGGGTGCTTGTTTGATGACGGGAAGAGGAAACGGAGTGACCAGACTTCCGACTTCAGTTCGTTTGGAAAACTGAAGGTCGAAAGCTTCAGTTAGGGCAGGCGCTGTTTCTCTGGTTAGGTTGCAGTGTGAGTCGACACGCCGGCCAGGAAAGAAGGAAGGAAGGAAGGAAGGAAGGAAGGAAGCATGTCACGCGGGGTTGGATGCTTCGGCCACAAGCTACCCGTCCGCTTCAACGTAACAAAGGTAAGTACCTAGTCTCAATTTTATCATTCAGGTTCAAGTCATTCGAGAAATGGGGGCCATGTTTTCATGCCAAGTGGCATACATCTTGAAACAGTGAGATGCCGGTAGGAAGCAGAGTAAAGGAAGTTGGCGCAGGTGAATTACATCCACTGATCTGTAAGAGGTGCCCTCGATCGAGCTTCACCACAGCTGAGTGCAGTGGATTGCAGTGCAGTGCACCTCCAGCGATAAAAACTTGGAAAACTGGCTTTTGTTGCATCTGGCCAGATTCCCGTTCCCTTCCTGCCACTTTTGGCTTTAAAACATTTCAGTTCCTTCCACCTTCCAGCCCTGACTCAGTTCAAATCGCAAAAGCACCACAAGCGAAGAAGACTCCAGTTCTGTCTCTTCCTTCATCTCCGTCTCTATCCAGACCTCAGTTCCCGCCTTCCCAACCTCAGTGCTGATCCCACGCGCCATGTCCAACAAGCGTTAGTTCTCTCCCCTTCCTCTCCCCCGTCCGCTGCCTCAATCTGGATCGAATCCGTACTCACACCTTCCTTGCTGCTTTAGCCCATGGTCCAGATGCCGCATCCCAGGCGGCAACTGCCAAGAAACAGAAGAGTCCCACTCTTGAGCCGCCGGGTTTGAAGCCGCGCAGCGTCGAGGCAGTAGCAACACCAGCTTTTGAAGATCATTGGGAGACTGTTGAGGATGACGATGACTACTGGTCCGGGGAAGAGGACTTTGTCTTCGAAATCATGTCAGAAGAAGAGATCCAAGAAAAAGCAGACAGGTTGCGCGAGGAAATCCGTGTTGCTTTGTGCAACGGATTGGTGTGGAAGGTCAGTATCAGGTACCTCCAGCAGCCGGCAGTCTTGTTCTTGCCAATAGGTACCGACGTATCACCTTTATTGAGATCAGTCAGCTAATCATGGACCACTCACAACACTAGCCATCTTGTGTCAAGGGCAACTCTTCGGTAACTGTCGAGGTCAAGGCTGATCACTACCAAGTCGCCAACTGGGCGTTCGGTGGCAGCCGGAATCCCAGTGACGAGACGTGGGGAGCGATGGACTACCCGACCGAAGCCTTTAACGAGGATTTCGGGCCAATCCACAACCTTGTAAGTCAACCTATCTGACCTACCCTATGCCGGCATTTGTTTCTCCTTCCCGCCTCTAGAGCATGTATCTAACTGCTTGACTCTGTCTCCTACCCAGACTGGCTCCACCCCTCTTGCGCTCACTGGGACCCATGTTCGCATAAATCTGTACCACGAGAGCTGGAACTCTATGGAGTATCCATGGCAACAAACGATTGCTGTCATTGTTAGTGCCTCCTACGGCACACAGGAGGCTCGGGATAGACTCCAAGACACGGACGTCTGCCCTTCAGACCTAGAGGGTATGTTTTCGTCTGAAGACGACTACGTTTCTGTTAGTGGAGAAGACGATGGTGAAAAAGCCTATCATGAAGAGGAGACTGAGGATACTGGGCGGTTGAATCCATCCGTGCACTAGGCCTGCTGGTTTTGCCTGGTGTGGAGGCGGAGGTTGAGAAGCATTGAATAAATACGTGGGTGGGGACAGAGGACGTCAAAACGTGGTTTGATGCAGGAGGTGCGTGGATTGATGTGCCTGTCCTCTTTTTCATGCCTTTTGTTTGTTCTCTTGTATTGATCGTTATTACTCATAGAGGTTGTTTTAATCATAGACAAAGAACGCAGCCGTCATATGCCGTGGAAGGTTTAATGGGGCGCATGGATTCTCGTGTGGTTTGCAGTATTCAACCCAGGCCGTGTTCGTTCCCGCAGTAGTGCAGTAAGGGAATCTCTTCTAACCCTAACCCGAAGCTTTTCTACCACCAAAAAAATGCTTCCGTTACTGTACTACTGCGGGAACGAACACGCCCCCAGTGGTCACGGTGAGGAACCGTTAGTCAACCTTTTCTACCTAATCAACCAACTCATTTTTTTTTTTGATTCTACCCACCAACCGCGAGCAACGCCCGAGAACAAGTTGCAACCGTAATTTTCAATTCCACTGGTTTCTATTCCCCATCACAGATGGTTCTGCGCAATTTCGGAGGTACTTCCCGTCTTTCCTTTCCCCAACCCAAGGCCATAGAACGCGGCACAGGTGGGTAGGTGACCAAGGGTTAGGGTACACCTGTTCAATGTTCAGTAAACAGAACCATCGGGCGGATGTCATCGGTTTTTTTTTTCTGTTTTTTTTTCTTTGACACCCATACCTAGCCGATTCATTTCGCATAGCACTTCCATAGAGAAGCATGCATGGCTACGTATGCATTGATAAGGCCGTCAAGAATGGTGCTGTCAGGTTGAGGCTGAGATGTTCTGTTCCACTGACCAAGTTCGATTAACATGCTGCTCATCTGCCCTGACCAAGGATGCCAAGCCATCAGGAGAGTGGGTGATAAAGAGAGCATGGACATGGGGCATCCCCGAACAGCACAAGTTAAAATTGACGACGGGCACCACACGGCAGCAACTGATTTTCTGCAAATCTTATTTTACGTCCCGCAGACGACAAAATCGCCAACCTCCTCCTGGCTCTCCTGGATCTAATCAAAGGGTGAACAGCTCGATGGAGCCATGAGCCAATACCGCAAAAACTCGGGCCATTGATTTTCAACTTTCCTGAAAATCAGGCATAGTCTGTCTGTAAGCATACCTCTATTGTATCATTTCTGCCCGCCAGAAGTTGTATGCAAGATGCCCGAGGAACCAAATACGCCAAACTTTCCGGAACCTTCTTTGCTTTGCTCAACTTTATATGCAGCGCCTTGCGCGCCCTTGGATCAAGACCACATTGCATACCGTGATGTCTGATTTTATGTTCAAAAAAATCAGAAGGCCGGAAGTCCGACACTGCAGATTTCAAGGTTTGCCATTTGCATCAACAACAACGTACACGTATCTGTCCAGGCATTCCGCCCTCGGCCTCTTCAGCATACCTAGCGAGACCAGAAAGCCTACCAGACTTTTGGCAGGATATAAAAGCACTACACCCCCCACGTTTCAAAGTCGAGTTATCTCAAGATAATCAGTCTTCCAGATCCACGTTTCGACCGGTTCAAGATAACAACCGTAAACATCCCTATTTCCGCCAGACAACCCATCTCCCTGGCTCCCATCCCCTATACCACATCATTGATATAAGAACCGAAACCACCCCTAGTCCAACCAGTTCAACACTATAACCGCAACCATGGTGTGGAACAACGAAATAATGTGCTGGGGACCCCCAATGATCCACCCATGCCGACCATCCGCCCGGAGCCGAAACATCATTGAGCAAATTAACGCAGCTCCAGAGGGTACCGTTCGAGCTATCCTACGTTATCTTACTGGAGATTACGATACTAGATTTGTGATTGAACACCTCATCCCAAAACTTCCACTTGACGAATGCGAGATGCAGACTCGTGAGGACCAGAGCAGTAGGAAGCGGAAAGCCGACACTCACACACCCGAATATCAAAACCCAAAAAAGAGAAAGCTGGAGATCTGTCTTCAGTGTGATGAGGCTTTTGAAGAGGGTGACACATCCGCGTCGTGCCGCTACCATGCTTGTACGAACACCAAACCTACCTACCTACCTACCTGTCTCTTGCACAATTGAAGACGTGAAAGCTGATCTGAAGCTCCCTAGCTATGCAATTCGATCCCGACGCGCCGTATTGGAAGACGAAGCCTCCTGGTATCAAGGAAGACAGACCCATTAACCGGAAAGTACATAAACCCGGTTACTGGTTCCCCTGTTGTCAAAAGTATGGCACGCACGACAAGCTTGGGTGCAGAATAGGCCCACATAGAGCTGCCGATGGAGTGCGGGAGAAAGACCTCGATAGCTGGAAAAGCTACGAGGCTTTTCAAGAGGCTATGGGTGCACCAAGGAGGGAGGACATGTTGTCATGGGAGGCCCATTGCATTGCTCTTCGAAGGCAAGCCTCCATGGTAGTAGAGTCTGATTCCGATGCGGAGGAGTCGGACTATACTTCAGAATCAGATACAGATACAGAGGAGTCGTACTCCACTCCAGCCACGCAAGAGTCAAACAGGTCTACTCCAGCTACGGAGGAACTAGCGGCCACGCAAGACACCCAGATCCCAGAGGTCGCCAATACCAATGGGGAAGATGATTACGAAGAGGAGGGACCCAGCTGGGTAGATGAGTGCGATAAAGCTGGCCAGGACTTTCCTGACATTACGGAACTGCCTAGGAAAAAAAGACGTGCCTTGTTGAGGGCTCAGGAGATCGCTTTGCGGGAGGCCTTCGCTACCAGAGAGGCCTACGAATCCCATTGTAGACCTCATCTGAATCGCCAGACCTTGACGGTGGAGGTACGCACGATGGTATCGTATACCAGTGGCCCGGGCTCAAACAGTCTCAAACGGAAGCGAGAAGAAAGCCCGGGAACAGAGCGAAGACAGAGAAAAAGACTGATTGAGGACAGGCATGATTGAGTAAGGGAAATAGTGACTCCCCTGCCAAACGTGTAGTCAGTTTTCCAAAGCGATAATTTGGAGAAAAGCAAGACAGCTTGGTGCAGTGGGTTTTAGGCGTGAGGTCACACCGACTGCACAAGGAGGCGAATGTTTTGTTTTGTTATTTACAAGGAAGGAATGACTTCCCCAGAACCAGAAGATTACCACAATTTCTCATCAACTCTCCCGTCCTCAGAACCGTACCTTCCCTTTGTGACTCGTTTTCGCGCAGGGCAGTGTGCCCTAGTGTGCACTTCACTGCAGTTTTTGTTCCTTTGCACTCCTCCTTTCTGACATTCATGATCTCCATTTCCCTTCGTTGGTCACCCGTGACAGCAGAAAGACGCCACGCAATCAATATTGGCTGGCTGAATCATAAACTCTTTGATCACTCATTTCTTTGTCCAAGGCGCAATTGTTCAAGATGCCCGAGAAGAGACCCGCCTCCCATACGCGCTCGCCCGTCGCCAAACGGAAGCGTACTGCCAAAGCGACGTCCACTGCTCACAATACCGCCGATCCCAAGGCTACTGCTTCCAAGACTGCCTCCTCTAGAACCACCTCTGTTCTCGACAATGGCGCTGCGGGAAGCCCTCTTCCTTCCGGACCACCCCGCACAGATCGAAGCACTCCCGGAAGCGTGGCAAGATCCGTCAAAGCCAACCCACCGGCCCCAAGTTCCCAAACCAACGATCACCCGACAAAATGACGGACAAGCGGAAGCGTGAAGAGACCCCTGAGGAAAGCTCCAAGAGGCCGAAAGCTTCAGACAAGATGCCGGAACCAAAATCAAGCGAGGGTAATGATGCAGAGGAACCCAAAAAGCAACAGGAGCTGGAGATCTGCCCGATGTGTGGCGAGGAGTACGACTCAGAAGATGAAGACGACGACATCTGCGAGTTCCATCCCGGTAAGTTGGCCTCCGCTTAGTACCTCTCCTCTGGACCATATACTCTACTATCCAAGCTGTGTTCGGACACTAACATCTCTTATGACGTTGCCGTTTGTAGGAAAGCTGGTAATCGACCGAAAGGTACCTTGCTGGAAATCAGATTGGCGCGTGGATCCCTACAGCGAAGAGTATGTTGAAGAGTCTTTCGAATCTCATGAGCTTTACCCGGACATGCTTATGTGGGACTGCTGCGGATGTTCGGAAGGTGCACCAGGTTGCGAGACACAAAGTGGGCACGGAGAATACTGAGCTTGAACTGGCAAGCCAGATGAAATGGCAAGAGCAGAGTCTGGGTTCGACTCTGTATTTGTATCGGAGGAAACGCAGCGGAAACAAAGGCAGCCAATGATGCCAGAAGGGAGGACTAGTGAATGACAAGTCAAGTGAAGGGTTCCAGAGCAGGGCACGGTCCACGGACATCCAACAAAATGGAATTTGTTTCTCAATCCGTACCCTGAATTTCCTTCGCAAACACCAAACAATTCCCCATCTGGTATACCTCATCAATCCCCTTCCACACCCCACCACCAGCCCCAGCAATCAAGCGCCCAAAATGGCCAACGAACAAAGCATGCCTCTTCCACTAGTGGACGAGCGCAACAGGAAGATGCTTGATGCGATCCACAACGCTCCTTGCATGAGCCTCCAAATCGTACTGTTCTCTCTCTACGCCGAGGGTGATGACAATCTGAAGACGCGCATTGAGGATCTAGTCCACGACTACACTCTCACCCTTCACAACTTGGACGCCGGAATCGCAACACCTGCCAGCGAGCTGAGAACGGAGCCAGCCACAGAAGTTCCACTTGCGACCGAGGAACCAGTTGATAACACAATCTATTGTCCTGTTTGCGATGATTACTTTGATCCGGACGACGAGGACGACCTGTGTTTCCATCATCCTGGTATATTCCCCCCGTCTACTGACTACCTACTCTGAGCAAGTGCTGACTCGTGGCGTCGGTCGGTGACTGGAACAGGCAAGAGGATCGCCATCCCCGGCTTTGACAGCGTGGCGTACGAAAAGGACGTTTGTCCCGAAGCGTACCAAATCAAGGTAGAGGAAGGCTTGGACACGGAGGAGAACCGCTTGGTGCCGCTTTGGGCAAGCACCTGGGACTGTTGTGGAGGGGTAGGTGCTTCGAGGGGGTGTGTTCAGGGTGTCCATGTGGAGTACGTGGAGGGTATGGAGGATTGGGACGACAGTGATAGTAGCTCTAGTGACGAGAGCGATTCGGACTGAGCTGGATAAAACATTGGGCGAGTTGAGAGGCCATGGAGGAGAGTCACGCTAAAAGGGAGCAAGCTATTAAGGAAGGTACATCACGGAAGGTAAAGCTCGCGCTTCTTTCAAGGTAGTTCAAGTTGCACTAGTTCCCTCTCGTTTTTTTTTCTCTCTCTCTTTTTTCCTCCCGAGATCACCAGAAACCTTGTTTCCAATAGCGACAGTCAACTCCAACGCCAGTTGTTCACTCTCCGCCCTTCTGCATTCATTGAACTTGAATCCACCACATCCTCTCGCTCCCTAAGTCGCAAAGCTCAAAATGGTCAACAAAATAATCAGAGATGCTCTTGAATGTGTCCCCTACGTTACAAACTACGAGCGTTACCAAAAGACCATGGATGCAATCCATTCCCGCTCCAAGGTGGTTCTTTGCAGGGTTCTCTTCGACTTATTTGTGTCGGACATCAGTGATCCTGAGACCCTGCAGTCGCGCATCCACGAGCTTGTCGCCGAGCGCTACGAGCATGCAGAGTCGAACGAAAACCCACTGCCTACCAAGAGAAAGAGCGAGGAGTCGTCCCCGAAAAAAGAAGAAGAGAAGGGGCAAGAAACGAAGAAAGACGGCGACATACATATCGGAAGGGCCGGATGAGTGCACCCGTTGTGAAGAGGAGTTTGGACCCGAAGACGAGTCGAAGGGTTGCTTTCGCCATCCAGGTGAGTACCTCTAGGATAGGACAACGTATGCATCTCCTCCTATCGTTTTCGAATGGTTTCCAAAGGCTGGTATATTTTTGCTGACTACCTACCTTTGTTGTTGTTGAAACCAGGCATTATGCAGCTCAACCGTGCGTCCTACTCCTGGTGGACCGAGGAGGGCATAGATACCTCTGAGTATACGTCGAAGGAGCTAAATGCTCCACATGATCGCGAAGAGAACCCAGACGGGTTCACCTGGAGTTGTTGTGGTCTGCCTGGTGGTCGACGGGGTTGCAAACGGTGTCCACACAAGGCATATGAGGGCGATACCGACTACAGTGGAGACAGTGAAGATAGTGATGAGGGTGACGATAGGTGCGGTAGCGATGAAGGTGATGAGAGTGATGGTAGTCAGGGTGGTGAGGATGACGAGGATGATTGATGGGACACTTGAAAGCAAGACTGAATTGAAGCTTCACAGAGAAAGATGATGGAGGTCTGTTCAATACCTCTAGGTGCTTGGGCCTTGGGTTGCAACTTGAGTTTGAATCCACTCAAACTTGCACTCCATTTGGGTTCCTCTGTTCCAAGTTGACATGGCCGGTAATGGCCCGGAGATTCGGTGGTCAATTGATATGGCCCGTGCATCACTCCACTGAAGCCCCTGTGATGCCAAGATGACTGACAGCAGTGGTGTGTCGCTTGCAGGAAGAAACGACGCTAGCTCGGTAGCCTGTAGCGCGCGATGGAGCTGCTAGAGGTACCGCAGTGCCGACTCGGTCGATTCCTCCTTCTCTCTGGTATTTTTGTTTTGTTTTTAATTTTCCCGTCTTGTTTTGTCCCCTTGCGCTTTTTCCATCCTTCCCTCTTGAAGTTACCCTTCAGCCTCGCTTGCTTGTTGCCTGATTGGAAACAAGCAAGGGTTTCCTTGTGTTTCCGCTAAGTGACTCGATCGGCCAATCTAGAATCTGACAAGATGTGCATCGGGCTGGGGATGGCTCGAGTGTCGTCGGTAAGCGAATACGACACGTGCCCCCTGGAGTGTGCACTATTAGAATTCTGAGGCAGCCCGCTAACGGAAAGAAGAGTGAAGCACGTGAATGATACGAGGTATGTGATCTCCAGAGACAGATGTACGGGTATTTGAATACACCTAATGATGAATGAAAAGGGATGGAGAATGGAGGAAATGCGAGAACCCAAAGGCAGGTACACAGAGTAAGGTACTGATAGTAAAACACGTGCATTCAGCGGTTGCCGGTGGCCCGCACCAGGCGCATCCATGCTTGCCATGTTACACTAAACTATAGCGCTGGCCAGGGCGGGGCCTACTAAGGTACCTAAGAAGCCGCAACAGACCTGTGGACCCGAGGCAGTGCTACCCCGACAGGTACAAGGGAAGTGCGCCATCATTCGTTCCCACCGCCAAGAGAAAATGAGCATCCTCCGCCCCCGTCCCACGACTGAACATCCCATTTTTCTTGGCTTTTCTTTTCTCAGGTTTCTATATCACGTCAATCGGGCAGCCTGACTAGTCACAAGTAACCACGCGCGCCTGACAAATCGATATCATCATCTTCAAGAAAGTATAACTGCCATCGCTCGACAATGCGCGGCACCCAACCACACGTTTTGCGACTTTTTGTTGCGATCCTAGCAGCAGTCGGCCTGATCCTCTTCTTCGATCCTCTCAACTTGGGACTCGCATCATCGTCAGCCATCGGCAACTTCTATCCCACAGATAATCGAGCGGGCGGGTGGTTCATGTCTTCCACAATTACCCATATCGTGTTGTTCAAGTTCAAGCCCGATGCTGGCGCCGATCGGATCAAGACGGTACGTGTTGGAACCTTCAACCACCCATCCCCAATCACACACCACACACTGTGTAGACTTGGAAAGTTCTGCGCAACGCTGACAGCGCCCGACTACCTACCACAGATATCCAACCGGTTCCTAGGGCTCAAGGAACAATGCGTCACCATGACACAGCAGCCGTACATCCGCAAGATATCCGGCGGCAGGGATAACTCTCCAGAAGGATTGCAGGTGAGTAGTAAACAAGCGGAAGAATCCTGACTCCAACCTCTCGGCAACGAGCTGACCCAGATGGTGGTCCAGGGCGGCCTTACCCATGCGTTCGTTGTCGAGTTTGAGTCCGCCGCCGAAAGAGATTACTACGTCAACTTGGATCCCGTCCATCAATCGTTCAAGAAGGATATCGAGCCTTTTGTGGAAAAGGTTACGGTGGTGGACTTTACCAATGGTGCTTTCTGAGCTTGAGGCGGCGCATATATCCTTGGAAAATATCTAATCACCATGATATCCAAACACGTACTACTTCAAGTATCCGCTTTGACTTGGCGATTGTATTGTATTCTCCCACGTGCTACGACCCATGCTAACCCCTGATAGCCGCCTCAAAGATCTCGATAAACTTCCACACATCCTCGAACCGACAGTACATTGGCACCGGCGCCACGCGAATGACGTTTGGTTTCCTCTTGTCGCACACCACACCGTGTGCCTCCAGCGCCGCCGCCACCGTATCCATCAAGCCATCCCTCAACAACAAGCTCAACTGTGTTCCTCTCTGCAACGGATCCCTGGGCGTAATGATCTTGAAGGCCGGCTCCTCGCCCTCTGGCTGTCTCCTGACAATCTCATCCAACAAATGCTCCGTATACGCCGTCAACACCAGCGCCTTACTCCTCAAGTCCTTCATGCTCGTCTTGTTGAACACCGACAAGGCAGCCGCCAAGCTCGTCAAGTCGATCGCACTCGGGTTGCTGACCTGGAAGCCCTGCGCACCAGGCGTGGGCTGGAACTCCTTGTCCATGTTGAACCGCACGCTCTTATCGGCACCATACCACCCGCTCAACCTTGGCTTAAACACCGGCTTGCCCGAGCTCATGTCCACCTTGCCGTGGCGCTCGTGCACAAAAGCGCCAGCCATGGAGCCAGGACCCCCGTTTAGGTATTTGTACGTGCACCACACGGCAAAGTCCACATTCCAGTCATGAAGCTGGAGCTCGACGTTACCCGCGCAGTGCGCCAAGTCCCAGCCGACAACGATGCCGCGCTCCTGAGCGTACTTGGTGATGCGGGGGATGTCGAAGAGTTGGCCGGTGTAGTACTGGATGCCCGGCAGGAGCAGCAGGGCAGCATCTTCGGCATGTTCATCGATGGTAGCCAAGATCTTTTCCGTCGACAAGTACAGGTTTTCGTCAGGCTGCATCTCCACCATGCTCTTCTCGGGGTTCAAGCCGTGCCACTCGATCTGCGACTGGAAGGCGTACCAGTCACTGGGGAAGGGACGCCATTCCAGGATGATTTTGTGTCGCTTGTCGGTGGGGCGGTAGAAGGAGGCCAGCATGAAGTGCAGGTTGACGGTCAGGGTGTTCATGATGACGACTTCGGAAGGGTCAGCGGCGCCAACAATGGCGGCGGACTTGGCGGCGCAGTCGGCGGCCATGTCTTGCCAGGAGGTGAGGGGCGAGTTGGAAAGTGAGGAGAAGTGGCCGTTGACGCCGATGGAGGCCCAGGTCTCGAGTTGCGCTTCGAGGAAGCGGCGGACGGCCTTGGGTTGGGCGCCGAGGGAGTTGCCGACGAAGTAAATGCAGGGGGTGTCGGCGTCGGTGATGGTGCCGTTTGTTTGAGCGCCTGGATAGGTACAATCAGTAAAAGGCACGTCGTGGATGGTAGGGTTATGGGGTACCTACCGGGAATGATCCCATCAAGAGCCTTCTTCTTCAGCGAAGCGCGAGTGGGAATGATGAATTCATCCCTGAAATGCCTAAGCTTATCCTGGGCGTCGAGACTCTGAGCGTATTCGAGGGTGTTGGCGTTTGAAGGGAATTCGGGCTTTTGGCCGTCCCTGAGGACTTTTGCTTTCGATGCGAAGTCGCTCATTGTGTTCCCGCCGTTGGAGAACTTGGAGGCAATGTGGATCCGACAAGGAGAGTAAAAAAAGGGGCTTTGTTTACTTTGGGTGGATCTCGAATGAGCGGGTCCCGCTCAGTTGGGGGTCCGGGTTGGTGGAAAAAGAAAGGTGCGTCAAGAAAGCTGCAGATGAACGGTCGACGAACAGTGAGACCACAATGAATGGTGCAATACTTGATGTTCCTGACGATCCGGTCTGGTGGTTTTGTAGTTGGAATCTGGCCATTGGTCTTCACCGGCATGCTCCGAATTCTTCTCATTGCTTTTGCGTGGAAAAGATTCTTTGCGAGATCGGAAGCGGAAGCGGAAGCGGAAGGTCGGGAGTCGGGACTCTGAAATATGGGGCATTTTATCTTCCGTCTTCCGCATTCCGTCTCCAAGTTCCGAGCTTCCGCCTCCGTGTGTCCGTTCACCGCTTGCAACACACAGATACAGATGGATGAGTATGACCGATCGAATGACCGACAAAGGCCGCCAATTCGCGAATGACCATCTAATTCCGCAATTACCCGTTGATACCCGATCAAGGGGCAGGTATTAGGTAATTGTCAACTTGTAAACCGAACGAACAAATGAGCAACGACGGTCGACGGATGGTGAATAATGTTCTGCCTGTGCTTGGAGTACAGTATAGTAAGGTAAGTATTCGTCCAACCGTCCAACGGTTCCTGTTTCAGCTGTACCGAGAACTACTTCACCGTTAGACGTTAGACAAAAGTCACAAGGAGAGGGAGAGGTCCACCCATGTACACAGTAGCCCGAGGTAGTCCATGGAAGTTGGAAAGTTCGGTGAAGGCACAAGAGGTCGGGCCAAGTGATCTCCCATTCGTGGCACCAACGTCATCGACCTTTTTTTTCCTTTTTTTTTTTTCTTGCATCCCAACTTTTCCGGAACACAAATGCCTGGATCCAACAGCCATTTACTCCACTACACAGGTGTGGAGTGCGGAACGGGACGACGGAAGGATTCGAAGGTCTCGGAAGTTATTTGGCTACCTACCTTGATGGTCAGTCAAGAACCTAGCAACTTGCTACTAGGTATGAAACATGGGTACCGTGAATTGAACCGACATGCATCAAAATCGTCCAAAGGATGCAGTGAGTGAGTGCATGGGCCGATTTACGGTGGGTGATGATGCCTCGCGCAAAAGTGAGCGTTTGACTGAGTTCAATTGTGGTTGGAATGAAATCCGGGCGTTAGTCAGATCAGATTCGCATCGGGATCCCGGCGGTTACTTCTTCCTCCGTTGCATATAGATAGATATCCCCGAACTGTCTTACCTTCTACATTCTGGAATCTTCTTCCTTCTTTGTTCCCTTTCTAGGTACCTACTGCCTACCTACTTCCTACTGCGACTAGTTCGTGGACTTGACTCAACTCGGCCTCAGACTTGAACTTCCACGCTCGCATTTCTTCGTCAAACCTCATCAGATACCTATCCACGACAACGATGTCTCCCTTTGAACACCTCCCTACATCTGCTACTGGCACTGTCTCCAAGCAACAAGCCTCCTCCACCGAGTCCGACGAGTCTAACTCCTCGTTCCCCGATCACATCCAGTCACTGTTGATCAAGTACGACGTTACGACCAACGGGTTTCTCCCGGAGGGACCACCGCTTGAGTTGCTGCCAGACGAGTACTATGCCCCATGGGAAGACCTCATCAAGCGGTTGCCGGAGACGCTCGATGCTGGCACGTTTCGAGCAGAGGTTGATCGCTTGCCGGTATTGCAAACGGATCGACTGATCAAGGAAGAAGAGTGGAGGAGGGCGTATGTGGTGTTGTGTTTTTTTGCGCATGGGTATATTTGGGGAGGGAGGAGACCTTCGGAGGTGAGTTTGCTTCTTCGTTTACAGCCGCCTAGAGATGAAGATGAAGATGAGAATGTACTAACAGGAACTAACAGATCCTCCCTGAGCCAATTTCCGTCCCCCTCTTGTCTGTGTCCAAACACCTCGACTTGCCTCCCATAGCGACGTACGCATCTCTCAACCTTTGGAACTTTCGTTGTGTTCCTCCCCCGTCATCTTCGTTTCCTTCTTCTCCCCCCGCAATACCCGCCTCATTCTCTTCCTCTCCTCCATCTCTCACCACATGCAGCGCCGCCAAAGCACCCAAGGTATTCGACCCAACAGACCTCTCCCGCTTACAAACCCTACACACCTTCACCGGCACCTCCTCCGAGTCCTGGTTCTACCTCGTCTCCGTAGCAATGGAAGCCCAAGGAGCATACATCATCCCCATCATGCTTCGCGCGTTGCAAGCCATCGGTTTGCGCTCCGAGACATGGAAGGAGTCGACGACCAAGGCGCTAAGGGAGTTGGTACACTGCGTGCAAGCTGTAGGGGAGCTGTTGGAACGGATGTATGAGGGGTGTGAAGCTATGGTGTTTTATCATCGGATTAGACCTTACTTGGCGGGGAGTAAGGGGATGCATGCTGGTGGGCTGGGGTTGGGGAGGGGGGTGTTTTATGATTTGGGGCCTTTCAGTCCTGCTGGTTTTGAGAAGACGGGGGAGAAAGGGGAAGAAGGGGAAGAAGTGGAAGAGGTGGTGCAAGGACAAAAGAGAAAAGGAAAGTGGATGGCATACAGAGGCGGGTCGAACGGGCAATCGTCGCTTATCCAGTTTTGGGATCTGGTGCTGGGGGTGGAACATGTTAGTGCTGGACACTCTTCTCCTCACTCTTCCGGTGCTTCCGATTCCGCCCATTCCGACACAAAAGAAAAAGAGAAACCCTTCCATGATGAAGTAAGGGAGTACATGCCGCTTAAACACCGACAGTTTCTTTCACTGGTATCAAAGATGGGACTGGGAAAAGGGGGGATCAGAAAAGCAGTGATGGAGATGGTGGAAGCCGCAGAGCACGAGGGAAGAGAGTTGGACGAAAAGGAGAGGGAGTTGCAGGGTGCTTTCACCGATGCGACGAGGGCGTTGGCGGGCTTCAGGAATAAGCATTTGCAGATTGTCGCGAGGTATATCGTCATTCCTTCGAGGCAGGCGGTGCCGGAGGGGATGAAGAGGCCGGGGGTATCTCTGGTGGATGGAGAAGTTGGAGCGAACGAGGGGCAGGTGGTGAATCTGGCGACTGCTAGTTCGGGGTTGTCGCAGGGGAGTGATGACAAGAAGAACGAAGGACCGGAATTGACGGGCACCGGAGGAACAGCTTTGTTGCCGTTTTTGAAGCAGACGAGGGATGAGACGTTGAAGGCGGGGGAGGTTGGCAAATGAATTAGAGTGCAGGGAGGGAAAGCACGATGGGATAGCGGATGACAACCGAATGATGCATGGATCGAGGTGGATGTTTGTAATTCTTTGGCGCTTCGGATCCGGAATAAAGGCAAGAATAAAGGAGTTGGGACGTTGGAACCAAAATAGGTTGTTGGAGACGACAGGACGGGAGATAGCTTCACCAAAATCAAGAAATGCCAAGACACGGTAATGGCCTCAGTTTCCGCAACGCTACACTAGTCAGCCTGCCGTGCATGAAGAGGATTTAGTTCCTCAAGGTTCAGTAAGTAAGGTAGGTAGGCGAGGTAGGTAACCAGTGTTGCTGTACCAGATTGTCAATGGTTGTACTTAACAATTGTTTCTAACCGCTATTACCAACAACTACATGATTGCCTCAATGGTCTAGTGGTATGATTCGCGCTTCGGGTTACCCCTTGCTTGATGACAAGCGACACCAATGTGCGAGGTCCTGGGTTCGAATCCCAGTTGAGGCCGTACATTTTTCGTTTCTTTTTTTTGGTCAGTCGTGTGGGCTGTTGCTAGAGGTAGGGACCGACTGGTTGCAAAGCTGTACGCCGGATGAGTCAAGTGGGCCGATCTTACTGCGCAAGCCCTTCTTCTGTCGGACGTTTATCTATTCGCATAATCCAAATCCTTTCTACACGGCAGACGTATATGTATACTCGCTTTCGAGTTGAATTATGTGAAGTTGTGTCGCGTCCAACGGATCTTGAGCTAGGTAGCGAGTAACTTGCATTTAGTCCTAAACGAACATTGCGTCTTTGTTGGAATAGATACCCAGCGTCCGCATCCATAAGATATCCCCATGGTCGAGAATTAACTTGTTGGGATCTCGGTGGCCTTCATCAGCTAGCTCCTTTCGGCCCGGGATACTTCTACAATGGATATACCTGGTCCTGTTTTCTTCGTCCTCTTGGTAGTCCGCCATCCTACTGATTATTTCAAGGGCTGTCCCCCTTCTAAGATCCAAACAGACCAATGCCTTACCCCCAACTGACTCAACCTCAATCATGATCAGCCCGCTCAAGAGCATCGTCCACATGCTTATCGGCCGATCGATCGAAAACCCTTCACCTTTTCGCCTGCGGAACACTGCATTGAATGGCCCTCTTGTCTCCAAGCGAGAGAGAGATTCGTCCTGCAACAGTTTGGCTAGGATAAGCTGGTCGCCAATGCCGGTAACCGAGGATAGCTCAGAGACACTCTTGCAGAGGACTCGTCCGTGTAAAAAGTCATTCCACGGCCAATCGTGAACCCTGACACTCTTTGCGACCAGCACGATAAAGGCCGCCAGCACCCAGCAGTACGTCGTGATGTTGAAGGGATCCACGGCACTGATCCGGGGACCAACCGAGACACCCACGGCGATGCCACCGCCGACAAGCACGCTACAGAAGAGCATGGTGAGCGCCACGTAGCCCTTGCACTGAACCATGACGCCCTTTTCTTCGGCAACCCACGACTTCATCTTGTTCCCGTAGCGGTCAAGCTCTCTCTGGTGGGCTTCGATCCGGCGCTGGAATGTGTCTTCATCATCGACAGAGGGGGACTGTTGGGTACTCTTCTTGTTGTTGTTCTTTCCATTGTTGGCCGCATGCGCCATGCTGTCCACGCGAGGAAGGGCATCAACTTCGGGCCCTCTGTGAAGGTTCTTGCGGCGCATCAAAGCTTTGGACAAAGGCCTGGGTGCATCTGCGGGACTATCATGATGTTTGCAACGGTACTCCTCGGTGGTGAGCGAGAAGAAAGCGGTGTACTTTCCGTACATGTGGGGTTTGAACAGGCTTTCCTGTGCAGCTTGTGGTTGCAGATTTTGGTTGGCGGTGGCCGCGGTAGAGGTAGATACCGAACGTCCAACGAGAAAATTGTTGAAGGAGATGAGCCTGAAGAAGTTTTGGATGAAGTAAGCAGTGCCAGGATGTGCTAGCAGCAGTGGCACGATGATCGTTATGATGTTGGACATTGATTCGACTTTGGCAAGTCGTCGAGGTTGTGCGGGTGTGGAAGGAAGTTTTTGCAGAGGATCCTCATCTCTATCTGGTGAATAGTCCCATGATATTGTTGTGCGAATGGAAGAGTTGTCATCCAACACTGTTGGGCGAGGACTAGGTGGGTCAGGTGGACATTGTGAGATCATGCCGTTGTGAAACAAATGATTGAGGGTCTGATTGAGAAGGTGAATACCATTCCGGCAGTAATTGACCACTACCGGGTCGGATGTTCCGACGAAATCATTTTCCTCGTCCTGAAACACCATTGTCTGTGACCTCTCGAACCCAGTTTCGTAGATCATCTGAGTAATCTCGTAAGAGGTTGGAAATGTTTGCGTGAGTTTGTTGGTTCCTCTCAGATGGATCGCCATATGCTCGAGCATCTTCGTTAGGGCGATTCGGTACGCATCGCACTTCTCATAGTACTTTATACGAAGAGCCTTCTTCTTGCTCATTGGTTCCAGAGGCTCCATCAGATTCCTGTTCTGCGCTTCCAATCGTGAAATGAACCGGTCAATACCACCGGTGTTGAAGAGGCCGGCTTCAGAGAGGTCAGGTCCGCCTTGATGCTCACGTATACCTCGTTGCTTAGGCAGCGGGATCTCATTGTCAGCCTCAGCGTTGTCGAGGGAAACCTGGGCGTACTTCTTGAGATCAGCTGAAAGGACCTTGACTTTGGTGCAGAGTCTGGCCATTTGCGCAAGGATACTGGCATGAAAAAAGCGTCCTTCGACTGCTGAGCAAAGAAGACGGGCTGAGACGCTCGTGCAATAGTCAACGAACTTGAAGAAGTCTTCATCGTTGGCCTTGATATCGTCGTTCTTTTGTGATTCTGTCGCGTCGTCTTCGACATCGGTCAAGTAGCTCAAGAACAGTTTGTATCTTTGCATTTTCGACTTGTCGCAACGCATTTCGTAATGCTGCGCCAACAGGCTCTCTCCATCGTAAGTTGAAATATGCAAGCATTGCATCATACGGTCCCCGAGAACAGCGAGAACTGCATATGATTTCTTCGAGTCAATGGCCATATCATCAGATCCTTCAAAGAGTAATGACTCTTCCTGAGTGACAGCCTTGACGAGCCTCTTGGCTTCCAACTCCCAAAGTTCTTCCTGTACCTGCTCTGCCACACCATACGGCGTAACATCGTCGAAATTGGGCAAATCGGTCACCATCAGGCCGGGCGCAATCGATGGGATGCCGAAACCTTTGTGGGTCCTGAGATCATTCAGGACGTCTGCCTCGCTGATAGAGATGCGCCCTGGTGGCTCCATTTTGGGCTTTGGAACATCTGGCGTCTGTTGCGCACCAGGCGATGGGGCGGACGATGGGGCCGACGATGGGGAGGACGTAGAGGGTATGATGTTGGTGCTCTTGCGCCGGAAGTGCCTGAGTTTACTTAGATGTGGCCATAATGCACCGCGTGTTCTGTCAGACTGCGTTGCGGGAACGGGAAGTCTTCTCTTTCCCATTGTCGGTGAAATAGCTCGAATGGGGAGGTCAATTGTGGGGTTGAAGTGACTTGGTGAAAGGGTGTGGATGAGTGAATTCACTGGCGTTTGCCTGAGGTGCTTGGGTGTATGCGCGAGGGTTTTTGGCCACGGCTATTGCGCCTAGAGGTAGGTAGAGGTAGGATGTGTGAAGGTTGTCGAAAACCTGAGGATGAGCGAGAACTCAACTCGGTTGAGGTGATCTGAAACTGAGATGCCGCCTGCTAAATGAAGAACCACCCAACAGTTCCTTTAAAGGCGTACCTGCCCGACAGTCTGACACCGGTAACACGCAGTTGCCCGGTTTAGCTGTCTGCTACTACCTGTAGGCAGGCTACCATGGGCAGTGCTCACTGCCACTAGAGGTACCTTAGGTAGGTACCATCCAAACGCCCTGCATTTTGTGGCTGCGCTGCAGGAGGTACCTAGGCAGGTGGTTGACCTCTACGTAAATGTGCATTTGGCAAAACCGACACCAATCGTTCCTTCTTTTGTCCTGCAATCCGCCCGACTTTTTGAATGCAAGTGAGGGGTTATCCAAAGCACAACCCAACCGCTCCGCATCAGGAGCCCTTTTTCAGCTCACCTCTCATCAGGCTCTCCTACAATTTGGAAACACGATGAAGCGGTGGCGCAAATCCGACGACGTTCATGACACCCTCCCAGCAGCCGCACCCGGATTAAGCGAGCAGATGAACACGCTGATTCGGGAAAAGACATGTCTTGCGAAGCAGGCTCTGCTCAGCTGGATGCCTAACGTCCACGTCAATGTCCTTATCTCCCACTCATCTGCAGCTCTACTGCAGAATATCAGCTCTACCGGCATTGTGCGGAGAGCCTTTCCGGTTCAAGTTTCTTCGTGGCTCAGAGGTAATTTCATGACGAGAGGCCTCGGTCCTGCGCCCCTTCTCTACGCCATCCGCTCTGCAAGTCCCTGTTGAGAGACTTGCAATGGATGGTCGATATGTCTCCAGATTGGATATCTCAGGTCGAAGTGCGAGAAGTGACGAAGCAACACCTCAGATACCTCTACATCTTCTAGATTCTCCTTATTATCTCTACAGGATTGCGGTGTAGAGATACCTAGGTAGCTCCTGCCACCTGTCGTCACCCTCCGGAGTCGATGCTTGTTGGATTAATAGTCACTCTTGTCCACCTCGAGGTATGCGGATCCCATCTCTGAACATTCTTTCTCAATCGTACCAACGTCGTTGAGTTTTGTCTAATGAATTACCCCTAATTACAGGCACTCTCCGAACCTCCTACCAGACAGCCGGCCCCTTCATATTGTCGTTCGCCATGTCACTGAGCGATTACAGTGCCAAGGTTCCGCACCACTTCAAGACGAATACCAACAATGCTCCGAGTTCGGGAAGTGGCCATGCTGGAAGCAACCAGACGACAGGCCATGGATCGCAGCCTACAGAGGTACGGCTCATTGTATCCATTCTAGTGAACTGCCATTTTTACCTCTACGGATCGGGTTAGTTGACGCAAAGCACAACAGCAAGGCCAGGCAGCGAAGAAAGGCCCATCCAAAGGATTTGTCGACATTGTTGAGTATCACACCGCGGGACTGGGCGGTCGAGTGGTGAATTTGTACCCGACTTCAAGGTTCATACCACGCCAGAGTTTGAAGAAGAAGACAAACTACCAGGTTGAAGACCACGCTGTGATCCTGCGCCGCACATGGGTAGAGAGAAATGGCGTCTCAATCCCTGTATCCTTTGATTTGGAGATTCACTCCGAGCCCCTTTGCGTCGCTTTCCGGAAGATCGCCACACAAACTTACGAGAGCGCGGACCTCAAGGCATTCCCCATCAAGATCAGCACCCCGTTCATGGAGTTGTTCTTCTACCGGGATGAGATTCGGAACCTCTCTGAGGACAAGAACATCGATGAAGATCTCCGGCGTGATGCCAAGGCCCTCAGTCAATTTGTACATGACCCGGAATCAGTCATGGCCAGCATCCTTCAAGACCATGACCGATATTCGCCAAAGAAGCAGGTTGTTAACGACATACTTTGGACAATTTATCGGCCAAACAGCCTGCTTGTCCTCAACCAGGGCTCGATCCAGGAATGCTGGATTTGCCGCAATATAACCGAGAAAATCACAAAGACAAAATTGACCTTCTGGGAAATTACCGGTCTACGAATTGACTTTGATGGCAGTTCTCCAGGTCTTACAAAGCAGCGGCTCTACCTTCCATTGACTGGAATGCACCCTGTGAAGATCTCGGGACTAGCACTGGTGCCCGCTGAAAGCTATCCACAGTGGGAATCCCTCAAAAGCACATTGCAAGCGAGGTCACAGAAACTTCAAAGGATTTTGGGTTCTTCCTTTTCGTCTTTCGCGTGCCAGAGCTACAGTGGGGCTGCGTGGAAGGAGCGTCCAAACCGGTTCGTAGACATGGAAGGGTGCAACCCTACAATACATGACAAACAGATCGACGAGCGTGTCATGGTGGACTTCAAGACCTATGGAGATGAGCATTCACTGCCTACTCTGGAAAAGCTGGAACACAACAACGAGAAGCCCAACAAAGGAAGGGATGCAAGACCTGCAGCGAGGAATTGGATGCCCGCCAAGAGGAATCTGTCACCCAAAGCCAAACGGCGTGGCAACAATAACAACTCTGGTTCGGATTCAGACTCTGATGCCGACAGAACGCTGAAATATTCCCGGCATATCATGGCATTGACGGGTTTGGGGACTTCGAAGCCACAAACGACCGAAACCACAGAGAGGGAAACAGACATCGAGCCTGATCTGGAGACGTTGGAAGGTATTGCAGAAGCTGTTCGGAGAATTCACCATGTTCCAGAGGATGAACTCATGCTCACATTCCCGGCTCTGGTTCCTGCATTTGGTCTCAAAGGTAAAAAGTGGTGGTGGGTTCTCAGCGACCAAGTTCAAAATGTGGTTTGGAATATGGCAGCGTTCGAATCCCTTCAGCAAGACAAGATGACGAAGAAGTTGGTGCAAGCATTGGTCAAGGGACACAAAAGCAATCCTCAAGTCATTTTTGACGATGTGATCGCTGGAAAAGGCCAGGGGCTTGTCTTCCTTCTTCACGGGTATGTCGCCATAATGCTCTTCCCGTCATCTTCCATTCCTGTTTCCTCAGACCGCACCTTGACCTCTTTTGCGATCGAGCTGTTTATCACCGTCTCTAACGAATGTCGCATTGCAGAAAGCCCGGCCTGGGTAAAACTCTCACAGCTGGTAAGCTACACCCTACCTAGAGGTACCTATCCGACACCTTGCTTCGGGGACATCTGGGAGCTTTCATCTCTGCAGCCATGATTCACAGGGGAGACATGCACGGATTGGGAGTATTGCGCACTGCTGACAGTTATGCACCTCCAGAGAGTGTAGCAGACTACCTTGAGCGGCCTTTGTATTCCATTTCAGGGGGTGAATTGGGGACCGAAGTCAGTGCTGTCGAGGAACAGCTCGAAAAGATCTTCAATTGGGCTAAGCGATGGAATGCTGTCACGCTTCTTGACGAAGCCGATGTTCTCCTATGCAAGAGAAGCTCCGCCGAAATGGATCGCAATGCTATCGTCGCCGGTAAGCACAACCAAACCCACCTTTTGCACCCTCTTCATCCAGAAAAAAAAACATTCTGGAAACTGAAAGCCGCCAGAGCTTCGGTGCCATTATCATACAATAGAAACCATCTAGTCCAGGAGAAAGCTAATCTTTTCTATGCTCGCTGTACCTGTACAGTATTTCTCAGGATGCTTGAATACTTCCAGGGAGTGCTATTTCTCACGACCAACAGGAAGCAGGATTTCGATGATGCGTTCAAGTCTCGCATTCACGTCACTATCTCATATCCCGAGCTGAGCCCGGAAGCAAAGAGCCGGATCTGGCAGAGCTTGATCAATACAAACAAGTCTGTGGAGGTTGACGAGTCGTGGACGAAAGACATATACAATGCGCTGGGCCAACTGAATCTGAACGTGAATGGAAGCCCTTCTTTTGTCATGTCACTCGAGTCCCAACCGAGATCCAAGTGCATCACAATCTACCAGTATTGGAGTACTGACTATCGAGAACACGCGAAACAGGGCCGTACAATCAAGAACATTCTGAGGACTGCGGTTGCCTATGCGAACTCGGAGGGGAAGAAACTCGGGGCTCGACATGTTTTGGCAATTCTGCGGACAGAGCTGCGGAATGGCTATGAAGATTCGAAAGACGAGGAAGACGAGCTGAGTGACGAGGTGAGTCCTGCGTTGAGAGAGTTACACACTATTCTGGGAGTTTCTTTTTGATTTGATTGAACGAGGATAAAGGCGGCTTGGTATCTCTGGAGGGTACCGAAGTTACGGATATGATAGCGAACTTGTTTGTGATTCACAATCGAAGGAATCTCTCCACTAAATCTACAACTCGTTGTTGAAAACTTGTCAACCACTGCACCTGCGGGAACTTTAGCGGAAGGTACGAACCAGAACCCGTGAAAATGCACTGTACTGCACTGGAGAGAACTTGAAGAGGAATAACTGAACCTCTGACTCCCTCATCTCAATCCTGACCCCTTTCCCTCGTATAGTCTGACTCCAATCAGGATCCATCGACCCCCTCCACCCAACCACCAACCAACCGTTCCACCTCCCACAGAAACTCGTCCACTTCCTTCTTATCATGCCACGCCTCATTATACGCACAACTCAAACACAAGACGCCATCAAACGAGCCCAAAAACACCCCCAACCCATTCGTCAGTTCCTCCCCCGTCACCCACGGCCTCTGCACCTCCAACTTCATTCCTCTTTCCTCTCCGAGATCATGCACCCTCTTCACAATCCCATCAACAACCCCCATACTCGAGACGCTCACGCTCGGCACCTCCTTTGGCTTCGGCACCTCCATTTTTTCTTCCCCATTCAACACCGCTTCAGGAAGGACGGGTGTCCAGTTTGTCCAAATGGCTGGGGCTAGAGCGTAATGCAGGGGGTCGTCCCTTACGGAAGTGTAATAATCCTTGATTTGGTTCAAGACTGTTTCAAATTCCGCTCTTTTTTCTTGGGAAGTGGTAGGGGGTGTAAATGACATGTCAACTTGCAGCTTTGTTGAGGGTAGGGAGTGATAGACTGAGACGCAGTGTAAGGGTGAGTTGTAGGGGGGCTGGCAGGCTGCGCGTTCGTTGCGGAGGAGGTAGTTGGTGTATCTCATGACTTGTTGTTCTTGTTCGGGAACGGGCATGGAGCTGGGGGTGGAGCTGGAGGTGGAGGACATAGAGGGGAGGTTTAAAGAGGTATACATGTTGCGCAGCGTGAGGGCAGTAGCGGTGTGAAAGGCGTGCGTCACCGTTGTACCAGGGTGTGATTCCTTGAGAAAGGTGATGAGCGCCGAGGTGCGTTCGCGGGAGAGGTAGTGCGCTATGCGTTGATGTTTCCCAGGCAAGAGAGGACCGTGGGTGTAGGGGATGCCGATGTCTACAAATAGGGGTCCGTCGGGATTTGCGGGTTGCGAGGTTGTGGCTTTGATGGTGGATAATCGGGATTGGTGCTCGGGAGTTGGAGTCGAGGGGATATTGGCGGCTACCCGGTAGGGCGGACTGAGGTTGGATGCTTCGGAGCCGTCGAAGATGGGGAGCTCGCGAAAGAATTCACCCTCGGTGAAGGCTTGGGTGGTTTTGGTGACGAGACTGTTGAGGAAGTGGAGAGTGCCGATGCCGTCGATGATGTCGTGGGGAGAGCGCAGGATGAGGTCGCGGCGGATGGTGGATGAATCCTGAGATGCAATTGCAGGACAGACGACGAACAGCGTGGCTGTGGTTGGAGCGAGTGGATCAGAGTTGGCCCAGTCTTCGCCTGTTTGGCCGGGTGATATCACCTGGAAGGTCTTTTCAAGCCATGCTTTTGTCGATGCGTCGTCGGGAATGGTTCGGTAGGACTTTTTCGACTTCCCGTCGAGTGCGTCGTAATGCACGGTTGAGGCGATGGTCGGAGTCTCGTAGCGTTGTCTGAGCCAGGCAATGCGGAGAGACTCGTCAAGCCGTCTAGAGACGATTTCCGGATCTTCATCGCTGGGGACACTGATGGTCAGGGAGATGTGGCCTGTGATGGCGAAGTGCATCCGTCCGGATCCTGCGTAGAGCTTGGCCAGGCTTGAGTAGAACACTTCGGCTTCGTCGGCATCGCGCTGCCATAATCCGGGACGGATCTGACGCCAGTTGTAGTCATCGCGCTTGACACCGGCCTTCAACACCCTCATATTGAAAGTTTGGGTGTGGAAGTGGAGTCGTGATGTTTCGGTGTTGAAAAGGGGGAAGTAAACAAAGGGTGGGTCCAGCTGCTTGGCGTCTAGGTACTTGGCAGAATTGTCGCCCTTTTTGCTGTCAACTTATCGACGCAAATGTGTGCGTGCTGTTGAGTAAGTGTTGTACTCAGAGGTATGATGGCCTTGAATGGTCACTGACGCCGGCGTTTGCTCATCGTCTGTGGTGTAGAGTACTGCTGATGCCTAGAGGTAGAGTGAAGCCCGAGTCAGCGCTGCCCGACGGGCATGAAACCTGAATTCCGGGCAAATCAATTGGTCGCTGTCAAAACATATGCCACGGCATGTTTAGCCGTTCCGATCTGCGAATCCGATCATCAGCGGCCGATATTCGGATACCGGGGTTTGTAGCAGCAACATATGACTGTAACGCAGTTAGGCAGTCTAATGCGTGTTTACGTAAGCCACACAACTCCTCACAGAAATGTCATGTGGGGGAAACCAACCAACACATTCCTTTCAAGATAACAACGTCCTTGCACTATGGAGTCGGACGCATTACGGTTACACGTTAGCACTTTTCCATCACTGCTGACACTCTGTACTACACTACACTACTGTTGGACGTCGCCGAGGTTCGTAACCTTTTCAAGTAAAGCTGGGTGGTACCGCGGTGGGGTTTTCCGGCAGTCAAGCCAATCGTATTTTGTACTCCGCTGCTGATCGTCCCAAAATTCGCTACACGACCTCTACAGAATGGAGTAAGCAGAGGTACGGGCCCCCTAAGCTCGTATGTAGATCATGTCTATATCAGCGGCTTCCCCTTGACGGATTGAGGTATCTGGTCCTCTCCTCAACATCGACAACTCACACGGGCAGACATGGCTCTCACCGAACTACTGGGAGCCCTCCCGTTGGTCTCCAGCGGCATGTCCAAATTCCAAGTGGCCGCCATCTACCTTGCCATCGGCTTTGTCTCCTGGTACATCGTTTCATCCATTACGGCATGGTATCGTCTCAAGGAATTTCCCGGCCCTCCCACCACTGGCTTCTCCAACCTTTGGGCTGCTAGAGCCGTGTGGACCGGCAAAGCACACAAGATCTTTCCCGCGACTCAAGAGAAATATGGTCCCATTGCTCGCATTGGGCCCAACGCGCTCATGGTCAGCGACGCCGCTACCGTTGTCCACATCAATGGCGTGCGCGGCGGCTACGCTCGGCCAAAGGACTTTTACGACTGTATCCGAATGGACCCATGGGACCACACGGTCCTCTCCGAGAGCGACTCGGCCATGCACAACGAGCGCAAGACCAAGGTCTACGCAGGCTACCACGGCAAGGGCGAGATGGATATGGAAAAGGATGTCGACATGGTTGTTGCTGAGGCCGTCAAGCTTGTTCGCAAGAAGTACATGAACTCTGCAGCCACTTCGGAATCCAAGCCCCCTTTGGACTATACCCGGATTGCTCGATACATTGCCGTCGACTCGGTCACGCAGACCGGGTTTGGCAAGGCTTGGGGTGATGTCCGCGAGGAAAAGGATCACTTTGGCTGGCTGGGCTTTGCCGATATGATAGTGGGGTATCTGCATAGTTTGGCCTACGTCCCTGCCATTAGTAAGATTGTGGTCTCAAAGCCTTTGATGGTCCTTCTCGGTCCGAAGCCAACGGATAAGACGGGCATGGGAGCTTTTCTCGGGTGAGTCCGCAAGTTTATGTTCTCCAACTACATCAACGACGATATGCTGATAACTAATAACTCCCAGTCTCATCGAGCGAGAGGTAGCCAGACGCTACAAAGACGGCAACGCAAAGGGTACGCCCCTCAAAGCCGACACAGGCCGCTCCAGCATGCTTGTACGTCCAGTCCCGTCTTCATCCTTTCTCCCACTTTTCCATGTCCAAATCTCTCCAGCCCCACTGACACATGCCAGGACGAATGGGTCAAGAACGGCATCTCCCAACGGACCGCCGTCCTCGAAGTCTCGGCCCAACTCCCCGCCGGCACCGACACCACCGCCTCCGCCCTCCAAGGCACCATGCTCTACCTCCTCTCCACTCCCCGCGCCTACGTCCGCCTCAAGTCCGAGATTTCCACCGCCATCCGCACCGGCCTGATCGCCTCTTTCCCTGTTACCGACCAAGAAGCCCGAAAACTGCCCTACCTCCAAGCCGTCCTGCACGAAGGCATCCGCATGATGCCCCCCCTCATGAACGGGTTTCCGCGCCAGGTGCCTGCAGAAGGGGACACCATTTGCGGTCGGTTCGTGCCGGGGGGTACGGACATTTTCGTCAATTACGTGGGGATGTTGCGAGACAAGAGCGTGTTTGGTGAGGATGCGGATATCTTTAGGCCGGAGAGGTATTTGGAGGAGGGTCATGGAGGATTAGATGACGAGGAAAGGAGGAATCGCATGTTGAAGACGACGGATTTGGCGTTTTCGCATGGGCGGTGGCGGTGTTTGGGGCAGAGGCTGGCGTGGGTGCAGTTGCAGAAGGTTGTTGTTGAGGTGAGTCATCCTGCCACATATGATCCGATCATGATCGATGAATGGGAGGAGGAGGTTGTGGATGATGGTGAAAACTGACGAAAGACAAAAACAGTTCATGAGGAACTTTGATCTGCAGATTGTGGATCCGATGCATCCTTGTCATTTGAGGGGCTATTGTACGCCCGAGATGGATGATTTGCTGGTGAGGGTTACTGAGGCAAAGTTGGATTAGGTATTTTGTTCAGGAATTTTCAGACAAGAAATGACGGATGTGGGAAGGAATTTGGACCCGATGGCTTGTAGGTTGATAATCTCTGGGCATTGACAAGCGATTTCGGTCCAGGCTGTCCTGTTGCCAGGTAGCCATAATGAGTTACTCCTTTTGGCGTTGCTTCCTGCTGTCGTCACAAACATGTTTTGCGTATTTGTCTGTTCTGTATTACATCATCGTATCAAGAAGCTGTGCCTGCCTTCCAACTTCTGATTGTTTGTTTCAAATCCAGGGTTTCTTTGTTACACTACACTGAACGTGGTATCACTCAAGATGCGCTTGCCGTAGGTCGACAAAGAACTTCATTGTATGGAAACATCAAAACCTCTACACTGTGCAGTTTCACAATATCATCGCCAGATGAAGCACACCTTTGCGACCATTACACAAGACGTGTTTGAGAAACTTCAAGCATCGATATCTAATGGTTTCTTACAATTGGGGATGTCGGTTGCTGCATGTTGTGCACGATTCTAGTGACGGTATCTGTTCGGCGTTGTAAGCTATCGATACATCGTCCATACCGAACTTACGGTAATAATCATATACGCGTATCACATCATGGACACTCTGTGGACACTCGCCGATAAAGACACCATTAGCATATCCTTTGCACAAGCATTTGGACAAAACGCTTTGATGGAGGGACTTGGGTTTTATCTGTATCATTCTTCTTTTGTTCAGGTTTTTGTTGTTCCTATACACAGCGGCACCATGGCCGCGCATTCCTCCTCGCTACATGCATGCCAACCAACAGCTCCTCTCCAGACTCCTGACTACTGGCCCATACCACATCAACAACGTCCCTTACTGAGCCTCAAGATCATTGCTCCTGTTGGTACAAGAGCGACCGCCCCACAAGAACCGAAGGGGGTTCGAAAAAATGCCGAACACTCGCGAGAACATGCGGAAGAGGAAATTGCCGGCTTTGAAAGGGATTCCGGCCATGACGTTGATGATACCAATTGTGCCTGATGAACAAAAGTTATTAGAGGTAGTAAAGAGTTTTCAAAAATAGTGGAAAACAATGATCAAGGGAATGCACACCTTGAGAGAGTTTTGACACCACGTCTTCCTGTTTCGTGTCCAAGGAGGGAGCGTAACGGTCCTTGAACCACGGATGAGCCATGATCTCGGCCGTGCTCACCCGATCCTCCGGCATCCACTTGAAGATACTGTGGAGCAAGTCCGAAAACACCTCAATGTCATCGAATTTCTTCGTAGGAAACTGGTCGTCGTCCATCTCTTCCTCTTCCTCTGTCTGTCCCCAAGTATAACTTGGTAACTTTGTCTTATCCCTCGCCCACTGAGCTTCAATAGCAGCCCCGCTGCGCTTTGTGTGCAGCGTTTCCAGTCCCAACGACATTTTGGACCTGATCGGATCCTCGTAGCCCGACTCCTCCTTGGCGTACTGCTTCTCCTCTTTCCACCGCTTGATCGAAAACGACAATGGGCTTAACACTGACTTGCCCGTCTCCGGATCAGTCACCATGTCGACATCCTGTAATGCAGTCCCATCTGGACCCCAAACTCCCTTGTACCACGTCCTGAATTCCGAGCGAAAGGGCTCGGGAATAGGACCCATGACCAGCTCCATGTTCTTGACCCCATACAACTTGTCGCTGGAGTCCGCAAAGGGGAAGTAGTCCAACGCGAGCTCAGCAAGCGTGACACCGAGAGACCAGACATCGCTCTTTGGTCCTAGCTTGACCAATGTTTCCTCTTTGCCCTCTTGATTTCGGCCCGTGATTGCTTCCTCTGGTGGTGCATAACCCAGCGGGATTCCCGTTCCCTTGCCAGTTGGCTCGGTGACAGGATATGACACGCCAAAGTCGATGACGGCAACGCTTGGTGAACACCATCCTCCACGGATTAACTTGATCATGTCCGCCTGTCCGATCAAATACCGAGGAAGTTCTTTTGGCCATTCCTTCTCTTTCATGTCTCTCTTCGTGGTGTTGGCGGGTGGAATCCTAGAAAGCTTCGCTATCTGCACGCCTCCGAGTGCCGCCACCAGTTCGTCATCCCCCATTTTCTCTACCTCCTCTGTCAGGCAAAAGAGAATGTTGGCCGGCCTGAAGTCGCCGTGACACAGCCCCTTCTGGTGTAAAAAATACAACGCCTGAACAAGCTGGAAACACACATGTTTGACCAGATCCGTGACATGTCCGTAAAATGCGCAAAAGGAGCCGAGGTTGGGACCGAGACAAGGGGTAATGAAGCAGAGGTGCGTGCCTTTGGGCTGATAGGGGAGCCAGAAGTGCTCTGTCGGTAAAGTGACGTGGTGTTTGCTGAGAAGGTATATATTAATTCTTTGTTAATGTAGTTCATAGTTTTATAAGATAGAATATAGGTTTTATTATTTACACTGCGTAGAAGAAAACGCTATATAAAATTCAATAGAGTACTATATAAAAAGTATAGATTGTACGAATATAACCGCGATTTGAGTCTAAATACTAAGATACTCGCTCTAAAAAGGAAGGTGTATATTAAATATAGGTTAAAAGGAATAAGTAGATTCCTCTATAATATTAGGCTTGTATTTACGTCGTAAAATAGGTTTAATTACTAATATTTTACAATAAACTGTAAATAATATAAATATTAATATTTTCTAATAAAAAGAGGCGATAGATATTTAATTATTTCTAATTAGTTCTATATTTAGCTTTTGTATAACTGGAAATTTCCTTTTCTACTATCGTTATACTATTAAAAATAATAGTTATTTTTATACTTAGCCGTTGTAATATGTTAAGAATTATATTTGAAATTCGTATACTTAGAAGGTATTACAAAAACGAAATTATAAATTTATAATATTACTAAATCTAGGGTTTATACTATCTAATTATAAAATGATATTACTTTATTATTAAATCTATTTAAATACAAATCTAAAGAAAAGAGAATAATTCTTCTTCTTCTCCTATTGTACTAAATTAATCCCTATAATACTGCGTAAAAGTCGGCCGTTAATTCCGAACTACAATACTAAAGTATAAAATACTTGATACTAATATAAATAAATGCCTTCCGAATATTTAAATATAAAATACTTATCGATACAAGGACTATTAATATATTAATAAGTTATAGAATATTGAAATTGTCACAGGGCTAGATCACATGCCCTGTGCCAGTCGTGCTATGGCTGGTGTATCTACTATACCCAATGCTATAGTACTGGGTTTGCCGTAGGTAAGAGGTTACGTGGTAGATCCATCCACGGATCTACCCTATGCCCTACATCTTGCCCTGGCTACACACACCTTTTCCGCTTCCCTCGTACAACAACGTATATTATATCTTATATTTAACGGTATATTCCTGTAATAGTTTATTATACCTTCTTTACGCTACGCGCACACAACTATCAAAGATTAGTAACGAATAATTTTCTTAATAATTAATTAATTCGTTTATTTTCAAGCGGTCTTATTATTTATATAGTATATAAACCGACCGAATATTATTAAAGGATTTCGTTAAGCGCGAAACCTAGGAAATTTTAATAAGATATTTAATATTAATAATAACCGTTTTATTTTAGTAAAATGAGTGGTTTCTAGGATTATTATAGTTACTTAATTAGTAATATAATTATAATTACTAATTAATCCGAGGATTCAATTTAATTAGCGTCCTCTATCTTTGTTAATAATATAGGTAGTATCGATATCGATTTTAACGGTCTATATATTTACAATATAATTAATAATAATTATAAAAAATAATTTATTACCGATAAAGACCTAGTATTTATTACAATAAATACTTATAGTAATAATCCAGTCCGATATACTAAGTAGACGGCTTTATAGCGCATTATATAGGCTATTATACTCTAAATATTCTATCTTATAACCTTCTAACTACGGGCTATTAATTTATCTAATATTCCGGTTTTCTATATTATTATTAACCCTATTACGGACGTAGTAGTACTAGCGGAATACAATTTTAAATAGAAGGAGGTTAATTACCGAATAGAGATTACGAATTTATATAAATAAATTAAAGATTTATAAAATTAGATTATTATTTAGAAAGCCGATTATTAGAAAGTAATTAATAGAATCTAAATTTTGAATAATACCTATAATAGTAAAATAATTAATACTATTAATAAAATTAACGATTAAAAAAGTACGATTATATTATTTAAATTTAGAATTATTAATTTAGAAACTAATAATAATAATTTATACTCCTTACTTTATAATATTAATATTAATATCCCCGGTAATTTAATAAGTATTAGAGGAATTAGTAATAAAGGGATTAGTAGAGGTTATACGGGTAGCTCCGGCCCTAACAACATTTTTAACAATAGTAGTAATTTTAGAAATAACGGAGGAAGAGGCGCTAATAATAATAATAATTACAACTTTTCTTCTACCCCTTTAATTCTAAGCTATTTAAATTATCGTCGGACTTCGGATTCTAATATTTTTAATATTAGTAGTAAGATTGTATTTAATTGTAATAATACCTATTATACTTAAAGAATAAAAATATATCTCTATTAGAAGTAGGATAGTAATTATTTCCCAACCGAATAGAATAAACTCTTTTATATTTATTACCGTTTAAGCAAAACGCCAATAACCAACTTAGAGTCTAAAATAGAAAAAATTATAATAATTAATAATCCGAAGAATTAGCCCTAAGAGACTACTAAAGCCCTTATTACCTACTTTAATACTAAATACAATACAATAGATATAAAAATTAACGCCGAACATAAATTCTAATAGCTCTAATATAAAGATAGTTTCCAAAATTTTAAGGATAAATTTATTATATAGGCCGACCGTTGCAATATAATTAATTCGATATACGTTTTTTAATTTAAATAGAAGATTAAAGGTTCCCTTAGTGTTAGGAACGTAGGCGAAAGGTAGGCTGAGGTAACTACGGTCGTAGCTATACGTAGGGGACGGTAAGTTAGGGGTTAATTTAAAGATGTATTAATAGCTACCGATTATAATAAAATACGTTCTATTAAACCTCTTTTATACTTATACAAACTCTGTTCATCCGCTAACGAATATTATAGAGCCTTATATTAGTCTAGCGCCTTAGTATAGTACCGGATTATCCTTCCCGCGAACCCGACCCAATATAAGTATTATCGTAAATAATCCTACGCTTTAATTAATAAAGGGGAGTAGTAGCCGTTGAGGTGCTTTTATATATAGGTTTTTAGCCTCCTAATATAACCCCCCCCTTATAAGTTCTGTCTTCGGAACCTCTATAATAAACGCCGGGTACTATAGTATTGTCGGGCGTTATTCGCTATAGCTATTAATATTATATTCTAGATTATAGCCGTTCTACTACTGGCGAGCCGCCTACTAGAGTATTAGTATTATAATGTCTATTCTTATGAATTCTAATACGGCCCCGAAGCCGGTATTAGGTCTAAAGAGCTAGCGTTCCGCCCGCTAGAATATCGGTATTATAATATCTATTCTTATAAATTCTAATGCGGATATAAAACCGGTATTAGATTTAAAGTGCTAGCGTGCCGCCTGCTAGAATATCGGTATTATAATATTTATTCTTATAAATTCTAATGCGGATACGAAACCGGTATTAGATTTAAAGCGTTGGTGTACTGCCCGCTAGAATATTGGCATTATAATATTTATTCTTATAAATTCTAATACGGATATAAAACCGGTATTAGATTTAAAATATTAGTGTATTACCCGCTAGAATATCGGTATTATAATATTTATTTTTATAAATTCTAATATAAATACGAAACCGGTATTAGATTTAAAGTACTAATATGCCGCTTATTAGAATATTAGTATTGTAATATCTATTTTTATAAATTCTAATATAGATACGAAACTAGTATTAAATTTAAAGTACTAATAGGGTTCCTAATTATTATTAAGACTATTATTCCGTAAGTGTACGAGGTAGTAAACTTTATTTTACTTAACGAAGAATATTATTTTGAATTTAAAAGTATTAATAAATATTTTAGAATATTAATATAATTATACCCTATAATTCCTTTCCCCGGATATTCTCTATTATCCGTATTTATAGCGCGGCTTAATATTTTCGTAGGGTACCCTCTGTTATTTACACTTACTTTAGAATATTTATATAATTAAAACCTAAAGTTCCTTTCGTAAGTTATTTTTTATTATTCGTATTTGTTGCGATTTATTATAATATTTGGATACGATCCCCCTCTTTATAAATTTTATTTTCGGGACCTTTATTTCCGTCCTCCGCTTTTTATAATTCTATATATTATTTCCTTTATAAACCTCCTTTACTTACGTTATTCTTTCTTTATTACCTTCCTATTACCCTTATTTTATTCTTTATATTATTCCCTTTTTTTTAATAATATAATTCTTAACCGCTTCCTCTACTCTCTTTACTATAGTCCGAAGTACGTGCTTTCCTATTTTCTACCTTTCCTTCCTACTTTTTTATAATTATTATTATTATTTATTTATTCTATTCTTTTCTTTTTAATTATCGCTTTTATTTTATCTTTCTATTTACCCCCTCCTATTATTTATATAATTATTTAATATTCTATTTACCCTACGTTATCTTATATTCGCCTACTTTAAATTATATTCGCTTACTTCGATTTATATTTATATAGGGACCTCCTCCCTTATTTATATAATATCCCTTCTACCTACCCTCTTCGCCTTTCTTCTCTTCTTCTTCCTATTTTTACTTTTATAATTATATTTGCTACCCCTTCCCCTAATTCTACGGCCGCCTTACCTACCCCCTCACTTAAGCCGCCCCTTACTATAAATGTACGTATCTTTACTATATACCTACGTATTAATTCCTATTTTCCTTATAAATCTAATTAATATATTCGCTTTTCCTCCCTATTTTCTTCCTTTTCGCCCCGTCCTCTCCTTCCTCTTACTTCGCGCTCGTAATTAACTTTTAATCAGCTACTCCTTTCTTATCCTTTAATAATATCCGCCTTCTTACTTATTTAAAATATAGTATTATTTTAATTTAAATATTTATTAGCGCTCTAACCCTAAATTTATACGAAGTACTTTATTTAATTAGTATATATATTTGTTAGACTAAAGGTACGCTATCTTCCCTTTATTATCTCCCCTATTTTTTTTTTTTTTTTTTTTTTTTTTTTTTTTTTTTTTTTTTTTTTTTTTTTTTTTTACTAACATCTTCTCCTTCCAGAGTTCAATAAGAAATCGCAATATTCGCTATCACTACGCCGCTACATACTCGAAGTCCCCTACGGTATTTGTAACTTTTAGAATA